TGTAATACGAAGTTTCTTTTAGTGTTAATCGCCGTTTCTTGGTGTCAATTAGAAATTCGTATCTCTCTAGAAAGTCCATCCCCAGTATTGCCAGATCTAAGTCGGCTACCGTGAAAACCCAAGGGAATTGCCTCCTGAACCCCAAATCTAGGGTTAAAGTTTTCTGCCCAAATGTCGCGATTTTAGTTTTATTTGCAGCTTGAAGTGTAATTGATGATGTTTCTCGACTAATCTCAGTTTTATTTTAAGGGATGATGCTAAGAGCAGCGCCAGTATCCACCAAGAAATTCAAGCCCGAGTTTCTGTCTCTAACATAAAACAAGCGACTGTTTAGGCACCCCTCCTCAGTCGTCGCGACCTGGGGAGGGGTTACTCGTTTCCCGCTGTCTTAGGATTATGCTTAGGCCAGGCGCATGGTTGCATGCACTTGGTTGAGTTGACACCAAACTTCCAGTGGTACCAACAAAACTGCACAGATTGTCTGGACATTTGTGACCTGTTTTTTGACTTGGATCGTGGTCGTTGTGGTGACCTGCTCCTGTTTCTATGACCCATTTGCATTCTGGTGACAGCCTCAGTGACACTCTTAACACTCGCAATGAGTCCTTCTATGACGGGGTCTTTTGCTGATTCTACTTTTTGTGTGTGATTTATTGTGCCTGATCCAGTTGGAGGACCTCATTCCATTATTCTATCGGCTATACGCGCTAAATGAGATAATGGGGTTTCAGGATCTTGCGCATCCAAACAGTGCTGGACGTAGCATGGGAGAGCTTGTATCCATCCTTGTTTTAGGACTGCTTCACCCACCGTGTTATCACCCACTAAGACTTGGAGGTGACGTAAAAACTGTGACGGCGACCGATCACCTAGTGTTTCACCTTGAAAAAGTCTTTGGATTCTTTGACTATCTGATAATGATAAACGGTTCATTATCTCTCGTCTTAAGATGGTGTATGGTTGTGGTGATGGTGGATCTAAAATCAAGTCACGGACTTCTTTGGCGACTGAAGGAGGAAGGATAGAACACAAGTCTTTATAGCGAATCCCTTCAGATTTGATATTGTGTCTCGTGAAATAATGCTCTAGTGAGCAAACCACAACTCAGGATCACTACGATCAAATTCTGGAAGTCGGGATTTCGTAGTCATAACAGTGTCTATTTCCACTGGTGACAAATCCTCCAGATTATGGGTTTCTATTGAGTCTGACATGAGGTATGTGACAAATATAGCAATAAAGTTAGCACGAAAAATGGTTACTATAACACGGATAACTTAAGATAATACGGAATAAACTAGTTATATACTCAACTTAGTTTACGGATAATCAGGTCTACTTTTACGAGTACGTGAAAAAAATGTTAATAACAGAAATGAGGTTAAATTTGTGTTCAAAAAGGGCTCACCACTTTCGTGCCTTAAGGTAACCCACGTGCTATTGATAGAAGAAACCAGAGAAGTAGTGAATAGGTCTTTATTTCGATCTTCGCGCAGTCACAGTGGAGCGTGGGGTTATCTGTTCAGACAAACAAAGGCTCTCAACATTCAATATAAGATAATAGGGAATATAACGCTTATACAAAATAAGGAAGTGAATGGATACTTGAACAATACTGCCTTGGCATATGCTTGGTTGTTTGGTGTCGACTCTTAACCAACCAACTTAAGCTGTTACAAGACCACTCCTATTGATTTCTGCACTGTTACATACTAAGTTAATCTTTTTTGATTAGTTTTTATTTATCATGTCATTGTGGTATCTATATATTGTGAGAATGAGCAACTGTTTTGTGTAGTCAAGGTTTTATTACATGTTTTATTTTCGTTTCGCTCACCAGTGCTTTTTCGAAGTTGACATATTGGGCTATTTTTTTACTGCTGCCATACGAACAAGTTGGTTTTGTTCTATTTCACTGGAACGGAGACAAAACACCTCTTAGGAAAATTTACGGTTGTTCAACTGCAGGTGGTCATATGCATCTCACTTAATATAAATATCATCTTGCAGTTAGGTTGAATTGAGTCGCTCTCCAAATTTTCAGATAGAATACTAATGCTTGATTAATGTGAATAAAGTTCCTTATTTGACAGGTAACAGGTTCGCGTTCGTAGCTATTCAATCATTCACTGTCCTATGGCATAATTTCACAGATTGTCCTAATAATTGTTGACTGGTTGTAGGAAGTAATGCCCAGGCATATTTTACTTATTATGTATTTATACTTACTTTGTCAATACCACCCTTTTACCATGTTGTAAGATTTTTTATGTCGTCAAAAAATTGTTGCTAGTAACTGGCTTTTGATATACTGAAAAGTGCTTCACTGAAGGACTGATTGCTACAGAACGGCTAAAATTTCCGGAATTGTGGACTTGATATTCATGCTATTTTCACTGAATGGTTTGTGGTCGTCAATGAATTCCAATTTCATTATCCGAATTCCAGTGCCCTTGATAATACTGTTAGTAATACTACAGGAAAAGGAAACCTCTGGTCTTTTCGGTCTCTGTCTATAAACATTTGGGTTTTTAGCTTGACCGCACTCTTTCGATCGTAACTGAAAATTTGATGATTGTTAAACAGGACTACCCATATGTAGAGAGAAGAGATCCGGACAACTCAGGAGTAATTTGCCGTGAGTAGTTCTCAGTTTCGACATCTTTTTCTTTGATTGTGTCATTTTGTATTATTAGAGCACGATTAGTGAGTTGTGTCCGTTGGTTCAATAACTACTTTCATTGTTCATAGTATCGCGCATCTAAGTTGATAAAAACCTTACTTTGCAAACTTGTGGTAAAAAGAGTCCCTTAGTTCAGGATTTTCACTATGCCGTAAATGGAGGAAAAGTTTCCCATCTTGATTAAAGTTTCCTGGAAATTTCTGTTTAAAAAGCTCTTCTCTTCCTATGTTTGCACTAAATGTACATCTGGCTGAATACATTTCGTGCAGTCTTTCATCTATTTTAGTCACACTTATTCTCTAAAACAAGGGCACAGTACTTCTTTTTAATCATAATATTCATAAATATTCAGTATCCCGAAATGAGGTTTTGTTGGTGTATTTACATTGCAACTGACGTGCTTGTCCTTTAGTCTTCAACATTAGTTTTCGTAGTCACAAACCAAATGTTTCTTGTAGCTTTCTCACTTACTCATTTGACAAAAGTTGAGCAGTTCGCTTTGGAAGTTACATCTGAACCCTTTGCCTTGACCGCCTTAATTTTAGGGTTAACTCTGAATCTAGAACATAACAAGACAGCGAGCATAGATGACCATTTGAAAACCTGGACAATCATCTAAATCCTCTGTCTTGTGAAGTAAAGTTCTCTTTCTACCTAAATCCTAATTTATATCAGACTCTACTAGAGTTTCTCTCGATACATTAGACAGCGAGCCTAATTTAGAACGTTTACTATATCGGCCGGGAGAATTTTATTGTGAGGTTCCCACAAAGGAAGATAACCGTACATTAGTGAACCCCTATATACATCACTAGGACATACGACACGCTGAAGGATCGTCAGAGAAAAATGATATGCAGACGAAAGAATATGACTTTTCTAAATGTAGTTTCTGCTATGTCATATCAGTATGTGGGCTTAATTTCGCGTACCCGTTTTGAGGTAAACGTCAATGTGAGCTGCTGCATTGGCCCTAACTTAAGACAATAGTGGCTAATTTAAAGCTCTGATATATAGGTATCATGAGTAATCGTACCACCAAGGCATAAGCGGTGCGAGGAATTATCTTCGCTTTTCCAGAAATAGGAACTTGATTCTTAGTTTGTACTTTCGTCCCTTTTTAGAGCTTTTATGAAAACCTGAACCTCTAGCTATACTCACAGCACCATCAGGAAAAGGACCAAGAACCTTTAAGGTTCACAACAAAAATTTTGATTTTGAGCCATTATATATAAATCATCTGTCCTGGATTCAAAACCACTGACCCGTGATATAGCGTAAGAATCATCCGTCATCCGAAATATTTTACTCGGTCCTCAGGAGCTAATATCAAGGGCTATCACAAAAGAGAAGGAATCTATCTTTTGATTGATTAGAGTCACATGTGTCTCTTAATGACTGTGCAGCTAGCAAAATGCCTAAAGACGTTTCGTCTTACTTCCCTCATAAGAAACCCTTAGTTCGTTACAATAACTGGCTGCGCATCACGTTAATCAATGTGTTGTCCCCTTATATGGTACGTAGTCTAAGTGTCAAGTATAATTTGGCTTGTCCTTTCCGGATTAAGTTGCACATTTGCTGGGTTGTGTCTATTGTCAGTTATGTAAATATTCTAGGTTACTACACAGCTTGTTATGCGGTTAAGTAGCAGATAGTGAGGATGGCTCAGGTATTCAGTGTTCGACAATGCTTTTACCAGCAACACCTTCTAATGTAATTTGTACCCACCGAGAGAAATCAAAAGACAGAGTCGAGGAGATCTGAAGAGTGTATTTGGCGATGATCAATATATCGGAATTCTCCGATCTAATCTGGCTAGCGATTGCGGTAGATGTTGAGCACGGCGTTGCCACACGTGATCTGGTGCGAATGCATGACCGAGAGCCTTCAGCTAGATAAGTCCACTAAAACATATGGTCAGCATCCAATGTCGAAAACTTACGGAGCTATTTATTTTGGGGATTTATTTACCGCTACAATAGTTTTACCATATCTGAAGTTCGACAATAAATCGTTTGAGGCAACTCGTGTTTTCTTTGACGTTGTGAATGAAGACTGCCATGACAGACGAATAGGATCCCTGAAGATTTTCGACACGCATCTTGGGAAGGTAGAAATAACAGTGTTATCGAATTGATCGCTGTTATCTAGTGATGTTCACTAGGGTTAATATGACCAGCATCGCTATTAGATGTTTACAAAAATGTTTATTTCGTGTAGTTAATTGATATTCAAAGCGTAGAAACGTTTGTATATTTTCAAACGTTATTGAATGTGAACATTGTTTTAAATAACCACAACTCCATTAACTTCGTTCGATGGATTATGAGGGCGGTCTGATTGTTTGTTAGCTTTTCGTGTGTATAATAGCCCAATGGCTGACAAACGACCGAATGAGTGGGTACAGCTTTTACTTTCCAGATTTGATTCCCAGGTAAGCGACGTTTTTCGCTTGTGTAAGGAAAGTTTTATAAATCTCAAAATATTCGAATCACAGTTAAGGTGACTTCACGTGTATAACACCATGCCCAATACAAGTTAAAAAGTAAAATATTGGAGAAATATAGAGAAATAAAGCAAAGTACAGTGTATATTTAGAAAAAATGTTTGTTTTGTAATATGGTGCGGACACTGGTGCAATTTAGGGGAGAAATGGGCTATATAGTCCCCTGATATCCGGGGAAATGTGTAGAAAAGTAGACTATTTGGTATTGATTCATGCAAAGTTTAGCGTGTCCAGTTTGAGACGCTTCTCATCGGAAAGTTCGAGACAAAGTTGCCCACATTATCTCAGCGCTTGGGAACAAAGCTACGACTTGATGAATTGTTGCACATATTCGAACTAAATTTTCTCAAGGAACGTCGTTTACATTCCGCAAAATGTTGCCTTTATTTTCACTTTGATGCTTGATTTAAGAGCTTGTACGTATGGAACGCCGGGACACATGGCTTACTTGCAGCTTTATGCATCTCAATAATAACAAGTTCCGAAAATTCCTAATTTGAAATTTATTAAACTTGTATTTATCTAACCTGTTTACTTTACTCTAGCGTACGCTGGCTATGTCTTAATTAGGACGTTTGTGGGCGGAAGAGTGAATGGGTACTGACACTGTCAGCGTTTGTAATTGTTTCTTAGGTTGACCTAATTGGAGATGTTTTTATGCACAGTTCGATCATGAGTCCACTCCTGATACTTGGGATTAAATATCGTCATGGCAAAACACTACAGTACTGTATTGTGTTCAATGATATCAATATTGTCTCAAACGTCTATTACGAATTCATTCATATCATTTCCAAAACGCTAAGAACCACACTACCTCACTTCCAATGAATGCAACATAATTTCTTTAACATTTAAAGACTTTGGATCATCTTTGGGGACCCATACATTCTATTGTTATCTATGATTTAAATTTATTCATATGTTTTTATTTGTTATCACTTTAATGTTTTGTCATTCAGTTAATTATTTTTGTTCCAAGTAAATTCATAATCGTAGCCTTCAATTCATTTTTCTGAGAATCATAGACGTTCATACAACGGTGATACCTGCTTTCTCTAATTCTTTCAAGCTTTCTTTATTAAAGTACTTAAGAATTGCACCCCTAACGTCTGCATTTTAGTTACAGACATTGTATCTAAATCTAAATTTTTGTGACGCCGTCAGACCTGTCGATGGACTGAGAAACGAAAAACTTAATTCATCAAGCAAAATGACCTTACTTTCATATCAAACAAGTGGTTATGGCCATTCAGTAAAAATAATTATTATAGATCATTGCATTCAGTACACTGACAACAAAAGTACAAATAGACAACTGCTCTGGAAAGAACATAAATCACAATTATTTGATTTATTAAAAAACAGATTTATTTCGAAGCCGTTCTAATAAATGTGTTGGCATAATCTTTATAAATTACCAGGTCTAGACTGCAAAATTATCATCGTATAATCAGTTGCCAACAAGGTTTCTAAAGGAACAACTCAAACAGATGCGACTAGTCAATTTAAACGGAGGATTACAAAACTTTTTAGAAAACGAATGATGAATCAGTCGTCAGTGTTGATTCTCTTGAGCGTCTTAAACCATCAAGTACTCTTATTTCAAGACTATACGGCCTTACAAAAGTACATATAAAGGATCTTTTCCTAAGGCCCATACTAGACATGAAAGATTTAACATACAATGGGACTACTAGATGGGTAGTAGAAAACATACCACATCTAAGAAATCAGCTCAAAAGACACAGAATACTAGACACATTCGATTTTGTCGATTCGGTATCAATGTGACCACAATAGGAATTACGTCACTAAATTTTGTTCTAGATTTTTAAAATTTCAGTTTTAACGGAGATAAAACTGTTCTTTGATCACTTTGTTCTTAGTTATTCTTTATTATCGTCACGTTTTCAATTCGTTCTTCACCTTTTCCATATTCGTAAAATGGACAATCATCGTTCACTAACTTGATTTCATCTTATTATCTTTCTTCACGTTTTTGATCGTTAGGAAACCTCCTTCTGACAATTGAAATGATGTAACCTTATTTTTTATTAACCATCATATTTGTCAACCACCTTTGTGTAAGATTATAAAGTTTGGGTAAATGACATTTCTGAAGTAAACGTTCTGCTCTGAACTGTCTTTAATTCTTCTTCAATGAAGCCGTAGGTTGATTTCGTTATCAGATAACCAAAAACAGATGAAGTACAGTTATTTCAAAAGTATTTTTTATTATCCTTTATCTAACTATAGTGCATAAATATTTCAAGGAACTTGACATATCTCCTGAAATCCAGGATTAGGGGTAACAGCGTAAAGGATTCTAAAACTTCCCTCGTTAGTATTTGCCTAATTGACTATGAAATCCTTACTGCCAGTAAACGTATGGACATCCTAAGGTTGCTTTCTCTAATATACAGCGATGAAAATTGTCGCTTGCGGTTTTTCTTGCATCAAATATCACCCAAATTATTGAGCTTGTTAATATTTGTGAACAATATAAATATTCAGTTTATATATTCCAAAATTGTCAGGTTTTCTTTGCTGCCTAATGCATATTCATGTGACGGACTTTAGAATGAACGAACTTTAGATGATCATTTAACCTACACTAAAATAAATTGACTGTTGTATGGACATGTAACTTTTTAGTTTAAAATCGAGTACTCAAACCATTAAGAAACGGTTTTAGAATAACATCCAATTAGCAAATATGCAGTATTTTTGTTTATTTTCTCCCATGTTTTGTGTTATTCAATTGTCAAGCCTCTTTTTTATTGATTAGTCTATTGGGTTATTTTGCAAGGGCACTAAACGTCCATAATTTTACGTGTTACTGGTTCTATATTTGATCAAATTATTGTAAGGTTGGTCAAAGAATGACTATTTAACCGCATTTCACGGTAATCAGTCCCGAATCCTGATGAACACATGATTAAAGTGAATTCAAACTATGAGATTAGTAATTCACAGAGACGGTTGGTGCAAGTAATTATGAAGTTTCAAGATAGATCCCCATAATGCTTTATTATTCAAGTACCGTTCTTCACTATGGTCTCATTTCATCTACTGGAAATTAATAATGCTGTGATTAAGGAAAGTAAAAAGCCTGAACGAAACTTAATAGTTTTTCCAGATAATTTCATTTCATGAAGACAACTCTTAATAGGTCTTGTTTTTTTCAAGCTTCCCATACGCACTGGGATACATACTGCTCAATCTACACAAAATATGGAAAGAAATAAAGAATGTTTAGTAAACGTCAGCAGGTATAAATTTTCTCTCGTTATATCTGGATTAACAAAAATGCTTCAAAACATTGACAGTATGGTAAGTTGATATTCCATTCAGTTTGATTTATATTGCTACTAATTATTTTAATAGCAAGTATATGGACCAGATGCAGAAAGAAATTTTTGTGACTCACTTTTGATTGTATTGGAAACATTGGAAAAATGTCTCACATGTGTATGTTTAAAAATATAAAGAAATTATTATTTTGTTTAGCAGCCTCATGATACGTCTCGACTAGATGAAACTATTCTGGTCAAAAACCTACTTCAAGAGTTATTCAGAGTTAGAAACCTTGTGTTAAATGTAAATTTATGTATAAAATTAATTTGAATTAGTTTATGAATCTAACTAGTGAAAATGGAAAGATGTACAATCAACTTTTGTTGCTGGTATCGCAGGTTCTATACGCTTTAAGTACACAATACTTTAATGCTGTATTCAATCGAATACCTAATTGGTAAGCAAACAATTAACTTTTCTGTTCGGTCTTTTTTGTTGACTCGCTTAAATTAATAATTTTCAGTGATCTTGAGCACTAACGCTTATCAGGTATGTTCTGTCCGTAAACTGAAAATTACACAACTGTATTGTTTTCAAAACTAACTTTTCTATGCGTCAAGCTGCAGATGTATCATACATAAAAGAATCATTCACAATGTCTGTTCTTAATTAACCAGTAATCTAAATGCTCCTTATATCCTTGTGATTTTCTCAGTTAAGTGTTGACTTGTATCACTAAAGTTTCGAGGACTATGAGTTTAAAGCCAGATTTTGAGTATATCAAAAAATAGTTTTGTGAATTAGGCAGTAGTATAATAAAATTCCTGTGTTCATACACTGTAATCTCAAAAATAAGTATTAACAAACCGAAAAGGTAATATTTACAATATTTACAACCAAAGTTTTAACCTAAAAGTTTAAACGATGTGATGTATTATGCAAGCAAAATTAGATAATCTGTCTGCTTGATTTCATTGATGTAACTGACAATCTAATACTTGTATCAACAGATAATATCTACATAAGTTATCAGCTTCTCGAATAATCGTTTGTGTCAAGTTTATGTTTATATTTTTTATCCCTTTTCTGTATTGCTTAATAGTCTTGCTTTAGCTGCACAAGATGAATCAAATGTTGATCAAGCCAATGAACTGGAGTTAATTCAACACTTGAATTTAGATATGCGTAAATTATCACGTCTCATACTAGGTAAGCTACTATTTTTACAATATATAATCTGCCCTATTCACGATACGAAGAAATATGTAATCGTTTCAGATCGTTGAAAAAGTCCACTTGGTTACACCTTGCTGTTTACTTAGAAAGAGTGAGTTAAATTATTGTATTTTTTTCATTAAACTGCTAAATATGGATGAGATTTTACGAGACCGATATTTCGAGAATATACAGGATAGTCATTGGGTTGCAATCTAATTATGTAAATAAATTACGGCTTCGAATCGTAACTTAAACAGTCTCCTCTCCAAAACGAACCGGTAATAAAAAATGGATCGTCATTTTATTATGTAATTGCCGGTTAACCTTTCTTTTTTAGAACTTATGTAAGTCATAGGAATTTTATCTTCAGTGATTCTCCGACAAACTTAGGTCTTATAAACTTCTGCATGTAATGAAAAATTAGATAGTACACTATATTGTGGGTTAGATGCTGGTGATTATCTCAGTTGGATTTTAATTTCCTGATCCAATGATAATCAACTCTTCAGGAGATCAATTGTTTCTCCATTCAACTCTCCAATGAAGCGATTTTCAAAGTAATGAAGTCCTTATATTTAAATAAACGTTTTACGTGAAAGTAAATAAATTAAAAAGTAAACAAAGTTCTTTTCATAAATTGTAGATAGTTCAATTACAGTGAATATGACCAAGATCTATGAAGCTTTTTCATAATGTTTAGAGCAGCCGACTCTTTACCTATTGGTCGTGTATTCGAACTCTGCTTCAACCATCACTGTTCAAGCAGCCGTGTAGTATCACTTATTTACTAAGCCAAGACAAAGTCAATAATTAAAATATTCTAATGTTTACTACTGTAGTATGTTTTCTAGTGGTGTATTCGCTTCCAAGTCAATTCTGTGGCAACCAATTTCTTGATCTTCAAACGCTTCATCAAATAGCCCTGTAATTCGACAGGATAACGGATGTTGTGAACGATCTAGAAGATTATGAGTTCTTTTCTGTTCTTTTGAGTATTCACATTTATCTCTCACGGAAAATCTGTGCAACCGACACAAATAACGTCTCCAAGGTTTCAGTAGGACGGGTGGTAACAACTGGAATATGTCACAGACTTTGAAAAAGAGTGAAAATTTCAAATCTCATGATAGAGAATAAACTAATCCATGTTTGATTCTACAAGTTATTGCATAGTAAATTTATCAAACGTAGTATGTTGTGTCTGCTTAGTATCTTGTTCATTTCAGAAAGGTAGTAAAACATCGAGATGTAAACAATAGTTAGAAACTAATTTAAAATTCGATTGATGACACCATAGTTTTGGAAAAGGCTAAACCAAGTGGAAATAGTTAATCTATGCTTGGACCGATCTTTAAGTAAAACTCAATGTAAACATACATTTAGTTTTTGTTTTTCTGTTCTCCGTGTCAATAATAATTAAAATGTTTCTTTCCGACTTTTCTTGTAAAGGCCATTTGGAACTGGTTGGAAAATTATCCTCAAGAGTTCGATGAACTACAAAAGAAACCAAATGATGAATTGGCCGGTAGGTTCTATAAATTAGTAATACTGTGGATATAGAAATAATCTGAGTAACATCTACTGTATGAAGATAATCTGTATAACAGAGCAAGTTAACTAATAATAATAGTAGTGAAAATATTCCTAAAACTTGATTCCTTTCCATTCACTTGCTGTGTTTGTTCTCTTTATTTCAAAAGACTTCTGTTTACTTTCTGTTCATCTATCAGTCATTGGATATTAATAAGTAGCATACTACTAATTCTGATGGATAAGTCAATGTCTATGAACACAATGTGATACTTATTTGAAAAGTTTGCCAAACATGCATTAATTCGTTATTCAGTCTGGACAGAATATATCCAATGACTGATCTATAACAATTAGACTCAATAAACACATCATCAAATTAGATAACATACTTGGTTAATCTAATAATTTTAAATAAAACCATTAGCTGCATTAATAACATCATAGTTTTTAGGATGAATGATTGGCTGACCAAGTTGATGCCATAATTTTCCGTTAGATTATAATGGTATGAGATGCAATATTCAACGGCAATTTAGTAATGCATTTAAGAGCTACATATTTACGACGAGATTAGACACCAATTTAGATATAAATAAACAAAATTCATGTCACTTGATTATGAAAAAGATTAATTTCACTTTTTAGCAATTATTAAAAAGGCCTACAAAATCATTCCGTGTGGCCAAAGTTTGGATTTATTCACCTTAAAAGGACATAGCTTCGACTAACGATAGTCTTCACATTTTCAGTGACTAATGAGTAGCTTATAAAATGAACTACATATTTTACTAGATAATTCACATGGATAGAATGGAAAAGTAACAATGGACACTAAGATACCATGAAAGTTTGGTCATTGTAGTTTCATGTTTGATGTCAATAAGTTGTTGACATTCACTTCATGAAACATACCTTAAATTACAGCTTGTCAGGAGTATGAAAATCTTCAAGTTGGTTATCGTCTCAAGTCTATCTATAAATGCTCCTTTAAAAATGAATTCAGCGCAAAATTCTCACGCTGTCGATTGACTAGTGGTGAATAGTTAACGAAACTCTCTTCAATGTTTTCAACAATATTAATATAGCTTCAAAGGCGATTAAACGATTAGAAGTAAAAAGCTAAAATTTTTAGTTAATATTTAAATGCAATTGTTATATCTTTACTGTTGCAATTATGAGTTCATTTTAAATGTTCTGCTTCATCCAATTTCTTAAGAAAAAGACGTGTATTTAAAGTTTCACCACAACCGACCTCTTATTATATATATATATATATATATATATATATATATATACCAGAACTACCTACTAGATGTGTTTTTTTATTCTTTTTTGATGTTATTTTTATCGTTTAAGTTTTTTCTTATGTTCATATGTATATCTTTCTCTTTCATTAATAGACTGTTGTGAACGTCTGTTTGATTTGTTCACTTCACTTTGTGCTGAAAGTGGGCGGAAGAAAATTCTTGTTTGGCCTCTACAAATGATGCTTTTAGTACTTTGTCCGAAAATCCTCGAAGAAATTAATAATGCTGAAAACGGAGCACCTCTATCACCAGAGCATCAGAAAAAGAAACAATTTATGGATGAAGTGCGTGATGGAAATTGATTTTTACATTGTAAAATGGGATTTTCTTATCGTCCAGTTTGTGAGAGTCTTTTCTTTTTATTTACCTGAGATTGAAAGTGTGTATTTTGAGGTACTGAAAAATATGATAAAACATTTGCCTGTTTGAATAATATCACATTTGCGTCTAAGTCAATTGTAATGCTGACACGTTCTAAATATTCAAATCCTAGTAGATATATGTTTTACATGATGTAATTGGAACGTTTTGCTTTTCCTTTTGTTGGTTTCCTCTAACTTGCCGATAAAATGCATAATAGCGTGAGGTGACACATTTATATGAGGTCCCATGATATTACTGTCCACACGTTTCAAATTATATAATTGTATGGAGTAAACTGAAACCCTATCTATTTTTTGATTATTAAAAAAGCAACTGTACATAGAATCCCTGCAAAGTTGCCAGTCCTTTCAATTGAAAATAGTTTGTATTGTTTAAACTAAACTTGTCTGAAGCAACTAAATCTTATATTCTCACTGGTACTCACTAATAACTTTGAGAAAAACTCCCAAAATGTTAGTGACCATTAGAGTCCAACCATGTGCACTATGAGACACATATCACTAATGAGAATAGATGACTGTCGACGCGATATCATTAACTGAATGAAGTCAGCAATTTGAAGGCTTGATGTGAAACTTAAAAGTTCCAATTTTGACTGTGGTTAAGCAAACTGAGAACTCCAAAACTACAACATTTCTTCTTTTCAATGGTTCCTGATTTCCAAAAATTGTCTAGTTCAATTCAGTCTGTTATTTAAACGATTTTTGAATTTCACTTATCTCAAAGGGGACAAAAATGAACTTTTTGGGTTCTACTGGTAACGACAATCTAAATGTATTGTAACAGTTAGCACTAATTAGAGGGAAGATATTGAAATATGTCCCTTATTTTTTTAATGTTAAATGGAAGGCTTACTGAAATCATACTTCTATGAATTATTGTTATAAAACACTGATGAATTTGATGAGTTACTTCACTATTTCTGTTTGTTTTCTTGAAATAAACAAAAATAAATCTGTTTGTAATAAAAATAATAATTTGAATGATCGAAATAATGACTTTTATTTATTGTTTGGAAATACTTACTAGTATTATTTAAAAGATATTAGTGTCTTCATTGAATATATTCTCTCTGATACATTTACTAAACTTTTCTATCCGAATCCAGCGTTATTTTTGAGTTTTTTTCTAACTTTATGCATCATACATTAATTCCTTTAAATTTCAAAAAACTTTGAAAATAAGAAACTACTATTCATTGATTCCATCACCCTTTGATTTATTTTTTCTCACAACCAACACTAACACAATTTCAGGTTCGTAAAGCTCTTGCTTCTCATGGTCATGGAAGTAGTGCAAGTAAACCAGCTTTGCTAGAAGCTGCATTATTAGCTGCAGTTAATTTATGCAAAGCATCAACTTACATCAATATAAATGATCGAAATAATATTCTCTTTATTTTGGTTCATTCAGTATATGCTGATTTACAGGTAAAATTAAATAACTACTATTATTATTTGATTATTTTTTTTACACATAAAATTTTCAAACGAATCATGTATTTTACGATTTGTTAGGAAACGGGTACTAGGTAAGGATGGCAAATCAATTGATGACGTAGTAAAACTTCATCAGTTGAGATTGCTGGGACACGTGTTACGTATGCCCAACGACCAACTGCCCCGACGTGCGATGTTCAGTAGTATAGGAGTAGGTTGGAAGAAAGGAAGGGGCGGCCAGACCAAAACATGGCATAAGTTCATGAAGTCACTGACAAGTGGACTGAGTCATGTTGGTAGGTGTAGACTACCTGGTTGGAGACCGCGAGATGATAGCAACCGAGGGTTAGAGACCCTGAATGACATGGCTCAAAATCGTTTGCAATGGCGCAGGTGCATCCACTCTCTGTGTTCTCCCAAATTTTAAATCTCCTGATTCCACCTTGTCTCTTTTTTCTCTTCCCAAATTTATTCCACTGGATTATACTCCTTGAATAACATCTCCAAACCTTAATCTTCCCGATTACTGCTTATACTCTTACTACCTCTACCACTACGGGATTTGAATCGACCACTGCATCTCTGTGCCAATGTGGTGTGGCAACTCGAACTGATGTACGTACGTACGAAGTTCTACGTTGTTACTGACTGACTGACTGACGTGTATCAGAGATGCTAAAATACTTGGTGACATCACAGTATACCATGAGATAATGTCATACTAATAGACCAGCTACTTTGTCGATATAATATATAACAGATTAGACACATAAGGTCACAAAACATGGTAATTAGACCACTAGACTAGATCACGTAGTAAGCAGACACGTAATTTTCAACCAACAACTGAGAACCAGTTAACCTGAATCAAAATGAACTTTTTTTTCACAGTATGGAATCCAAAGCAGTAAAATCAACAGTGGGAAGAAGTTAATAGTACTGTGTAGTGTTTGATACAATCTACATAGATGGTTGTCTACCTCTGTTCATTAACCAACCATGGTTCACTATCTCACGGCACACTTGTTTGTTTAAGAGCAAAATTTAAAACAACTGTGAATGGATGAAGTCAACGGTCTATCTTTTTAACATCTAGATGACGACTGAAGTTGCGTTGATAGCTTCGTCTACATACACAATCAGTATATTTTACAGTAAAATCTACTGCAACAACGAATGACCAAGTATCAAATCTTTAAGTCATTTCAAATTTACAGACATATAATTTTTTGTCAAGTGATAGCAGATTCGCAGTGTAGGTCCTGTTGTCGTTATTGTAACGTTTAAACACTCCGTCTAGAGCTTTTCCACAATTTCATGTTGTAAATATGTTTCGGCTCTAATAGTAAACGGATATCCTATAAATGTCTTAATCCAAAGATCATAGGAATTGGTTTAATAGGGAATTAACATTAGATGATGAGGTGGAAAATTTTCTACCCTCAATCTCCATTTATCCTGCTGTGTTTTCGGAATTACCTTATTAGACATTTAATCTTGGCAATTACGGTACAGATTTTGTTTCTTGGTATTTCGCAGTTCACTGTGATGTAAGATTCTGGGTAGGATGATCTAGCAACTGTTCATGTTGTTGATTCGTCTATCATCAGTACGAAACCACATTTTATTGTCATATGCTATTCGTCTGACCAGTTAAATAAATCTAGAAGTGAATTATTTGCCAGGGTTTAAAAAAATCTTTTAATTAATTCATTTTGTACACGATACACCTGTTAATTAACCACTATCTTCATTCGTTGCAACTTAAATGCGACTATTAAATGCTAAAATAATATTTGAAAAATGAATTCCAAAGCATAAGTTGACGATAGGAGTGTTAGCAAACAATCAAATAAGTTTAGTGGTATTTGAACAATGATTATATCTTTTGATATAATAGTATTACTTCACTTGAACTTTTGATAGACACATAGATTGGATGAACTTTCTCGTATTGCTGGGAAACTAATCAACAAAGGATATATGGAAGGGATTTAAACTTTTGCTATATTCTTTTATTAAATATTTCCGAATCAATATGAGTCAGTGGGTAGAAATGGGAGTTTTCATGTTGAAGTATTACATGATATTACAAGGTATAAACAACATTTCAGTTTGTATGATATCAGTGTTGATATAAATATTATAAGCCTCTTAGCACTGATCTGTACCCTACGACAATCAAATCGCGGTGATTCAGAAACTGTCGGTCGTTATGTTACAGGAATGATCCAGTTATAGATGCAAATTTCTAATGTTCTCGTGTAGATAAATTTAAGTTTTGTAATCTTAATTCGTTACCTTATATACTTTTTCAAAACTGAACAACAAGAAATATGAAATTTCTTACCGTCATACAATATAAGGAGTTACTTTATTCAAATTAAGATGAAAGAAATTTCCATCAAAGTATAACAAAAACACTTCTTTTTTGAATCAGCTTATAAAAGCTTCTCAAATATTTCTCTTGTATCTCCCATTAGTATTTTCAATAATAGTGTCATAAAAATAAGTCCGGTCTATTTTTATCAGTTGAAACACTGTATGGGTTTTGTTAGATGTGTAACTAGCCTTTTCTATTTAGCTGTCTTTCTAATAATCTTTCCTGGTAGCGGTTATTAAAAATTTAAAGTATAACCAAACAAATTTTTAGTAATCATTTGATTATTTACCAGTTTAGTGATAAACTTTTTCATTAATCCAATTTCATTATCTTTATATAAATATCAAAATATCTTGTAGAATTTATTATTCAATCCGAATAAACCATATCTACGAAACAATCAAAATTTAGCAGAAACAGAATCATTACTCACGGAATTTTTCGTTGCTTATTTTCGTATAACACCACATAATAAAAATCTTCTCAAAGTTTGCTTACAAACAACATCACCGGCTATTTATCATACTGTGCTAGTATCTGGACTTTATCGTATAATTACTCAGGTAGGTTCTTTCTGGTGTCTTCCAAATAAAATTTGAGTTTATGTATATATGTGGGCAGGTGTTAGCGGGACATAGACTGGATTAAAGCATGCTCAATGCACAAGAATTAGCCAATCAGCGTTAGTCAATACTTAGTGAACACTCTAGATATCTCATGTCGAGTGATTTGATGTCCAAGAATACTAAGCAATAGGAATAGCTGGGTCATACCGTAAGAAAGAGATTATAACAACAGGATATGAAAACCTTAAATTGATGTGAACCAAACCAAATGAACAAACCATTAAAAAGGCTTATAGGAATCAGATTAGATGCATCACAAAAATGTGAATTTATATATCCCTGTAAATCGAACATCCTGCCACTGGAATACTCATTAATTTATCAACACTTGTTACTAAATAAATTTCTTTTTGAAGATTATTTGGCAAACGGTGAACCACTTCAATGTACTAGTGAGATAAAATAACTGAACTTTATTAGTATATTAGTTTGTACATAGTGACGTACTTTATAAATAGTTTTAATAAATGAAACAACTGATAACTCATTTCACATACATGAAACGTAATGCATGTTGCTTGCGCTTTTTCGCTTTCTTTTTAGCTGCCTAACGACTATCAGGAATAAATTTACTAAAACAAATAAATGTAAGGATAGACTAACAGTGTATAGTAAATAACTCACTGACAAAACGCAGAACGAACAGAAAGAAAAAGTTTTTATATAATATTGTTGAAATATTTTAAAGTTTTGTGATAAATCAGATTGATCTTCCAACCATATTCTTAAGAATAATTCATTATGTAAACTAACGAACCAGCAGTAAACCATAGGATCGGAATAAAATGAAAGCTACAAAATTGAGTTGAGTTCATTTTATTTTGACCGTGTTTAGTGCAACAGAAAAAAGAGTGATAATGGAGGAAATTTATCAACACCAACTATAAGTCTTTTTAATAGATGTAGTTTGAGCATTCTTTCTTTTAACCACGATGATAAGGATACTATGAATTCCATTCTAATTGAATTATACCGAGCATTTATAATTTTGTAGTTTGCTCCATACATAATGTACAGTATATGAAATAAAGAAAAACTATTTCTGCTGTTTGATGACCTGGGACATATTTATGAGAAAATAATCAGTTGAAGACTATTTTCTTTGTTCTACTGTTGTACTTATTTTTGAATGGACACATATTCGTCAACAGCGTTGAAGACCATGTATCTTTTTAGACATCTTACTTTGCATTATGAACCAGTTTCAACGCCGCAAATATCTTTTTTAAGTATTAAAATCATTCCTTGATTAATAATATTAGATATGAAACTACTCAAAAAATCTAGCTAAATGAACCTAGGACATTCTCTAAGTTCACTTATTTCAGGCGTTTGCCAAGTTTTCTTGTTTACTTTCATAGAAACGTTTTTGAATAACTATTTTTCGGAAAGCGTGTACTATAATTTATGGACGAACCGATCAGAAGCGTTTGAGGGATTTTAAGGTCACGGAGACTATTTCAGTACCTGATGCTCACGTACGATTGGTTTACATCGGATTTTAGGGAAGACGTTATAATTGAGCGGCTACAGCAAATGGGGTTATTAAGAAGTTCCTTTGTTTTTGTGATTGTGGTAATCAAATGATAATTGTTACAAACTGGATAATAAAAGCAGTTACGTTGGCTAAAACATTTTCAGATGTTACTGAAGCTTCGGCTGTTCAGTTGTAGGAGTATTATAGAGATATATGTGCGGTAAAATTGACAAGCTTGCGCGCGTGGTTTGGGGGATTCGAGACAATCGTTAAAAAAGACGAGACAGTTGTCAGAAAATCAAAATTCAACAGAGGTGATAGTGTTAAAGAAGACTGGGTAAGTAGCACTTCCATAAATAGACCTCAAAGGTCTTTGGAACACATGACAGGTCATCTTAAAAGGGACACTTCCAACGGGTTAGGAACCGACATGCTACAACGACAATACCAATTATACAGGAATATGTACAGTCGGCTACTACAATATATACGGATGGTTGGAGAGCGTACCAATCCTTACACGTACTTGATTGTGTGCATCTTATTGTCATCCACAAGCATCATTTTGTGGACCCAACAACCGGAGTGCATACAAACAATATTGAAGCTATGTGGTTGAGGCTGAAAGAGTTTCGCGACCTTATCATGGCTCCAGAGGTTGACGATTATGGAAACATATAGATAATTTCCTGTTTCGTATGCATTACGATTTCAGAACCTCGGAACCTTTTTCTGACCTTGAAAAGTTTCTAAACCATGTAAAAAAGTGTATCCACTCTAATTCTTTGGTTTTGTATCATATTTTTACTATATACTGACTATTTTCTGATTGATTTATATTTCCCAAGGTCACTTAAGATTTGTTCAAAGGTCGTCCATAAATTATGGTTTCACCTATTCATTTTCTATTCAAATGACATATTTTCATACGAATAATTAAGAAAACCGTCTCCTAAACATAACGCATCTACCGGATTCTGAAAAATATAATTTCGGGAGACTTTTAGTTTCAAAATTTACAAATAAATTTTGCTTGAAAAGAAACATATTCAAATTTTAATCTTTCACCCTTTAAGATTTTAAAAATCTCCCAGCATAATATTTTCTGTTAATGCTTTTTTAAAAATTCAGCACTTATTTACTTTTCCATCCGAATTAAATTCTTGTTATTATTTTCATTCGCACCTATCATGATGATATTTTAGCTCTTTATTACCAATCAGTTATATGTTTAAAAAATTCATTGGTTTAAATCCCCAGACTTGTGGTATACTGTCCTAATTTCTTATCGAATTGGTTGAAGTGATGATGGCTGTTTAAAAGGAAAGGGCTATCAGTACATATTTGTAGATGCTGCTAGAATAATGTAATTCCGTCTCCTTTCAGATCGTTGAGTAATACGGTCAGCAGTTTAGAACGATAAATGAAAACTGAGTTAGTTATTTGCATACCTTGAATCATATATTATAAAGCTACAGTGACCAGCGAACATAAAGATATATTTATTGATAACGCTACTTGTTAATTAGACAGTATTTACTTGCCTAGGTCTTGCATGATAATATTAATTTCTCTCCTGAATTATCATCAATCAGGGAACCATTTTTAAATTATTTAACGATGGATATATTACACGTCTCACTTTGATATTTCTTAACGGTGTTCACCCATCAGTACACCCAGTGTCAAATTCAGGAATTTTAGGCCTCATAGTGAGAGAAATGATTTGACTGTTCAAAATATTAGATTCAAACTGAAAATCCCTACAAATCCTCTACTTAATAATATACGAAATCCTGAATTGATTTTGGTTTTTACTAAGTTTTAAAGGTCACCTTATTTTGATAACATTGTTGAAATATCATTATAGTTCAATATAGGGCATTATAGCTTAATGAATGACAACTGTAGCATTCTATAAACAAAATCTTTATTTCAATGAAAAAAGTGTCTATCTTTTTTGTAGTTTTATTTTAGTTTTCTGTATTATCTTTTAAACCAGCTGTAACCATTAAATGTTTATTGTTAGCATTTTTATTATTGATCTAAACACTTGAACTTGAAAGTATTCAAAGATCGAAATGTAAATATTGGTACGAATTATTAATGAACATACAACTATTGGTATAAATTTTCTATTTCATATTTTACTCCTTCAGATATATATTATTTACGTGATTATATGTCCCATTTCATATTTAATGTTTATTGATAACTGAAATTTGCCTTTTTTTTTAAAGAAAATGAATAAACTAGTTGGTTAAACAAGATTTAATTTAATGAAGTAATCCCATCAAGGTTGAATACAGTCTCCATAAACCCCCAATATTAACAAAACTTTTTAATTTCTTATAATTTAATAAAATTCAATTTGTGCATATGTTGTTTTTGTTCTTCAGTCACGTCTAGCATGGTGGCCCGATGTTAGCCCGTTTTATTCGAAATCCACAGAAATTCGTTCAATGTTCTTAGAAACATTAAATCGTGTCAATCATCATCCACCAATTCGAATAACTCAAGTAAGTTTTTTATTTATGATATAGAAAAAATATATTTTAATCAAAAATAACTTTGGAAATGATGGTTATTTTATGTTCATTTTGTTTATCAAACAAATTAAGATATCAGTCGTAATCGGATCTACTCAAAATGCTTTTGTTTTTCATCCTGTATAATTACTGTGAAGTAACTGTTTTAGATTGTAGCTCTTCTAGAGATCGGTCAAGGACAAAGAAAGTAAGCCAATCACTGAGATTTAAGAACACAGGAACAGATAAGTAGAAAACTTTGAGAAACCCTTAAATAGGCCAGCTCTATTGATTCTTCCAGACTCCAAAACAGCACCAACAGACCTTTCTATGGATTCCGTAAGGATCGGTCGTGTACAGACCAAATTGTGACACTATGGATCATCATCGACCAATCAGTTGAATGGAACTCGTCACTATACATCAAATTCATTGACTATGAGAAGGCGTTTGACAGTGTGGACAGGAGAATATTATGGATACTTCTTCGATACTATGGAGTTCATGAGAAGATTGTCAACATTATCCGGAACTCGTACGATGGACTGCAGTGCAAAGTCGTTCATGGAGGACAGCTGACAGATACATTCCAAGTAAGGACCGGAGTCAGACAAGGTTGCTTACTTTCCCCTTTGTGTTTCTTCCGGTGGTTGACTCGATTATGAAGACCTCGACATCTGAAGGGAAGCACGGAATACAATGGGCAGCTTGCATGCATCCAGACGATTTAGACTTCACAGATGACCTGGCCCTTCTATCCCAAATACACGAGCAAATTCAGATGAAAACAGCTAGTGTAGCGGAAGCCTCTCCATCAGTAAGCTTCAACATACACAAAGGAAAAAGAAAGATTCTCAAATGTAACACGAAGTACACCAACCATTCACATTTGATGTAAAGGCGATATGAAACATTTCCCATTGAAGACTGATTTTCATCATGGATTAATATGAAACAAATCATTACAAACTGAAGAATAGCGAAAAGCTATTTCTTCTACTTTTAATAATTTTAGAATGTATGGAATTTAGTTGCTTACATTTATATTTTTGATCAATTCGAAATATGTAGTAACAATCATCGGATCCCGTCAGTGATATCTATTTTATTTCGGACATGGTCGGTCTTCATTGATCACAGCTTTTCACTAGAGCTTTGAGAATTCTTTTGATAACGGTTACTAGTAAAAATTTATTTATTATTATGACACGGGTTGAGTAGGAATTGTCTTAATTGAACAAGGGATATTCATCTAATTATTTTACAAAATGACTAAAATTAAAAATATAGACCATTGGATCTTGCCGAATTTTATAAAAATATAATTCTAGATGCCAGGTGAAAAGGTTGTAAGCTCTATCGCTGTTTGAGTCGTGAATGTTTACTTCTGATGAGTTTTAGAGTCGGTCAAAACAACTATTTTGTAATTCCTGGTTCTCAGGAGTTCACCAGCTAGTAACAGTCCATTATGAAACTTAATAATAATTATCCCTTATATAACTTTATTTAGTGTTGATTTACGATAATTGTTCATTGTGATTAATTTACTTACAATGCGTAAAAAATAATAATCTTTTATCGTAATTTTATACATGTTATTAATTGCTTATTTCATAATGTTTCTTTTTCTTCAAAAGATGATTGATTATAATTATTTTAGTATACATGTTGCTATTCCAATTAAATATACATACAAGCACATACATAGGTTTATTCTTTATGCATTTATGAATAACGTTTTAGTTTTGCTTCACTATCAGAAGAACATAATAATTCTCTCAATTTTTGCACACGATTGACTATCTGTGTGTTTTCCTGATCTTACATAAACAAATAATAAGTTTCCATATTGATGATATTATATGGTAGGAAAAATAAACGGGATATTTTCTTATTATTTGTAAACTAAAAATCAATAATTCGGATTCTTTCAACCCTATTTTAAAAACGTATGGGAAACATTTATTATATTTGTAATGTGATGTGTTACATATAGCATGTATATCTTACAGTGATATGGCACCAGTACCTGACCAACTACATCCAAGTCATTTGAACAACTACCCATATACACTTCAAATTTCTATCTGTAGTTTGTCATAACTATACGTGTTTAATGATAAGTATTATTCATGTTTCTTAATAATATTGTTGGTGCTACTACCTATGGGACACAGATTATTTATTGAAGTTTTGGAATTTCGGTTCTCTAACTAGAGCATGATAAAATACTGCATTCAGGTTTCATTTAAACGTACCCGAACGTCGGTAGTCACTCATTAAAAGGCTTACTCCTAAAACATGATGCATAACTAAGTTTTACATAGTTCCTTGAATATATATTAGGACACACGTTTAGTCCTATTTTGAAATAATCTTCCGTATATTCCTACTAAGATTTGAACTCAGTACCCATATTCTCAAAAGCTATAGAGTTTTCAACATTTCTACTGGGTGGATAAATTTCAGTCTCACTTAACGTGACATTAGGTATAATATACAAGTCCTAAATAGGTAGAAAAATGTATCATACTGTGCACCATCTAAAACATCCCTCTAGGGACTTGGTAGTAGATATGAATTCAAAAAAGTCACTTACTAACAGAGGTTGAATTGATCATAAATATCGAAAATGAGATAGAAAAGCATACACAAATCTATTGAGTGTACTCTATAAATCACGACGGTTTATATATTGTACAAACATGTGACGGACACGAAATCTCTTTTGGCATACGTCAATTCAGTCATCATAAATTATTGTTCCAGAAACAGTAGTGACTAGTCTATGAATGGTTAGTAGTTAGATTTGGAATAATAGATCAATCAAGTGTTCAGTTAAATTTTCCGTATTAGACTATTGTTTCACGGACAATGACACATATATCGTGCTAATATAATGTTTTGAGACTAACATTCATCGCACACTGCCATAAGCAAGTACATTATTAACAATCCAACATCACTACACAGTTTATTTTTTCTAGTTTGAGACTACTTAGCAGTGCATAAATTCGAAATCTTATGGTACATTTATCATAAGATGTATGAAAAATTTCACCCTGAATCATTGGTCAACTGATAATGCTCAAGAAGTACCGAAATAAAGTATCAGCAACTGTTAACACTACTCTTTGAATTTTTCAATAATTCTCTAGCCAATATTAGCCAATTATGAAATCAAACTTCATTTTTGACAGTCTCCACAAACTCCTTATTTCAATACATTATTTTGTTTATTATTTTCTTTGTTCTTCCTTTAGAGTCTTACATTTCGAGATAAAATGAATTTAAAAAACAAAGACAAAACTGAAGATAATTTAATGAGTAAATATAATTTACTACTAAATATGGTTCGTCTACTGAATGCTAATCCATTATTAATGCTTTATGTAAGTTGTGTTACTGCTAACATTTCATCTAATATACCTATGTTTATCGTCTATATTTACGTGTGTTACTACTAACTCTGACTAATTTATTAGTAGCAAGTTAGTTTATAATAAAATTAAAACACGTTACGCAATCTCTTACCTCTGAATGAATTTCTGAAAGAGGTTTATTTGTTTTACTAGTAATACAATTTTTATTTCGAATTGTTGAATAGACAGTACAGTTGTTATTTGCACGCTAAATAGTGATTAATGCATTTTGAGTAATTTTTCTGCTTTAGATTAGTTGTCAATTACTTTAATCATTTGACACTTAACCAATCCATCGTGAGTTTGAAATTGTTTCCACTTCATAAGGTTTAAGTATATAGATAGCAATCATGAAAGGTGGATTGAATATTCACTGGATTACACAAAACACAGTATTTAATTGTTTCAATGTACTGATAGAGACAATTCCTAACATTGGAAATCTGTCAGACTGGTCTCCACTTAGATACTAAGTTGTGTCTTTATATTTTATTCTGTAGTATATTGTAGATGTTTTAATCAATAAATGAAATGGAAGTGAATTTGTTGTCCATAAATATACGCTTTAGTGAAATAGAAATTGAAGTAATCCTACCTTTTAATTTTATAAATAAATTTATAATGAGCATCCTGTAAATATATTATTATTGATGAACCATGTAATAGTACTGAGATGAATTAAACATTCAGTGGCCAATGTGTTTCTACAAGCACTAAGGTCACTGAGGCTAACATCAGAGACTGACTTTATTTAGATGATCAATGAAGATCGGAAGCGCTAGGCATCTGTATCGTCCTAGTTTAAAACCTTTGACACGTGCTCATCTTCAATCTCGAAGAGGAGTAAACTCAGGACCTAAAGGTTTTGTGGAGACCAGTTAACCATTAAGCCACTATTTTGCGGTCCACCGGCTTCCTCTTTAAACTTTATTCAGCCTGGAATATTGTGAAGGCACCATCAAATGTCCTTGGTGGGTAATTGTCTCCTTACGTGGTTAAAATCCACCTGTTACGGTTTCTTACTAGAATTCCTTCTCAAAATTAGTCATATCAGTTATTGATATTAACCAAAAATTTCAATGGTCTCCGTGAAAAATTTCTTCAAATGACTGTTCTGATTTTGTTTTTACTATAAAAGTATATCCATCAGTGGTTTTTAATATTAAATATTTTATCGATACTTTTTAACTGTTTGGCGTTTATCATATTTAGAGTCCGCAGACACGTTCAAGTTCAGATGCTCAGAAAGCAACATTTGATTTAATGAATGGTTTAATGTCTTTAATACAACAATCTATTATGTCTGACTTAGCACAGGAAGCAATGGATGCTTTACTTTGTCTTCACCAACCAGCTAATATAAGATTATGGAATTTACATTCACCGGCTCAAGCGTTTTGGGAAATAAGGTATGCATATATATATATATATATATATATATATATATATATATATATATATATCGTAGATTTTTATGCGTAGTTGAATGATTCAGTGATTTCCTTTTGACCAACTTTATGTTCATACAAATAATGAAGCTTTAAAACACTTATGAAGTTCTGTCCGATTGCCATCATAAATAATATGATACATGGTTTTATATCCTCATCATTTAATTTTTCTTGTGTCAATGGATGTTGTCGGTTAATCCTGTTGAATAGTTTGTGTAAGCTTATTCATCACGATAGTTTCCAAAGTATTTTAGTCGGTTGTCTAGTTTTATAACTCATTTTACTTGAATATAACTTGACACGATACGTTCTTAATTGTTGTAATGTAGTTCAAAAACAAGAAATAATACTTATCTTTTAACGTACTTAGTATTTTCGGATAATAATTCTTTTTGAGAGACTATTCGGCTCAATCATATGGGTCGAATCAGTCAGTAATGGGATGAGCTTGGCTAATTTTTCAATATGGCTACCGTGACTTTAAGCTGATTGGTGCCTAATCTGAAAACGGTTATTGTAGATGAATAGTGTATTAAAAATGCAATGATATTACAAAGCTTTTAACACAATGTATGGATCTATTGAATTCTTCTACAGGTTTTACTATCTGTGAATAGAAAAAGCAATGACAAGTAAATCGGTTCACATAACTAAAAAAATACATCTTCTCAGACACTTATAGGGTGATAATTATTTTACTTTCAGTCATACACTGTTCTTGGTCGTTGTTTAGACCTAGGAAAGTCGTTTTCTCAATTCTATTTCGCTCGTCTCTGTACTTTCCTTTATTCGTTAAATACCATCGTATATGTTGATATATTTCCTAATTGATAGAATAATGGATCTTTTTTCAGTTATATACCTAATATATTTTTATAATACTTTTGATAACTTTATCAGTTAATGGTAATTTTTTTCAAAATGTGATTAGAATGCGCTCACGTCGAACATATACTATTCCATAGATCATAGTGTCCTTTTATATCTGACTATATATTACATAAATTCAAAAATCTGAAACACAGACAAGTTTACGAAATATTATCACTAAAATAATTTCCCCTCTAGGTCATAAATTTGGTTTCCAGAGAAATAAAATCTGTGTAAAGTTGACAGCTTGTGTGGTAAAATATTCACTGTCTAGACATTTTTCTTTCATTACTTTTATTTACATTTTGTTCGTCTAATGATATTTCTTTCCGGTTTTTTTAAGTCCACAACTTCTATACAGTATTGCTCAGAAATTAATCAATCGTAATATACCTAATTCATGTGATGTTTTAAAATGGTTAAGAGAGATTCTTGTCTGTCGTATAAAGTTTCTTCAACAGCATTGTGATTATGCAAATCTACCAGGATGTTGTACACGGGGTCTGTTGACATCTAACATACCAGTTATTGGGGATGTTAATATAACTACAAGCACAAATACTACAGGTGTAATTAGTTCTATTACAGCAGCGACGACAGCAGCAACAACTGGATCTAGCTTATCTACTGCTGCAAACTATATGCAAACAAACGCATATTCAAGTTAGTCATATTAATTTATGAATTTGCGTTTTATTTATTTATTTTTATTTATTGAATCTTCTGTTTATACAGAACAGTCATTACAGTGAAACTAATATCTCAATGTTTAGTTTCTAGTGCTGATCTATTTAGTTTCTGATGAGTAGTGACTTCTAAATATAAAGTGAGACACTATCTGACGAGGTGACAAAAATGTCTTATCATCACTATCGCGTTGTTATTCTGACCTCAGTTTCTAATACTGTTACACAATATTTGTCTTCGTATTCACAACTGTAATTCCTTTTCCCTATTCTTATGTCTTATGTGAGTTTCACGTATTTCACTATGTTGATTATTCTATTTTCATAGTTGTTATTACGTGACTGTCAACATCGATTATGCAATAATCATGTTTTCTAAAGTTTCCTTCTTGGGATATTCACATTGTTTATCAGATATATTCAACTGTGCGAACCCTTTTAACAATTCTTCCGTATTTGTTCCTCTTTTTAATAATATTCAGTGATCAAAACATTTCTGATATTATGATATAAACTATTTACACTTTTTAAATAATTAATTATTTTATAGGTCATGAAATCAATGAATTCATATTATTCTTCTACGATCACTGTATTCTCTTTAACAGCACGTTATTGACCGAGAAGTTCTAGAAGTGTACAAAAATAGTTTATTTTTTCTCGAAATAAACAATACCATTCAATAGATATCTGATTTAAATTCAAATAGATAGAAAAAATAAACCGCTATGACGGCAAACAGATTCCCTTGGGTTGTATTGGGTCCCTTGTGATCTGGCTGTAATGATAGAAAAGCAGTTGTATGATTTCTCTTCAGTCCGACCACAACTAGTTCATCTATGTTGCCAGTGGGAGAGCCGGCTGTTTACCAGTTGGCAAGTCTGCCAAAAAAAGAACAACCAAGGCATTGACGTTTTAATCTCTGAGCTCCTTTTAATCCTGTGGCCAATCAGAGGATAAAGGAAACACTTTGTTCAGTTTCTTTTTTAGTAACCATAAACTTTTATATTTCGTAGTTCGTATTCACGTCTTTCAAATACATCTTTTATTTCATCTAGATATGAGTTATACAGATGGTGGCGTGTATATTGGACCAGCGCCTTCTTCAAAGACGAATTCTCAAAACATTCCATGTTTAAGCCCATTTCTAGGGCCATTAGGAATTAATCCAAAACGAAATCAGATGGCTCTTATTAAACTAGAAACAGTATTCTTTACTTACCTATGGTCACTGGATTTAGAAGCTGTTTTGACTTCAATGTCTTGTTTTCGTCTATTGTGTCAAGAAGCTGAACTTTGGAGTAATGCTGCAACTTTAGCTACAATTACTTCTGTTCCAGATAACGAGTTTGTACAGCGTTCTGATTGTGAGTGTTATTTGGTAAATCCTAATTTATCAGCTCCTTCTTCCGCAGAAACATCAGATTGGGCAGAGAATTCTGTACTGACAACAAATCTACACCATAGTGATTTGATCCGAAAGTCACCTCCACCTACAGTTAACTATAAACTCGTAGTTTCGTCAGCTTCATCTAGTAGTACTCCGCCTGAAAGTACATGTGTACGCTTTCAAAACCCTTCAACATTGTATGATAATGATTCCCGAACTCGTCCTAATATTTCAGGATCTTGTATTGCTTTATGCAATTGTGGGTGTCCTCTTTGCACCCCAGTAAGCTATCTACCAGTATACACCAATGTTGGTAGTAACCCTGCTGTCTCCCGGTCTATCCACGACTCCAGCTCTCATTCTAGTTTCAGTACCTCACTAAATTCAGACAGTAATCCAACATTTTGTTCTGAATATTCTGATGACAGTACAACGAACTTCTCTACTCAAACATCGACCAAAGTTATAAATCCTATTCTCCATACAACTAGTCCATTAGACAAGTCATGTTCATGGTCGTTACCAGCTCAGTGGGCTTTCACTGACTTCCGGCTTCCAGATCTTCTACCTGTTTACAATGTGTATGCTGAGATTGCTGATCACAGTCGTTCAATTGTCACTACAGGACGTGCGCATTTACAAAAACAAATTCTAGCTTTATTAAGAAAAATAAATCATCAAACCCAAGGAAATAAGCTTGTGAGTTCTGTGACCAATTCTACCATATATCTGTTATGATTTGTTATCTATTGCCAATCTAAAGATTTTAATACATAAATAATTGATATTTATCTTATCTCTTCTTGGTAAAGTTTGGAGAGACCAACTTGACCATAAATAAACTATCTCTGCTTTTAGTATTGTGATTTATTTTGTTAAAATATTAATTCCTTTTAAAGCAAAGCTCATGTGTACTTAACAAAAACTTCAAAAACTTGTTTATTTTTTCCATTAATCCAAGTTCAGAGGTCAACATTGATCAGTTATAATTTATTACAAGGTTCCTGCAATTTTATGGCCATTCTGTTTGAAACACTACTAATAAATATATTTCTTCATGAAAGTTCATCTTTCATTTATAACGTAGAAGTGAAGCCTTATATATAAATTTCTTGAGACTATTTCCATCGTTGAATAATTCTTTTTAATCTGACAATTATCAAAGATATTTTATCTTGCCTGAATATTTCCTATGTAAGTAGCGGTCTTGATTCACCTTATATAAATAGTCAGTCAGTCGGTCAGAATTTTAATCTTCTGTAATTTATTCAGTTCCGGTAATCGATTTCATGAGCACAGAAAGTCTACAAAAATAAACAGCCAATATAAGTTACTGATAAATTAATAAGAAAAACCAAGTGATTGATAATAGTTTTGAATTTGTTAGGCTTCCACCAAATTCAGTCCACTAAAACCCTCTACTTATCCTTACTTTACTACTCTGTAGTTCTTAGTTACGTATTTTAAGAAAAATAATTATCAAATCATTGACTGTAGGCATAAAAATATGTCATGAATTTCATGGATTTGAACAAAGTTTGACTTACTTTTAAACCAAAAGTACAAGCTAGATATATGCGATATACACTTTTTTATCGTTTTATTTCAAAAAGTGAATATTTACAGTCATATAGTTTTATAAACATGTGTTTCTATTACTTTTCTAATGTTTAACTGCTTTTCATTTACATACAGGCCTGGGAACATACTTATATGATTTGGCTAAGAAGTACAAAGTTTCTAATAAATTATCCTAAATCAAAAGCTTCCGTCCCATCAAACGGAACTGAAGACTCTTGTTATGATACCACTGCTAATTCAGCTAATAATAATTCAGTGAGCGGATTTTCATCTGCATCACTGGGTAATTCTGCATCTATACCTAGTGGTCTAGACTCTTTATCTAATCAAGTGGATACGGCTGCGTCTGGAATGAATATAGATGGATTTTCTTCTGCCCAAGGTAATTCATTGAAATATAATTTATTTGAAATAATTCACTTACTTTAGGTTCTACCGGAATGCTTCTTACGATAGCAAATAATACTGGTGGAGTTTCTGTGTCAAGTGCTTCTACTGGGACTAGTTCATTTGTCTCTGGAAGTGCTATAAGTTCAGGTACAAGTCGTTATTTGGCTGTTAAACGTCGTGTCAGTCAACAGTCACCAGTAAATGACCATGAAATTGAAGATGTACTAAATGAATGGGCAAATATGACTGGATTTTTATGTGCACTAGGTTCCGTAGCACTTAATATACCACCACTACCTCAAGGATCTTCTTCACTTCCTTCACAAATAGCTTCATCGGGTTATTCATGTGTATGTTTAGTATGTTTTTATCACTTGGTTCATAGTTTCTTTTTTCTACATGTTTGCTTGTTCAGTTGTTTTGAAGTGCGCTGCGGTGTTTGATCTTTTTTTTAGTACTGTTATCATTACAGTGATAGGATCCACAATCTAAATTAGATGCTTAAATTTCCCATTATTTTGATTATTATAGTATTACAATTTTTTCCATACTATTTAAAATATTGCTTGTAAGTCGCTCAAATTTCTATTGAATCTTAGTTATGTTATTTATCATCAAAACACCCTATTACAGATTTCTTGCTACACTTTATTCAGTACTAATTAAACTTAAATCAGCTTTTAAAATTTTTATTCTACTATAGTTATTCAGTTAGAATATCTCTAACTATACACGGATGAGTTATGTATGTTGAAGTATTTTATAGAATATTAGTTCCTTTTAAATTATCAACAAATCTTATGGACTTGAAGTCTATTGACATAAATGTTTAAAGACATTTCACTGATTTTTATTATTCGATGTTCATACGTACTAAGTTTTTCGCTGCGAGTGACCGACTGACGGATTATAATTCTACACAATGTTTTGTTACTGAATTTGCAAACTTGTAATCATTTTCATCAGAGAATTGTTGAATTACTATAAAGCAATACTTTCATTATCATCTAGTATATAATTCGTGTAAATGTTGTGCCTTTATATACTTTATATCAATAAACATAAGATATATATAAAATAAACATTTTCTTGTAGGAACTACTACCTGAAATTTGTCTTCTTTTTAATTCGTCTACTTTCTCCATGATCAATTACGATATTTGAATGCTAAAATATAGTAGTTATATGTCTTTTTTCATCACAAACTATGATTCACCAGCGAACTGCCTAAAACAGAGGGGCTATGAACGAATGTTTTGTTCAAGTTGGGGCTGATGCAATAGCATGTGCTTACAACGAAGTCGAGATGTGAGACAGCAGCTTAATAACGGGACCAAAAGAGTGTCTCTTAGTAGTGTTATTTTTGTGAATTAAAAAGATATAAAATGAATAATTGCGAGATATCGTTTTCGGCATGAAACATGAAGGTTTTGAACTCGATCTTACGTGAAGTCACGAGTACATATTATTAGAAGAGTACCTAACGAGAATTTTGACAGCCTTCAAGTCCTGACTGCGATTTTTTGATTGATTCTCCACTCAAATTTAGCTTGTGATTAAAATTATCTATTTGATTAGAACTATACTAGATGATCACAAAATAAATTCACTTATTTACAGGACCAAACCAAAACCAAACCTCAACAAATCCACTGTCCTCATTATCATTATTGCTCTCAGCATTTATTGGATCATGTACATCAACATTTTGATCCTAATTGTCTACGTGCAAACTATTTCCTACAGTCTCATCGCACTAATTTTATTAAAAGTACTAACGATGTTGATCAAACAGATGAATCTCATAAATGTCATTCATTTCATGGCGCCTGTCTTAGTGAATTAACTGCTGCAAGACGTCTTTCACTTGTTCAGTCTAGTTTAAATCAAGATAACCAATTCTCACCCGTTGCTCAGTAAGTCGTATTTATTTGTTTGTTTAATCATTTTACGGTTCAATGTTTGATGGATTTTCCCTTATGTTTAGCAATGAAGTACATCTGAATTACGTTTCTGCATTGCCATGTTCTGTAATTAAAAATCAGAAGTCCAGTTTATGACTATTAAGGTGTCTATTACTGTTAAGACAATCAACCTACATATTTATTCATGGAGTATAACTTCCTAATGTAGTAGGTGAAATTTGATTATAGAATCAGGTTATGAATACATTCGACTGAATTAGGAGTGGAGCAGTGACTTGATTGTTGAAACATTTAGCTTTCATTCATTAACAAATAAGTTTGAACTAACACTGCCTCAACTAAGTCAGACGAGTATAATTTTCAGACCCTCGCATGAAATGTATACATTAAAGCTGAATACATGGACTTAAATTTCACTGTGGTTGATTATTGAGAAAAATATATTATTTTAGCGAATCGGCAGACACTTTTAAGTTTACTATTATGTTCTCTATACAGTATGCAATTCTTGGATTATAAGCAAAGATGGATGGTGGTTAGCAGTGGAATCCAGGACGTGCGTACTGTCCAGTTTCTTGGGCTCCTCCGACGGATGTGCATGTATCCCAGAGTTGATGGTCACTCCGCGACTCCAACCTAGTACCGTTCACTTCAAATCCCATCGCGTTATCTATTTAACTACTGACTTCACATAGTCACTAGCTTGTGCAACTCGATGAAGTTTAAAATCCTTTTTGTATTGTTTGTTCGAATGTTCCGCACAGGATGCACATATGCCATAAACAGAATGATCAATTATAATCCTAAACATCAATAGGAAGATTCAAACAAACAGTACAAGAATAAATTAATTCTAGGATTGGTAAATATCTCAACTGAAGTAAATTCTACCTTCTACTTCATTAGAAAGTTTTACTAAATTGAATTTTACTGAATAACATAGTAAAAATTGATTACTTAACATTTTCTGTTTACTTGATTTTTGTAATTCAATGAAAATTTATTACACTTTGTAATTCCACATATGAATAAAACTAAATTGTTACTTGACTCCCTTTTTTTCATTTTTGTTCTTGTTTTTATTGTCTACAGGTTTATTGGTAATCTTCTACTGCTTATCAGTTGTCAACATGAGAAATTTGGGCATCAAATACAAAAACATGTTAAAGAATCAATTGGAAATGAATTAAATCCCTTGATTTATCCAATTTTATTCAATCAATTACGTAATCATGTGGATGCATGTTTTTCAGGACAAGGGCAACAACAAGTGGTTGTCACAGAAACCAATACATTATTTATTGAAAATGTGATCTTTATTATGCGTAGTATATTAGATAAACGAACTAAATCGGTTGATCGATTAAGTGATCATTTAGAATTAGTTAGTATAGAAAGTCTTATGTTAAATATTGTTAGGTAAGATTGATTTGTTTATCTGTTTATTTGCTCATTTATTTGTTATATCCATGTTGAATGAATTCATGCCTTTTTACCTTTTAATCTCGAATAATTTTGATTAAACCTTATGCAATAGAGAGAGAAAGTAAACTGATGTTATAAAATATTTAAGGTACAATAAAATGAATATAATATTTCACGACCTATGAAATAATTAAATTGAATAGATTCCAAATCATTCTTTTAGATTCACTTTAAAGGAATTAATGAATTTTGAAAACTTTGTTTTCATTATTAACGTTAGTTAGGTCAGTAGTTTGAAAGTCTTTAATAATATTCACACTATATTTGATATGATGTCATCTTCAGGAATTTAAATTTTTTTTATATGTTGCACACTTCACCTTTCATGTTACCATATGACTTTACGTGTTTCTAAAGCAGGTATTATATATAAAAATAGATCTTATATCCTATCAAAATTTAAGATAACATACTTTTCAATCGCTCACTAGTTCATCATACCACTTCTTTATAGTGTTTATTCTTTATGTTATAGAACTATAGAATATTATATCGGATCTAATCATAGGCTTTTTTTATTGATATTTGTAAGCTTTTTTTCAACCAATACATATTATATGGTTTTAAAAAACAACAGTAATAATCAGCTAGCTATAAATGTATTAATGGGTTTCCAAGCTAATGATGTAGAAAATAAATTTAATTGAAGCTATGCTAATCATAGTCTCCTTAACTTGTAGTGCAATCTGAAAAAAATCTAATTGTAGTACTTCATACATATATTACACGAATATTCCAGTTGTTCTTCATCTACTACTAACTTTTAGCAAATAATTAATCAAATTTTTTTATTTTACAAAACTTATTTATATAGTATTGAAGTTTGGCCTTGTTTAGGAAAAAAACATTACACTTTAATGAATATTTGTAAATTGTTTTTCATATTTCAATAATTAGTATTATGTTTATCAGTTCAAATTAACTGAATTTGTATTTCCTTAAGAAGCAATAGACTTTCTTGTGTATATAACAAACATAACAATATTTCTAATATTCACATTTATCATAAAGCCTTGGCATATAGAAGTAATGCGAAATTTTTTGTCAGTATTAGGGAGATGTATGCATCAAGAAAATTAGACTGCTCGACAAAAACAGAAGAGGAATTTTCATTGATCGCTTAGTTTTATTCAGTTAATTAAATATTCTTCACCTTCTGTCACCTATACATGGCGGGTCAATAAGCCGATGTTCACAGGCTGTTACCTAATGAAGTAAAAATGTTTTGTACTCATCAACATTAATTTAATATTATGGTATGTCATACACAGAAGCGGTTGCTACATTGTTTTGTTATTCACCATTCACCGACACTAATATGATTGAGTCTAAACTATTAATAACCAACTATAAATTCAATACTTTGCTTTCGGCTGAACCTCCTGCTTCGGCCTGGGCACCAGGGCAGTATTACAGGCCACACACAAATCAAATGAAATGACAAATAATACTAGAAATACTATTCTTGCTTCTATTAAAATTCAGACAATTATTATTCATTTTTATTTTTATTTTTTTATATACTACGTCAGTTATCTACTCTCTTTTATTCTCACTTTGTGAATCCTTATTTCTCAATTTATGGGGGAAACCCTGTTCTATCTAAACGATCTCGAGTCACTGACTGGTGGAAAATTGAAGAGAGTCTTTCGGGTGTCCGATAGGACTTGTTGGTTGCAGGTCAGATAGTAGGGACCATCTACTGCGACTGTGCTCAGACTACAACCTGTTTCTGACTAGTGCTAACTACCTGCACATTCATTGCCGATGTGCTACCTGGCGTCATCCCTCTGCATCTCAAGCCTGAACTCAGATTAATCACATCGCAATCAGCTGCTGCTGACGTGGTTGTATACAAAACGTCCATTCGTTTTGGAGTACCTATCTGGACTCTGATCATGCCCTTGTTTGCGCTTATTTACCTTACTTTTTAGTGGCAAACAAATTCATCGTTAACTGGTCTACTGCCCCGGCAACATCGATCAGACTGTCCAGCATTTTATAACCTGTGACGACTGATCCACCTTAAGAAGCGGAAGTCCACAAGGAACCCCAACTCTTGAAGCGCTACAAATCACTGGGATCAGATAACTTACCTCCGGCTCTTTTTAATTACACTAGTGACTTTCTCGTTAAGGGACTGTCCGAATTATTCACAAAGGTTTGATAGTTATAAAGTGTTCCAACATCAGGGAGTGAGTCGATATTTGTCACTATCTTTAAAAAGGGTTCACTTTGTCTCTGTTACGACTATCAAGGGATAAGTTTACTTCCGATTGCGTCCAAACTATTGGCTTCTGTCATGCTTCGTAGATTGCTCAAAACCCGAGAAAGATTGACTCGCTAGGAGCAGGCTGGGTTTCGTTCCGGTCGAGGATGTATTGATCATATCTTCACCCTCCGTCAAATGTTAGAACACCGTCATACTTATAACTGGCCAAAAATCATAGTGTTTCTTGACACCAGGGCTGCCTTAGATTCGTTGGACAGGACTGTTCTCTGAGATTGTCTATTGAAGAAGTGTGCCTGAAAAGCCTATTAACATCCTAACAGCCCTATATGCAAACACCTCAGGCAGAGTGAGGGCATACAAACACCTCTCTCTGAGCCATATCTGATAACGTCTCTAGCCACTGTGTAGTACCATTTCTAGGACCTCAACCAGGGTGTCGTGAAGAACCAACAGAAGCCAATCCTTTGCAGCTTTCTTTCATTCAACGACACAATGTCATATACTGACCACCTCTCCACTTTTTCCAACCAGTCCCAGAGTCGGCAAATAATGCACGACGTGGAATTCTCTGGGACGACATTCGTAAAACATGCCCAAGTCCCGAAAGTCGATGTTTGAAGATAGCGAAACCAACTGGATTATCGTCTCTGAGCCCGAACACACGATGCCGAACCTCTGCATTACTAACATGGTGTCGCCACTGGATGTCAGCAACCATTCAGAAACAACGATGATCAAACACAGAGAGTCGTCTAACATCCTCAACTCGAAGAAGTCAGGTTTCACAAGCACACAACAAAACTGCTCTCACCAACGCGTTTTAGATCCGACCTTTTACAGCCAGACTAACATCACGAAGGCGCCAAAGATGGCCCAGATTGGCAAAAGTCGCTCTGGCTTTCACTATACGTGCATTGATCTCATCACTCACACCCCCACCAGCACTTATGCAGCTACCCAGATACACGAACTTCTCAACTACTTCTATCTGCTCATCACCCAGGGTGAGTACAGGATTAGAATCCTGCCAGTCTTGTAGAAGTACTTTGCACTTGAAAGGTGCGAAGTACATACCATACCTTAGGACACTAACTGCTAAAGGATTAAGTGTGGATTGCATAGCTTAGGCATTATCGCACAGTAAGACAATGTCATCCGCATACTCAAGGTTGAAAAGTCTTTCTCCAGGTAACAGATCCACACCGCCAGCATTTACATCCATCAGAGCTGTTTCCAGAATGTCATCGATGGCAAAGTTAAAGAGCAATGGTGAGATTGGGCAACCCTGTCTAACCCCACTGCTCGAATGGAACAATGGAGAGAGGTGGTTGTATGCCTTCACTCTGCCTGAGGTGTTTGCATATAGGGCTGTTAGGATGTTAATAGGCTTTTCAGGCACACTTCTTCAATAGACAATCTCAGAGAACAGTCCTGTCCAACGAATCTAAGGCAGCCCTGGTGTCAAGAAACACTATGATTTTTGGCCAGTTATAAGTATGACGGTGTTCTAACATTTGACGGAGGGTGAAGATATGATCAATACATCCTCGACCGGAACGAAACCCAGCCTGCTCCTAGCGAGTCAATCTTTCTCGGGTTTTGAACAACCTACGAAGTATGACGGAATACGAATTCCCTGGTATGCCCGAGGGTGGGGTGGGTCCGCCCTCCCATTCTCAATACTCTCACACGGCCACGCGTATACAGCCTCTGCCAGGGATGTCCTACTCACTGTCTTCTCGTGGCAAGGGTGTTGTTTACGAAAATGAGAGGACGAAAAGCGAATGTCCGGGGCTGAAACCGGATCACAAACCAATGGTGTGCATGGGCTCCAGTATCCTGCGGGAACAAATGGCGTATGAACCAGTTTTCGGTCACTGGCTGCCATGGGACTGCATCTCCTTACGATGCTCCACTGCCTTGTGGGTTAAACCTTTAGGTCAAAGGCTCGGGGTGTGGCCCCCTAAGATAACCACCGGCTTCCGTTTGGGCACCCGGGCAGTATCACAGCCCATACGCAAATGATGAACTCTCTTTATCTAGGCATACGCACAGTATGCACATATGCCAATAACAGACTGATCAATCGTAGTCTTAAACCTCAATGGGAAGATACAAGCTAAACAATACCGAGTGAATGCGTTAAACAAGTTAGAAAAGTGAATTAGTGGTTTTATTAGGTAGTGTCAGTGAAGTGAATAAATGAATTGTTTTTTTGTTCTAGCCATTATCTGAAACTAGAACTACACTTAACAAACTTAGCACACGTCGTCTCATTTCATTAAGGAGCTTAGAAACTGCTATGGTGAAAGTTGAAAAGCGTAGTTATAGATTAATAAAGTTTTAATATAGTTCAGTGTAATCAAACTGACTAATTTATGAATTTGATATATGGCTAAACCCTCACAGTGACCTAACTCCATATTCTTGGTTTGTTTATATCAAACATAATTAAAAATTTCGCTAAATAATCAAAGGAAACAGTCATATAGAAGATATAATTGTATTATATTTAAAATTTCATCAACATACTCATGCTATATATAAATTTTAGCTAAAACGTAGAGTTTCTCTGGGCTGCAACTTTGTACTTCTGATTCCTAAAGTTTCTACCAAATGTTGGAATATACTGTAACTGGCTTGGAGTAAGCTTATGACAGCATCTTACTGAGCAAAAATTTGTTCTTACACCTTGGGTAAAACGTAGTGCGTTAAACTTTTGTATTCGGTGCTTCTTTCAGAATAGGTGTCTGTGTATAGTGATTTGCCATATGTAACAGAATATCAAGGGATTTATCGGTTTTAATTGAGTAAGCAGGTACACCAGTCTTCATGAACCATTTTTTGATGCAACATCCTTAAGCATTAATACACGTGTATTACATTTTACTCTATTATGATATCAACTTTCCTATCGTTACGTAAAGTACGGTGATACCCCGTATTGTATGGAAAATGGACGCTGTTGGTAAGTCAAACTGGGTGTCTACATAATCACCACAGATACACCACTCAGATGTACATGATTAAACCAGCAGTCACACAATATGCTATGGGATGCATGTACTTTTATGATCTGTTTTTGTTAAGAATATCGCTGTTAACGTTATAACGCCAATACCTTTTAATTCATTAATTAAATTAAAGTTTGTTTCTTAACTTATAATTCTTTTTATAGGTACGTTCGTCATTTGGAATGTGTACATTCCCTTCAGATAAAGATTAAAGTTTGTCAATTAGTACAGAAAATGATGGCCAGGCGTGAAGATTTAGCATTTAGACAGGTTTGCTTTAACTAACCTAATATAACTTTACTTAAAATATATGTGAAGTATTAACGATTTTGTGATTTTTAGAGGAAATAATAAGATAAAAAGTAATATTGTTCTTATGTGGCGTGCGCTATAAGTAGTATGTAGCAACAGTCGAATGTGTAATGCTTATCAACAAGAGAGTGAAATAAAGAGGAGAGGAAGGAAAGTAGAGAAAATCGAAATAACAACAAGATTGGGCGAATGATGGAGTATGTAAAGGACAAGTGAAGGAAAATATGCAAATGATGTATTTAATATATGATTTCATATTTTATAAAAGCATTGTGTGATATCGCAATAAGTAATAAATTGGTTTTCCCCACCAATGTCTTCATTCACTACACTTATGTCGGTAATCGTATAAAAATATATTTGATGTTCATTCGAATAGTAATACGGATGAGCTGAATCTTTCATAAGTGTTTGTCTAACTCATATCTTGTCCACATTAAATCTCTTGTATTCTCAATAGTACACTAGTCTACTAATGCATACTATAAATTAACATTTGGTATTTGGATGGTTGAACATCTTATTCTTATTCACGAGAATAATTGGCAATGTTAAATTAAGGTGAATCTGTGAAGGTAGTCACAAATCAGACAAAACATTTTTTAACTTCAGTAGGTTTTTTTTAACTTCTATTATTTTCTTCGTTCTGCCTTGCTTAACACTACAATACTCAATGATGTCCATAACTTTCAGTTAGTTATAGCTTATTCTAAACTTTAAAAAAAGACCATTTTCAGGTTAATTTGATTCCTTTTCGACTTAACCCTCTAAGCACCCACGCATTTGTTGTTTCCTGAGAGAGAGAGATAGAAGGCACAAAACACGTTTTTTTCTAACTGTTGAATGTTTGTTCCTTTTTTTGTTTTTATGGATGTTTTTTGAAATAAGGAAAGAAATCAGTTTAGCGTAGTAACCCAACTTTCTTAATGACTACTTTCCATTACTGAATGCATAAATAGTCCAACGTAATTTATTTTCCTTATTGTTTTACTATTTGAAAGTTACAGATAAAACGATTTACATTTGATAGGAATATATTGTGCTTAAAACACTTCCAAAATCATTTGATTTAACTTTATTAGTATTCACATATACGCCGCAACAACCTCACTGCTTTATGGTGAATGTTTAACCTTGACATACATATATGTCTGGTCAGGTTGATTTAGTTTTAGTTTTAAAACAACTATATGATTATCTAATTGGTAGAACTTGAATAATTATTTTCGTTTTACTGTGAAGTGTTATACAGTTGGTTGACGATTAAATCTTTTCGACACTACAATTACAGTTCATTTATAATTTAGCATTTAGGTTATGTGTAGAAAGTTTTCTCAGTTCTCTAAAGTTTCATTTAATACTTCAAACAATAAACAACGACGGTTTTGAAGTTTGAAATAGAACATACAGAGCTGATACGTATTAGGTGCAAGTTAACTATCACTATTTCGTATGACTACTCCTACGACCGCTACACTATTCCATAGACTAAACGTTTTTACTTGTCATACATTCGTCCTTGTTTGCATAAGAATCTGAGTTATTATTTACCATTCAGTTTATTTAATAACTTTTCTCACAGGTATTCCATAAATTTTCAATCGTACCTGAATAAACTATTGTAGTGATTATTTCGATTTATTCATCGCTACTGATAACTTCGAAAAATATTCACCTAATTGCTACTTCTTTAATTAATCGACATAAACATACACTTCATTTGCATATGCTCATTTAACATTTAAAATGAAAGTCATCTAAAGGAATAAAGCATCATCTTACCAGTTAATAAAAATCAATTTAATTTACTGCACAATAGAAACTAACCAACTCTGTATGGTTCCTTCAAACTGTAATAAATCTTCAGAATAATTTTACAAAACTCTGACTACTTGGAAGGATTATTGAGAGAATCATAGAATTTTTTCATAATGTGAGGTAGTTTTGCTATTATCATAAGGTGATGGAAATCCATTTTAGATAAATGGGCAGAGATCTCTATATATCAGGGTATCTGCTTTATTAATATTTTGTTAAAATATGTATTACAAAAGTGAACATCAATTCCATACTACATATTAGACACATTGGTAGCGAGTGACGTTTATTATTCTTGTTTTAAAAGGCAATGTATAGAAATGAAAGGAGGCTATTAAGTAATTCTTTATTACCAAAATAACTATAGAAATAACATTTACCGATCAATCAATGCATAAGCTAAGCTTTCAGGTTGGTATTTAGCTCAAAACAGCATTATTCCATTCTCCTCCTATGTTTTAACATGTCACTAAATTAGCTATCAACCAATATCTCAATCTAACCAAAGTATAACTAGTTGTCGAATTTCCAGATCACATAAACATCTACTTATCTGTGTGATTTAAACATTTAAAATTTATTTGTGAAATAGCGTTTAAAAAATAAACCATAGAATCATTAAAAAAAAACCCTAGAAATCTGTCTTGTTTTCACTGCCTTTAAAAAAAACCTGTCCTCACCTATAGTTTTTGAAATGTTATATGGGGGCCTTATTAAATCTAATATAACTAACCTGAGAAATAGGAGGACTGGTTCTTCTACAGTCTGTGTTATCTTATAGCTGTGTAATGAACGTAGTTGACTAGAATAAATAGTTCGATAATTCCTTGATTTCTGTACGAATAATGTTTTCTTTGATCTTGACCATTCATTTATTACTACTAAACATTAATATCGCTTTGTGATACATGGAAAATGATTTTTTTTCTCTTCAAATACGCAAACGTGAATGAACTGTATGCATGACCAAATTTATAAATAATTATCAGAATGGGTTTTGTGGAGAGTTTTAGAAATTTTCACAGGTTGAAATCAAGGATGCGCACTGCTGAGGAGTCCCATACCAGGACGAAACGGCCGTCCAGTGCTTCCAGGTTTTCAATGGTGGTCTAGCTTCAACTGACTCATGATTTCAATCTGTGAAATTTCTAAAATCTCCACAAAACCCATTCTGATAATAATCAACTGCTCACTAGTGACTGACTTCAGGAAAAACTCCCGAAGTTCTAGTGAGAAGCCGTTACCAGTGGAGTTCAACCAGGTCTGTTGTGAGATAGGAACTCACTGAAGACAATGGTGTACGGTGGCGCAACTTCGTGGATTGGTTGAAGTTAGACATTAACACCGTTGAATGCCGGCTCAGTGGTCTAGTGGTTAAGTGCTCGCGCGCGAAGCCAGTAGGTTCTAGGTTCGAGCCCCGCGAGGTGCGGGGTCGTGGATGCGCACTGTTGAGGAGTCCCATGCCAGGACGAAACGGCCGTCCAGTGCTTCTGGGTTTTCAATGGTGGTCTAGCTTCAACTGACTCATGATTTCAACCTGTGGAAATTTATAAATAATTACTCATCCGATCAAAAAAGATATCTAAAAAAAGATATAGTATGATAACGTTGCTTTTCTATTCTGAAATAATATTGTTGAAGAAAGCTAAGTATTATAATCAATTATTTAATAAACAACAGATTCGATTTGTACTATAACTCAATTACTTATTTATTCAAGTATTTAATAATATACATATCTAAATGTTCAAAGATGGGCAACGACAGTGATAAATTCAATCTGTAATTATCAACAACAATCCTAACATTAGTCGAATCCGTTCTACCGTAATGAAGCTTTCATTATTCAATGGTCCAAATGTGTCTCACGCTTGCTAGGAATGACATTTTAATCATTGGTGCATCATGCAGTCATTGAATCCTGAAAAATGCAACATGTTCCCTTTGCATTCCGCTACTAGTCACTATTACGTACAATTTAAATAAATAAACAAATACATTTCTCCATACAAACTAGTATTGTATATAATACCTAACCTATTAGAGACTGTTGTTACTTACTTACTTACTTACGCCTGTTACTCCCAATGGAGCATGTGCCGCCGACCAGCATTCTGCAACCCACTCTGTCCCGGGCCTTCTTTTCTAGTTCCATCCAATTCTTGTTCATTTTTCTCATGTCTATCTCCATTTCTCGGCGTAATGTGTTCTTTGGTCTTCCTCTTTTCCTTTGACCTTCAGGATTCTATGTGAGGGCTTGCTTTGTGACACAGTTGGGTGCATTCCTCAATGTGTGTCCTACCCACTTCCAGCGCTTCTTCCTGATTTATTCCTCCGCTGGGATCTGGTTTGTTCTCTCCCACAGTATGTTGTTGCTAATAGTGTCCGGCCAATGGATCTGAAGTATTTTGCGTAGACAATTGTTAATAAACACCTGTATCTTCTGGATGATTGCTTTCGTAGTTCTTCAGGTTTCTGCCCCATACAGTAGAACTGCCTTGATATTTGCGTTGAAAATCCTGACCTTGGTGTTGGTTGACAGTTGTTTTGAGCTCCAGATGTTCTTCAGTTGTAGATATGCTGTTCTTGCTTTTCCGATCTGAACCTTCCCATCTGGATCAGATCCACCAGGTTCATCAATGATACTGCCCAGATATATAAAGGTTTTTACATCTTCCAAATCTTCTCCTTTAATTGTGATTGGATTGGTGCATGCTGTGTTGTATCGGAGAATCTTGCTTTTCCCTTTGTGTATATTGAGACCTACTGCTGCTGAGGCTGCTGCCACACTGTTCGTCTTCTCCTGCATTTGTCGTTGCGTTTGGGATAGAAGGGCCAGATCATCTGCGAAGTCTAGATCGTCCAACTGCATCCTAGATGTCCATTGTATCCCGTGCTTCCCTTCACATGTTGATGTTCTGATGATCCAGTCAATCACCAGGAGAAAGAGAAAGGGTGAGAGTAAGCAACCTTGCCTGACACCGGTCTTTACTTCGAACGACTTTGTCAACTGTCCTCCATGCACAATTTTGCAGTTTAATCCATCATATGAATTCTGTATTATATTGACTATCTTCTGAGGCACGCCGTAGTGTCGAAGAAGTTTCCATAGTGTTGTTCTGTCCACGTTATCAAATGCCTTTTCGTAGTCAATGAAGTTGATGTAGAGTGATGAATTCCATTCAATTGATTGTTCCACAATGATCCGTAGAGTTGCGATTTGGTCTGTACACGATCTATCCTTACGGAATCCACCCTGTTGGTCACGAAGTTGGGCGTCTACGCAGTCCTTCATCCTGTTTAACAATACTCTGTTGAAGAATTTTCCCGGTATTGAGAGAAGAGTGATGCCCTTGTAGTTATCACAGTTTCTGAGATCGCCTTTCTTTGGTATTTTGACCAGAAGTCCTTCTTTCCAGTCTTTTGGTACTTGTTCCTCATCCCAAATCTTATTGAAGAGAATGTGCAGTATCCTTGCAGTTGCCGCTACGTCTGCTTTTAGTGCCTCTGCTGGAATGTTGTCTGGTCCTGCTGCTTTGCCACTCTTGATTTGTCTGATGGCCATGCTGATTTCTTCAATTGTTGGTGGGCCAACATTGATTGGGAGGTCCGTCGGTGCTGCTTCGATGTTGGGTGGGTTCAGTAGATTTGGTCGATTCAAGAGTTCTTCGAAATGTTCTACCCACCTGTTTCGTTGCTCTTCAATGTTGGTGATTATCTTTCTTTCCTTGCTTTCCACTGTTTGTCCTGGTTTATGGTGATTTCCATAGAGTTTCTTTGTCGTGTCATACAGTTGTCTGATGTTTCCTTCCCTTCCAGCCTTTTCCGCCGTCGTTGCTAAATCCTACACATATTCACGTTTGTCGGTTCTGATGCTCCTCTTCACATGTTTGTTTACTTCTGTGTATTCAGCTTGTGCCTTTGCTTTTTCTGCTCTTGTTCGGCTGGTATTGATTGCTGCTTTCTTGTTCCTCCTTTCTTGAATCTTATCCAGTGTATCAACAGTGATCCATTCCTTGTGATGGTGCTTCTTGTGGCCCAGAACCTCATGACATGTTGAAGTAATTGCCTCTTTGATCCCCTTCCAGGTGCTCTCCACAGCAGTTCCTTCTCCATTGAGTAGATCATGAAGGGCTTGGAACTTATTGCTGAGGACTATCTTGAATTTGTTGAGTTTGTCAGTGTCCTGAAGAAAGGCCGTATTGAACTATTGCGATGTTGTCCGCCCCGTTGTGCAGTGCTTCTTGAGTTTCAATTTCATCTTGGCGATCAGCAAGTGATGATCTGATGCTATATCAGCTCCTCTCTTGGTTCTCACGTCTTCCATCGTCCTCCTGAACTTTTTGTTGATGCAGATATGGTCGATTTGGTTTTGCGTGGTGTGATCCGGTGAAGTCCACGTGGTTTTGTGTATGCGTTTATGTGGGAATATGGTGCCACCTATGACCAGTTTATTGAAGGCACATAGATTTGCAAATCTCTCACTATTTTCGTTCCTTTCTCCCAGTCCGTGTCATCCCATGATGTCTTCATATCCAGTGTTGTCCGTTCCAACCTTGGCATTGAAATCTCTCATCAGAATGGTCAGGTCCTTTGTTGGGCATTTCTCGATGATTGACTGCAGCCTATTGTAGAATTGATCTTTAGCGTCTTCATTGTAGTCGTTGGTAGGCGCATAACATTGGATGATGTTCATTGAAATGCCCTCTCTTTGTTTTGAAGGAGGCTTTGATGATCCTTGGTCCATGAGATTCCTATCCTATAAATGCATTTTGTGCTTGTTTGGACAGCATCAATGCAACTCCTTGTGTATGTGGAGCATTTTCTTCTTCATGGCCGGAGTATAACAAGAGCTCTCCTGAAATTAGTCGTTGTTGTCCAACTTGTGTCCAATGTGTTTCACTGATCCCAAGCACCTCCAGGTTGTATCTTCTCATTTCTGCAGCGATTTGGAAGGCTCTTCCAGTGTCCCACATTGTACGAACATTCCATGTACCTAAATAAATGGTTGCTCTGGTTGTCAGAAGTGGCATCGGCCTCGTAACTTCCGAAGGAATTCGGCTTTCATCATGATGCGCCATAGTTCTTCTAAATGAAGACCTTCTGACTCTCAGGGCAGTGTTTAAAAGGTTTGAATAATTTTTACTGGTTAGCATATTTTTAGCGAGTTAGTTTTCTACGGGATAGGGACGCCAACCCCATGCCCAACCCTCCTCCTTTATCCGGGCTTGGGACCGGCAGTAGCCCCCGGAGGGACTCCAGGCAGAGTCAGAGACTGTTGTGCTTATAGTCAAATACGAAAATTTGATTCAACCCTGGATCGAGTGTTTGTGATGCTTTGACCCGAATATTTTGATTTAATAGTTACGTAACTCTGCTTTTTCATTAAATTAAACAGAAATCTTTCTTGTATTTCATAGATATATTATCCTATTTTGTTTGTTACCACGATCATGATTTTTTTGTTTTTATCATTTAGGAGATGAGATTTCGAAATAAATTAGTAGATTACCTTTGTGATTGGATCATGGGCAGTAGCTATCATCTTAATCTTTCCGTACAAACAAATTACTTAGCTAATAATTCAACAGGAACAACAATCACAACAACAATGTCTACTGCTACTACTGTTGCTTCTTGTAATAACAGTAACGTTTCCGGAGTGTTTGGATTATCAAATACCTCAGTAGCTAACTCTCTTACATCAGAATTCAATGAAAACATTTCCTTGTCTAACTCATCACTAGTGAATCCACCAATTTTCCTCCCATCCGGAGTAGGCATACCCATAAGTCAAAGCCAGAATAATTCTATTGCGATAACAAGCCACAATGCACAATTAGCGTATTCAAACATTGTACCTAGCAGTGGGATCGGTGGAATGGTTGTAAACTATGGTGGTGTTCATGGTAACATTACTGGTTATCAGGGTGTCCCATATTGCGGCCCGTTAACGTCAGGGAACTTTGGACTGATGAACTATGGATCCCAAAGTCAGTCATCAGTAAATGCTTGGAATCGATCCGATATCTTGGATTATAATTGTGCATGGGATAATGCAACACCGAATTCAGGTATTGGTGTAGGGTTAATTGCTCACGGACCATTTTCTAACAGCCCATTTTCACCCTATTTTAATACTTCAGAGTTAACTAGCTTCAGTAGTATGCCATATGGAACTGTAAACAATAATCGACTTGTAACTGGTGGATTAAGTTGTATTGGACAGTCACAATCTTGGAACGTTGCAAATAGCAAGTCAACTGCTTTGTCAGGAGCAACGTCATGTCAAAATTACATATCAAACAGTGGTAATTCTTTATCTACTGTTTCTAGTTCATCTGGATTTAACAGTATTAGTGGTCAAATCAATGTAATGAAGTATGGAAGTAATATACCTACATCCAATGTTAGTAGTATATCTTATTCTGGACAATCGTCTGTCGCAAGTATTTGGTCAGGTGCAAGTGGCATCAATTATGCTTTGTATACAGGAACGAACACTACTTCAGCTCATGTACCAGCCATTGCAGTCTCTGCTGTCACAACTTTAAGTGTTGGAGGTTATTCTTCCAATGTTCCAAATATAACTTCAACTGCCGGTATAGTAGCACAAACTGCCGCTCAAACAAGGGAATTAGATCTTGCATGTATGGAAGCTGTAGCTGCATTACTCCATGGTATGCCATTGCAACCAGAAGAAATTGACCGAGCAGACTTAATGGATGCTAAATCTCATTTGTTTGCTAAGTAAGTCTACGTTGTGTTTTTTATAAATGACAAAGTTTATCATCCTGGTTTCTAATAAACACACTAAATCTAAATTCGTAAGCAACTCTAAATGATCTTATTTCAAGTAAGTTTATCGTTATTTTAATTACACAATGTTTCTGTTGTTAGAAACTATTTTGAAGGATACATAATTAGTTCTTTCCACTTTTTTTTCTGAAGTTTGAATTATACCTATCAAATATAATAACTTAGTATACAAATGTTTATGGTTTTTATCAATAACAATACTATAAAGTAGACATCGTAAAATGTTAGTTAAAATGAAGTGAATATGCAGACAGAAGAAAAATGGAATGAATAAAAAGAAAATAGAAAAAAAGAGTTACAGGTCTTATTACGGAACTTATTTTTAGTTAATGATTTAAATAAATGTTACGAGGTCTAGCTGTTTTTCAGCTACCAACTGCTTGAAATTTATTGGATTGATAGATACTGTTACATTTTATTCCATATTTAGCATTTCTTACCACCATTATGATTTGTTAATTGATAAGAATAAGTTTATAAAATTTGTACAATAAAAATAAAGCTTGTACAATAAAATTATATCATTTTGAGGTTATTAATTTCTCATTGATTCCTAAATGTTCACAACTCGAATGCAGTGAATATTTACAGCATTTCATATAAACATTCATGAAATTTTGGAATGAACTACTTTACAGCAGACGTCGGACATCGAGTACATAATAAACAATCGATATATATATATATATATATATATATATATATATATATATATATATCAGCGATTTAAGTTAGTGGTTAATCACAGATCTCATACGACATAAAATAATATTTCAATACACTTAACTTTCTGGAAAATAATTTGATTATCAAGTCGGAATTTGTTGTGACAAAGTATCTGATATACCATTTTGAACTCTTCTTTGTTTTCATTTATTTATTAAATTAGATATTTCTCACTTTTTATGAATCTATTAAATGATGTGGCAGATGATCGTGAAAAAGGTGCTGAAATAAGACAAAATCATACAGCTTTACGTAATGTTACAGTTCAAGCAATGTCAAACCTTTTAAATGCTAACATTGAATCTGGATTAGTTCACGCGATAGGTGAGAGTTGAATAATATCTTCCTGTTTTTTGTTCGTTTTACTTAATTGTATACTATAAGAAAATGATTTTAAATATTTATTTTGTAGTCGCTTCATCAATAATGCATGGATAACTGTTGACTGATCAAGATCACTCTGTGATGTAGACAATGAAAAACTGATAGTTGCTACATAGCCCTATAACGGTTTTTTAGTTTGGTTTTAAGCGTTTTCCATATCAGATTGGTTATGAGTTAAAACCTATAATGATGATAAATGAAAACTTTAGTCTCGTTTATTCATATCATTTACTTCTCAGTAAACTAATCAGAAATTAAAGTGTTAGTAAGTTGAAAAGCTATATAACTTAAGTCTTCTAGAATGTCATTGATGAGGATTTGAGTGCCATTTATTTTTGAAGTGTTTAACTATACAAAGTTACCGATCATATAGATTGTTGCATTTACTTTATCGAATTAATTAACTCTGGTTCCCGACTTCTATATATCATTATGGAACATCCAGTAAACAAATTTTCATAGTTTCTGCAATAACTATTTACTGTCGTTTTAAAAAAAATTTTCGAAGAATTTCTATGTGGTTCAAGGTTGAAATTTCATAGTTTGTGTAAGTCAAAGCTGTTTATAAGAAATAACCATCTTCTTCTAGCTGACTTCATTCTCTGTATACAAAAGTTGATATGTTTTCGGTGTATTATATTCTTAAATTCATAATCATTTATCTTTATCGAAGTATCACTACAATAAATATGAAGTATGACGTTTCCACTAATAGTTAACAGGTAAATATTTGTTTATTATTTAATTCGACTCTTCTAATATCCTACGCTACCTGTATATTTAAAAAAATAGTTTTCCTACTGAACAGTTTGGCTAGTTATCTATTCAACTTAATATTTTAACACATATTAGGTTTGGGTTATCATAGAGAACCACAAAGTCGAGCTGCATTTATGGAAGTTCTGACAAAAATTTTACAACAAGGCACGGAATTCGAAACTCTTGCAGAAACAGCTTTAGCTGAACGATATGAGCGTTTAGTTGGTTTAGTGACTATGGTTGGTGAAAATGGAGAACTTCCGATAGCTATGGCTCTTACCCAAGTTGTTTCTTGCAATAATATGGTTGGTTGACTTTTTTTAAAAATAACCCGATTATAATTGTATCATCTCATTTTTATACTTTAATCAATAACTTTTATATGTACATTTTTTAATAATCAGCAATTATAAGAAATTAACTCTATACTTCTACATGCTTATTGTTTGGAGCGGATGCAGTTCAACGTTTCATTTTATTTGACATATACGTTGTGAGTGAAATATCGCCCAGATTACTCATTTCTTGTTAGTATAGAAGAAAATTTAAATAAAACATAAAATCAAGCCTAGTATACGAAAGTAAACAATTAAAACCCTTGAATGTTTTTATTATGATTGACGCGGGTGCGGTCTATTTAGCTGGATTTTCCAAATCTCAATATTGGGGTATTCTAGTTGGTGAAATTTTGAAACACCAGTGAATATATAATACGTTAGAAAAATATTCTACACAAATTACCTACTTTGTTCAGCCAGTGATCAGGAAATGTGTGTATGTGTCTGTGTAAATCTGCAATATGAACTGTTACGTAATTTTCATGTACATATATCAGTTCACATGATTTTTATTAGGCCAGATAGGTGTAGATAGATATGGGTTGTTCACTTACAATATCAAATCGAGTGAAGTGATTTATTTATTTAAACACATAAACATTGATACAAGAATGCATCAAAGAGATATGCACCACATAAATCACTCGATTTATGTGAGGGTTGGGATACTCCCCGGGTGCCCAAACCAAAGCAGGTGGTTTTCTTAGGGGGGTACATCGCGAGCCTTTGACGTAAAAGTCTAATCCACAAGGCAATGGGGCAACGTCAAGAGATGCAGTCCCATGTTAGCCGGTAACCAAATTGTTCATACGCCATTTGTTTCCTTAGGATCATGGAGCCCATGTACACCATTGGTTTGGAATCGGTGTCTTCCCACTCCGTATCCACCAACCTGGTTAAAGCGCCGGATATTCGTTTTCCGTCCTCTCAGTTTCATAACAACACCCTAGCTGCGAGGATTCAGCGAGTAGGTGTTGGGTCGGCTTCCGGAGAACTTCAATGGAGCCTCCAGAGGCCCAAAAAGGAGCCAAAGGGCTTAGCCAATCAGAGTATGATGGAACGTTCGAGAATTCCAGCGTGGCGTGCTATCATTGGTCGGTAGCATAATATGACGTTAACGGATTGGCTGAAATATGATGTTAATTTAACAGACGCCAACATCTATAAATACCCTTGATTTTCTGTACTAGAATGAACCTTGGAATAAAGTGTTTTCTCTCATTCTTGTGTCTTCTCTCTGGAGTTCAAGTCGCTGTGTAGTTCTAGACTGCGGGTTACCGAAATAGCTTAGGAATCGTTTATAGCGTTCAACCTACACGACTTATCAGTAGGAATTCTCTGGCAATGGTTGTATGCACGTGGTAGAGGAGGAGCTGACTCTCCCACTCTTGGCCGTACGAGGGCATTTGGGGTGTGAGGTGGAAAATCGAATAATAAAATTATTCAACAGGAAAACGTTCATAAGTAATGCTGAGAAATTTTGAAAAATGAATTCGAAATGATTGAACGTTATTGACAAAGTATAAAAACGATGTCAATTACTTTGTTACAGAACCTTAGATATATTGAATATTCTAATGAAAATGTCAGCAGTTGTCATTATCCCCCATGGGATATGATCACATAACAGTGAACAATAATAAAGTACACAGTTACAAATGCTAATATGGTTGAAAACAAAGAATTGATATGCTTTGGTTATTATAATTGAGATGGTTGTCTGAAACAGAACCGAAAATCACAATGAAAGGAATAAGACACGAGATATGACAGTAAACATAGTTGCGTATTTTTATTTTGTAAAAAGCTAATCATGAAAAAGACTGGATTCACTTTTTTTATCAAATCTTGTTATTCTTGCTTTAATTATACATATGAAAATTGATTACCTTATTAGTTATAGACTATCGATTAATATATATTCCAATCTCTGAAACGAATTGAAGCTTCTCAAAAACAAAATGATATAATTTATTCATGATCATGCCAATGCATTTAAATGTATAAATTAAGAAATTTTATTCGTCCAGGTATTTATCGAAAGTTCAATAAGATTCAACAATTGTTCAGAATGTCCAACAAGGCTAGTGGATGATGAAATCATTTGTACTAGGATGACAATCGTAACTGAAAGTAAAACTCTACGCAATCAGAATACACTTAATCAAATTAATAGTATCTATAAATGGCATGGAATGTCTAGTCATTATAAATATAACGAATGGCTATTTATAAAAGTATCAATTCTGATGTAGATTTTGTTTTATTTGGAACATTTCAGCTAAATGTACCCAGATTTCGGTAATAATGTCTAGACTGAGAATCGAATGTAATACTTTTTGCTTCAAACGAGCAAACATATAAACTGAGACACACTCAAATCCGTCTTTCTCTGCTAACCACGAGCCAACTTTATAAAAATAATTATCCTTTCCTATTGAAATATTAAATTTACAACAGGAACTACCAAGCATATACAATAAAAAATATAAAGATTAATATGCTTTCATTTACAGGATGAATTAGCTCGAGTTCTCGTGACATTATTTGATGCTAAACAATTACTATGCCAATTATTTTGCAATGTATTTTCTAAAGAGGTTAGTTATTTCATAATTTTTGCATGGTTTATTTTTACTGATTTAAATTTTTTATTATATAGTTTCCATATAAATAGCTTTAATTATGTGTTAGGATTCTGCTTAGAACTAAATCATCAATTTCTCATAAAGAAAAGATAATAAGTAAGACATTTTTGTCATTACTTTTTTCACTAACTCAATAAACGTCGTTTATATAGTGTGTGCAAAAGTTAGTTGACTTTCCCTTTCACTTAGATGGTTATGTTTTGTTTGGTTTTTAGATCAAAGATTCATTTAACCCGCTATAGTATAATTTCTAGGAAATAAATAACAGCATATAAAACTACTGTCGTAATATGATTATATTAATCAAAATATCAGTGACTTACACGGCAAAATATGTATACTACCTATAACATTAATGCAACAGTACTAAGATTTGTCAAGAACCAATATCTTTCAATAGATGATAACTTGAAAATTTCCAAAGTAATTTTTTGAAGGAAACTATCAATATAGTATGTAATTATGTTAGAATTTCAGTGTTATGAAATAAGTAGAAATTAATGGAATTCTTAATAATTACATCGTTTATCTGTCTACCTAATTTTTGTTGACTGAGCTGGGCTGGATATTTCAACAAGTAAATTCAGTAGCCTCATAAACATTTCATCTGAAGTATCGTCTAATATTAAATTTTAAATTTAAATATTAATTAACCCTTATCATTTTTACCAACGACATTTTCCAAAACAAATTATCACTTACCAAATCAACCTTTTGTTATTTTGTGGTTAGTTTCATCAAACTACTAAAACAATGAAAGTAGGTCTACAGTTTACATGAATCTTGCCTGATATTTATTTATCATTTAATTATAACTAGAAAGGAGGCAGCTTAACATGTTTATTAAAAGAAAACATGTACAGAGGTATCACGAAAGGGTAATCCTACATAGCATATGTGAAATGCTTTTAATTTCAATCCTGACGTGCAAAAATGAAACCGAGATTTATTTACAGTTATCGGCGTTAAATATACCACCATATTATTTTGACGAGTTCAACTGTGCACAGTTTTTCACTAGTCCATTGTACTTAGTAATCATTTTGCCTGACTTTAGATTTATACCTGTTGGGTGAGATCTGAATTCTGACTTTATAGTCCATAAATGAAAACTTTAGTTTGCAAATGTAAGTTGTCCTCAAGAGAGTAAATGTTTTTCAAACTATCAAACTTATATTTTGTCAATGAGAAATAGAATAATCAAATGTTTAAGCGTTCATTCATATTACTGTCAGCTAGGGCGTCTGTTAATCCTATCCGAAGATTATGATTATGTATATCAATAAGAAAATACAATTCAACAATCACAATATAGATTTAACATCATCAAAACCGAGAGAAAATATACTAAAATCATTCTTATTAAATTAATGACTTTTCTTGTTATTCTTCATTATATTTATATAATATCTAGCTGGAATCAGCTGATAGTATGCAAGCACCATTACGTGGTAATACAATGACAAGTAAAATAATGAACTATTGTTTTAAACAATTTGGACGCGATTATTTACAATCGGTGTTAGGTCCAGTACTTATGGAGCTAGTTAGACGAGATGCCGGAAATTCAGGTGCTTATGTAACTTTGGCACCGCCGCCACCACCACCAGTGATAGCTACAATTGTAGGAAAAAATGATATCAATAATAAACCAGTCAACACTATCAAGAGTGACAATATTCCTAACTACAACTGCATGCAACTATTAGGTGAAATGTCATCAATTAGTACGAATGAATTGTTGGAAGATATAACAAAATTCAATCAAAACAAATCGAACTTATCCTACGAAGTAGATCCAAGACTTTTGCAATCAAATGAAAATCTGGAAGATAATCAAAACAACTTGATTTTTGCAACTGAATTATTATATAATAAATTAATTAAATCTGTGGATAGGTAAGAATATTAAAACATACATTTTAAATATGCATTTTATTTACTTATCGATTTGATCGACCTGAATTATTTAACCGCTTATCATTTAATCACCCGATCATAGTGACAAACTGCTTTAATTTATTTTGGTTTAGACTTATGTTTAATTATACCAAAGACAATTGACTAACGACTATTCAGTCAAATAAAGCAATATATAATACTTTAACATCCTTCAGTATAAACAAGTGGTTACCTGTCTACATGATTCAGTAATCATTGAAGACCAGTCAATGATCATGGTTACTCATACACTATGCAAGGCTTAGGATGGATGTGCATCGGTTCATTTGAACACACTTCACAACAGTATATATATATATATTCACGCTGTGAATTTTTCACATGATTCACATTCAACTGATTCATGTTATTCTGCTTACTAAAGTCAACCTCTGAACATGATTGGATAAGCACGGATTAGATTCAAATTGATTGTTGAACATTATATATTCTTTGATAATTTAGATTTTGATTAATACCCAGAAGTCAAGACAACTTTCCTGAACCGGATGTTGGGATTATTTAAATTTAAATCGCTAGTATTATTTCATAAACAAATTTCACAAGTAATGTCATAATATATTATACCGAGTTGCAGAAAACATGAACTCACCTTCGCAGCCCGATTTATTACTATTTTTCACAATACGTTTTTTGAGACATCATTTAGATTTCACACCTGTAGGTTGGGATTATTTAGGAAAAACCAACAAGGAAATTCGCACCACCAGACTAACCTTAGTTTGGAATCATGAAGGATATAGTGTGAAAATAATCAATTAGCAATTAGTCATTAGTTATGAGATACTGAGCTCTGAATGGTTAAAAATTCACTAAACACAAAAAAACAGATATTTTTACTTTAATGAATATTTATCAATTTAAATTATGCATATCATTAGAAAGAAAGAGATACGAATGGAAAGTATTAGCTCTTACTGCTAACCGAACTTCTGATATCTGAATTTCTTCGTTGTTTAAAATTCGAATCTTACATGTTAATGCGTAAGCATGAATTCTTGGACAAAATATGAAAAATGGTGAGTGTAGAATAGATGGAATGTTGCTAGCAGTGTATTACAGGACACACATCTCCTATTGTTTGGAGATCGTCATTTTAATGTAACAGCATCTCAGATTTGATATTTATTCCGCGACTAGAACCCAGCACATCTAACTGACTAGTCCCGGAATAGGACAAAACACACACCCTAAATTCAACTGCCAACCATATCTCATTTTTTCTGCACTATATGTGTCATAATCGGTTATATCCTCATAGGACGCACATGTGCTAACCGAGACTAATCAAAATTCAGTCAAAATATTAACAACGTGATAATACGATTCATTTCAAATTCAACTTATGAGTTATGATAGTTCACAGTAGATTTCAGTTCACATCAGATCGTCTTTAAATATCTTTATAAAAATCCACTAACCCCTTGAAATTATCAATATGTTTTTTATGCTGTTAAAGAAATTCACGTTTACGTTGATTGCGTCGAAAATGCATCAGTATCTTTCTATGTTTTACGGTCAAATTTATTCTTCCAATCTCAGTGTTTCTTTAAATTCATTGATTTGTAAATTTTTTGTGATTTCATTAAAGTCAAATGTAAAAAAGTTATTTTTGTTTAAATTAACTGGTTTTACTTAGGTAAGTCTGTCATACTCCAACACCAATTTAGTCATTCTTGTAGTGTTTACAATAGTTTCAACTATGTAAATAATCATGAACATACACTACTGGTGATAACAAAGCCGATATCAGCTTAAAGAACATTTAAGCTTTGAATATACGTTCCACTAGTTAAAAAAAACTTGTTATTGTATACCTAATTTAATTTTAATCGTTATAACATGTGTAAAACAAACATTATTTTAATTCTCGCTTATATACTAGTTTCCCATCTAGATTACGATGTATGTGCAGATGCTTATACAAACTAATTGGTCATTTAGGCTATGGAAATCAATCTACTGATCAAGCATTAAATGTTTTGTCGACAGTTGTATTTTTACGATTTATTAATCCAGCTGTTGTATCTCCGTATGAAAGCGGAATATTGGATTTTGAACCGCCAAGTCGTGTTAAACGTGGTCTTATTCTGATTGGGAAAATGATGCAAAATATTGCAAATCAATTACTATTTACCAAAGAGCCGCATATGCGTATATTTGATTCAGTTCTACAGAAACACTTTGAATCATGTCGACAGTTCTTTAAAGTATGTTCTGTTATGTGTTTTTACTTGTGTGCTTTAATCTCAACATCCATCAATCACTTTACTTTCAACCTTTAATTTCTAGTGTGTATCAAGTTCCGGATGTTAAGAATCCATTATTTCGTCAGGATTTATATATTGCCGAACTAAGACAACTGATAAAAGGTAACGAAAGATCGTTGTGAAGAATTCTATTCAGTCAGACGTTCCAGCAGCAGTTTGAAAAGATATAAACAGAATCGGAAAATAAAAACTCATTATTAACGTTTGACATAAGTTTTAAGAGAACACATACAATGAATATATATCTGCGTCAGTGCTACCGATTTTGAAACAAGTCACTGATCGTATTTAACTTGTGATTATGAGTATCAGGCTAAGTACAACCAGATTTTCGTCACCTACTCATATAGTTGGGAATAACTTTTCTATCGTTTTGTGGTAATCAGTGTATTGTTTTCTGTTCGTTAGGTATGATGGAATCATCGATCAAGTTGCGATGTCATTAGGCTAGAAAGCTAAACGTCTCAGTGCACTGTAGTCTAATTTTAGTTCATTAGAGGTAATTGATAAGAAGCTACCTATATGTTCTGTTTCGTTCTTATCTCTTAGTTACTACAACGGTTAAATACGAAAATTAGTTTGATGAAGCTGTGATAATATTCTCACAAGGTAAAAAAATGTTAATAATTAAAAGAGATTACGTAATAGTTTGTCTTCCAGATATTTAGTCATTAGTTCGTTATCTTGCTTACTTGCTGACCATTTACACTGTTAGAGAATAAATGATTCTACTTATTATTGAAATAGTTTATCTAGTGGATTTGTGTAATAAACTTATTTTCAGTAACACTATTCACAATATCTTTCAAGTAAATTTTCTTAGCATTATTAGTTGTAGACCTCAGGAAGCTGTTCCGGAAATATTTTTAAATTTTTTGGATATTTGTATGTATCAGAATGGGGACATTTGGATATTGTAGTAATTTCAATGGTTGAATTCATAACTCACTTTAAGTTGTCAGAGAAACCTAGAATACCCATTTCGTCCCAACTGAAACTCATCAATTGAATCTCTGTATCTTAGCGTTTATGTTTACACCGAAACCCGAACCTAGAATTCCATCATTTCAAATGGCTTTGTTTGTAGGGTTTTGTACTCTCCCGTTTGTTGATAGCCAAAAACCAAACATAATAAAATACTACATTCATTCATTCGTTGAGGATGTACATATATTTATACAAACTGGTCAAACGAATTTCTGAGTAACAGCAATCGGAAAGTACAAACTCAACCAAATTAGTCTTTCTCAGCTTTTGAATTTTAGCTTATTGGATTTCTGGTTATGTGTTTCGAAAAAAATTGAAGTCCATACAAGTTCAGTAGGTCTAAACAACTAGGTAACAATGTAGTCGATATTTGATAGCCCTATGGTTTTTATCGCTAAATATCGTTTATGTTTATTTATCTTCCTTTTAGGCTTTTCAGTGTAAAAGATCTGTCGTACAGAAAGTAGTATAGATGATTACATTCGAATAGTTTTACTCTAATTTTCAAGTGTGACAACAATTACAAATAATGCGTGGCACTATTTGATGATGAATTCTCTGTAGAAAAATAGATCTTATCTCCTTTTTTTCTAATGTTTTAGTCGATTGTTGAAGAGTCTACGAAACCTGATAAATCGTTGGATCCTTCTACATTCAACGGACTATTAGATCCTTTAATAAACAACACTAGTCAGTTAGTTGTCTCCTCTTCATGGTTATCCGGTGCATATCCTAACTCATCAACTGCAAATCCTCTAGAAGCTATTGCTCCACTAACAAGTGATAATGTTTCTTCAGTATCAGTTTGTACAAATACAGGTGGTGGTGGCGGTGGCGTCGGAGGAGGTGGAGGAAGTTGTATGATTTCTTTTATTTCCGATGATCTTATACATGCTTTACATCGATTATTATTTACAAATCAAAGTAAAATTGGTGATTACCTAGCTAGCAATCGGTAATTCAAATATAAAGTTACTTTTATTATTTAATGATGTATATTTTCCACTATTATGTTGTAAGACTAAGATGAATAAATCATTTTAAACAAATACTTAGAGTGAGTCAGTGAATTCAATTCACTTCATATAGTCTAAATTCTCTACAAATTCACTTATTCCACTGATCCTTTAATTTTTCATGATTCTCTAAATGAAAATATGAAATCTGAAATGTTGAAAAATGATCTGTTAAATTTCAGATGAATTTATTATGCATTTTCAATGTTTGTACAAAACTAAAAATTATTCTTTCCTTTTCTGTTTTATAGTGATTGGAAAGCTGTTGGCAGACAACCATATGACAAAATGGTAACTTTATTGGCACATCTAGGTCCACCTGGGCATAAATCTGTTGATTGTATGTAAGTTTAAAAAAGTATATACAATTCACCAATTAAGTTCATTTATGATGATACCACCTATGGATTGAACATCCAGATCACGTAGATTTCATTCTAAACTATTAAGTACCATTATGTATAACCCACAATTTTTTCATTTTTACCGAAAAACAGTAGCAAGTAGTAGTGTGAACATTAGAAACTACTTTCAAACTTATGAATATATCACTTAGTTAGTCACGAATAATGCCATGGTTTTTTCACATTATGTTTACCAATGCGAGTCTTTTGATGATGTTACTGTATACCAGAAGTGATCGCTAGCTCACCCGATTTTCTAGTCTTTTTCCCGAAATTTATGATGACCAAGAAACAATCTCGTACTATCTTCATGTTTTTGTCAAACTTTAAAAACATACATTATAAACCGACAGTAAGCTACAAATACTAATATAAACAGAATTGGAATCTCTCGGATACAGTTCTGTGTAACAGGTTTATGATCAATCAACAATTATTTGTAAATAGAAAAATAGATCGCAATAGGTAATGAGTGAAATGAAAGGCTACAATTTAATTCATGTCACACCACCATAAACCAATTGTTTAATAAATACGTATACACTAATGCAATAAAGAATGACATCAAAGTTTCCCATTTCTATGTATACGTCCATTCATATCAGTGGTCATCAGATCCAAAGTTTTCAATATGTCTTTATTTGTATCATAGTTTCTAATGATGAAGCACGAATTAGAAATATGCAACTTCTTGAACTTATTTGCATATTTTAAAAGAACAAAAAATACTATTCACAGTTCAAATCGAAAAATAGTTTCATGACAAATCAACTGAAGAAAGAATTTTAAGTATGATAATAATTACTCTACTAGAATTTATGATATTAAGTACTCGAGTTGTTTGAAAATGTCCCAGGTCTAAATTCCCTAATATTCATTATGCATTAAATATTTGAAATCCCTAAAGCTTTCCAGTAAACGTTTTACATTTGATTTTGCACAATGTCGAATGTAAGTAAAAATTATTCGTTTATGACATTTGAGAATAATCATGAAGTACCACTAACTAATTGTTAATTACAAACAACGACAATCAAGAAACATGAAAGTTCTGGGCTCAACGTCATGTGTTTTCAATTTTGTCTAGTAATAATGAGAAGTCAACAACTTAAATGAAATAATTTTCTAAAGTTTCATCACATTGACCATTTAGCTTATTCATTATTTATCTACCTTTTATATAATAAAATCTCGTATAAATTCGAGAAATACTTGTACACAATTTATCATTTGTTATTTAATACATTTTCAGTCATTTTTCTATACAAAGATATATTAATATGCCACTTAATTTTATAGGTGGAATTACTTGGATATACCATCGACGAGATTAGAAGACTGGGTACTACGGGGTTACCAGTTTCGTGACAGTGAAGAATTTAAACATTTGAAAAATGTGAATGCATTTTACCAAGCTGGTATTAGCCGATTAGGCAATCCAGTTTTTTACTACATCGCTAGGCGATATAAGTAAGCATGCTTTTACAACCTAATTATTGAATTAATCCTTTGGAAAATATGATTATATTGTATTGAGTGGCTACTTAAAAGTGACTCTTTGGTCTGTTTTTAACATTAGCTGATTATCGGTGGCTGTAAAGACACTTTCCAGTAAGGTTTCATAGTTTGTATCACTTGTCTGTAATGGGTTTCTGTGGCCTTGGAAGAACACTGAAAGGTAGTTCAAACTTACACTACCCAGTGAAACATTTAGAGAAATCCCCGTTTATTTATTTCGTAAACCTCGTGATTCTCCTAGGCATAGAGTTGCTCTAACGAGTCGATCATTATGAAGGGATGCACTGTTATTTTGTCTTCTTGACAGTAATAATAGTATGTTGTCAATTACAATTGAAGTGTAATTACGAAGGCAAGTTACTGGACATTCTATTATTTTATGTTAGCTGATTGGCAGGAATCCTAGGTTCTAATTATACACTGACGTGTAACTTCAAACAGCAAGAAACTTCAACCAATGTCTTTACAGCGGTTGGACCCAAATCCACTTATCAAATTAACTACATTTCAAAGTTAGCCAGTGTACGATTGTCAGTATAAAATCTAGATAATATAAGATTAATTGTTTCTTGGGGACTAGTTAGTTTAATTTATACCTGTCCATAGAATTCTTGAAACGAAACTATGTATATTATAATTATTTTTATATTATATTACACATTTATTAGTTTTAACTTGCTAAACACTTTTGTTACTTTCGATTATTTCCGTTTGACAGAATTTTCCAAAATAAGTATATCATTATCATATCTGTATCATGTAATTTACTAAAGTACAATTTGCACTATTTCATTCTGAACTCTAATTTCAATGAAACTAAAATTTACACAAATCCAGTCAAGCTGAAACTTTGTCATCATAAATCTACGTCCATTTTAATAGCTTATTCAGTATTTACAAAACATTAGGATTGTCTTTTTTTTACAACTTGAAAATTGATTGGTAGTATGTAACTGTTTTATAGAAAACTAAAACGAAACAGTTGGTCGCATTTGTTAACTAGTTACTTGTTATGAAAGTAACTGTATTTTTGTACGTACTACACTTTGTTAAATCGGAATTTGTAAAGTTCATTCTCGTATGTATGAATATTATTTTAATTAATCAACAGAACATCTTACAATAAAATACATTTAGTTCTCGACAAATCGTAATATGAAAACGTTTAATGAGAAATTTGTGTTTAAATATCCAGTATGTCTTTAAACTTATTACCCTTGTGCAAGATAAAATCTTAATGTAACTAGTAGCAAAGTACATTTTTGTGTATAAGACCTTGAATTGTAGTTTAAGTGTAGAGAGTTAACGATACTACTCTGTTACTCAAACAAAATTCGATGAAATAGACCTCAATCTTACAACTAATTGTTTGATTATCAATATTGTCTATTCTATTTCCTAACACAATAATAAGTTTTATACAATGAGTTTATACAAGTTAGTATCTCAATATAAAAAGTCATTATAATACACTTTAACTGATGTAAATTGCAATTTGTGTCCTGTTATATTATGACAATGAATTTTGTTTTCATTCGTTTTACAAAATATGGGAAATAATTTGATTGTCTTTGAATTTGTATCCCTTTTTGCCTTTGATTTACATTATTTTGTTTTATCTAAAGCTGCAAATTTTTATTAAATTAAAATAAGAATTAATGAATGCCTAGCTGATAAATTATTTTATTTTTTGTAATCATTATTAATCTGTCATTATAATTTGTAATAATATTGATTCTACAGTGGTGAATGCTACTTATACTGACAGATATAGTCAGTCAGTCAGCTACAACGTAGGACCAGGCACATATGTGCATCGGTCCAGGTTGCCATACCGCATCAGCACAACAAGATGAACACCGGATTCATAGTAGTGGTTAGGTCAAGGATGGTAATATATAAGAGAAAGATTGTATATAGAGATATAGTACAAAAAGTAAGAATTGGTTCGTAGAAAGAAAGATATGAAGTGATTTTAATCTCTTAGTTTAAGGGAAGACAGTGAGTGTATACACCGACGCCATTGTGATCGATTCTGAGCCATGTCACCAAGAGTCTCCAACCATTGGTTACGACAGTCACGCGGACCCCAACCAAGTAGTCTGCATCTACCAACATGGCTCAGACTAGAAGTTAGTGACTTCAAGCACTGATGCCACGTTTTGGTTTGGCCGCCCCTAACTTTCTTCCAACCATCTCCAATACCGGATAGCATTGCATGTCGTGGTAATCGGTGTTCAGGCATACATAACACGTGGCCCAACCATCTCAGTCGATGAAGATTAACAACCTCATCAACTGATTTACCATCATTCCCTAATACCCTGCATCTAACCTCATTATTACTTACCCGGTGATCCCAGCAGATGCCAGCAATATTTATAAGGCATCTGTGGTCAAATACTAATAGCTTACGAGTGTCTTCTACTCTTAATGGTCATGTTTCGCTGCCGTAAAGTAAAACAGAACGTACTGCCGCGCAGTATACTCGTCCTTTTATTGATAGACAGATATAAGTAGTATGTAGTACCAATAGGAAGTAGAATACCAGTCAACAGCAGATCGCATTGAAAAAAACATGAGACAAAATAAAGAGCAATTGTAATAACAACAGAATTGGAAGAATCGTGAAGAATGTAAAGTACAATTGAAGAAAGATGTGCAAGTAATATATTTAATGTATGGTTTTCATATTTTACTAAAACACTTTGTAATTTCGATTTTTCCCACCTAAGTTTTCGTTCACTGCAATATTTCCTTAATGTAACGTTGTTACCCTTCATGGTCTACTTGAATAATCCTTTCGGTAATGTATATACATAAATCTTCATTCTTTTGCAATTACTTATGTGTATTATTTCGCACTTTTTTAAGATCACGAGAGTATCAGCGCGTGGAATATCCATTCATTATATGTCTAGTTTCAATGACATTAGATGCTTATCGTAATAAACCTTTTGAAGTTGTCATTGATTTCACTCATACATCAGTTGAAAACCGATTTAAGGTTAGTTTTCAATTTTTATTGATTCCGATTATATTAAATACTCAAATATTCAAACATACATTTAAATGTATGTCTGTAGAACCTTATGTGAAATTATCGCAGAGAATATTCTTCGTTCACATATCTATGTTTTAGTTTTTACTATCTTTCATAAGTTTTTTTGTATTCAGTAAATTAAAATTATGTTCAAATAATAATTAGTGTTTTGATCGTTATATATCGATGCTTTGATATATGCGCCTTTTATTCACTGACCTAAATCTTTATTCATTTCTATACTTCATAAATAATTAAAAATTTATCGGTATGTTAATAACAATACGAGAAACATATGTTAAGTTCTAAGAGACAAATTATATACAAATTCAAAGCCATATATCCTATCCCAAAAGTTTCTACTCTAGAATAAGAATTGTGCTGCTTAGTAGCTGAAACAGCCTTATCGGATAATCTATTCTGTTGTTGAACGGATCAACGTAAACCATATATTCACTTTTTCGCTGTAATTTTATATTACTTTAAAAGGTATATAAAGCGTGTCACATCCCATTCTCTGTCTTCTGATATTCTGTGACTCAGCGAGATCTAGGGTCCTGTAGCAAAAGAGGGGGTTATTAATTATATTTGCTGTTGATCTGTGATCGCCGGTGCATATTTGTTTCGATTATTATTATTATTATTATCCAATTCAGTTGGTTGTATCTATAAGTTTTCTACCTGAAGTCAATATGTGAAATATTCTAATGAAATATTCTAAAACAAATATGTTTAACGTTTAGATAAAATGGTTACAATGTTTCCTGTTGTTACTATGCAGAAAATCAAATTAGCTAAACGATAGTTCAATCAACTTTTCAAAACAAATAATGGCTACATGATGATAATATAGCGATTGACCTTTATGTTATCAATGGATCTTCAATACATTGTTTACTTTATTTTATACCTTTGCTTATGAAAATTCGTTATGAATCAGTTTGAAGAGTGTATTCTTTGAGTCGTTAAGTTCTATTTAAGTGACATCATGACCATTTGAAAGTCTTTCATCGGTTGTTCTTATTGTTTAAAGTTATCATAACAAGTTAACTTATAAGTCAGTCTTATACCTCTTTTTTTGGCTTTAATTCAATTTCTCTGTTTACATTCACTAAATTCCTTTATGGTGTGGTCTAAGATATATGTTTCTCTTTATACGAGAAATTTCAAACTGAAAACAACTGATACTCACCAGAAAAGAGCTACTTATCAAAAAATTAGTAGCCATAATTTTAAAGAGATAAATCCCACATTTGAAATTCAATGGGAACACAATATGTTATGCGAGGACATTTAACTGCCAAACTGTACATGAAATGGTATACATACGTTCCACTCTGCTGAATAATATACCAAGTTACTATTATTAAGAGAATAATAGCATTCATGAAAGGACCTCGTATACGAGGCATCAGAAATCAGAAATTTCAACTTCTAACTTTTCTTGATTTTAAATTTCATAAGCTCAAACATTGTTTCACCACTAATATCCTGTTTCATGACATTTTTTAGAATGACCTTTTAAACAAATGGGCTAATATCATTGGGCCAGTTCTACGTGAATATCTTGTTGCTGCATATATTTACAATTGCAATTCATGGGTTCGTGAATATACTAAAATACACGATCGGTTTTTCTCACCAATCAAGGCATGTTAATAATTTAGCCTATTGCCTATATATATATATTGTAGAGTAAATGTTTTCATGAATGCAAACTATGAAAAATAAATAGTAGTGTGCTTGTAAAAACACTACATTGGGTCAGTTTTGTTTGGAAAACCTAGGCTAGTATTCCATCGATAATTTATCACTGATATTTATATGAAATGATTTCTACTCGTTCCGTATTTTTACCAGGATAGAAATATTTTCTTTCATACTACATCCAACTAAATTAATTGCAAAACAATCAATTTTTACCACCATATGAGTAAAAGGGTCTCAATTATAATTAAGCATCCACCTATCTAGTTCCATTGTTGCACTAACTGACAAGACTGTAATTACATAATTACAATAAGTGTATACCGAAAGCCACGTTTGAAGTTAAATTAAATAGCAAACCTTTTCTAAAAGGTTGGCAAGACATTTTAGGCAATCAGATTTAAGTGAATTGTATACATATCTGCAAAATAATGGTTTATAATTTAAATAAAGATAACGTATTGCCATTTCCTGACCATTACTAGTTTTGCATTCATTATTTAAAGCTGATTTATCATCACAATTTTTCATAGTGTCAATTAATTATTTTGATCAGTAACAATATGGTTTTGTAGTTATAACATAAATACCTATTTACTTATCTTTGCAACTCATATACAAAAGAACGGCTTGATAAGATATATGAAACAGAATTCATTTAAATTGAAGTTCATTATTGACATCGGTAAAAAAACGTGCTGATTAATTTCATTTCTTTCTTTTGTTTAGGGTTCCAGAAAACTTGTTTTCATTGATCACCCATCGCGTTTAAATGAATATATTGAACCGGACCAACAAAGACTTCCTGCTGGAACATTAGTTTTAGAAGAAGATTTACGTGTTTTTAATGGAGCTTTGAAATTATCGCATAAAGACACGAAAGTAGCTATCAAAGTAAGTGGAAACATCGTAGGTCAAGTATGCAATATTTTAAATTTTGAAATAATTGAAGTTGAAAGAAAGAAATTTGAATTATTGTTACAGTTGTAACATCCATATTGACTACACTATGTTGTCGACACTAACAATTTCATATAATAATTTGAGAAAAATAACATGAATCCATTTTATTTCACTAGGTTTTCATCAGCTGTTTGCTACCTATTATATTTTAAAATAAACATTATGAGCAGAAGTTAACTTACTGATGTAAGTGAAATTGATAAAACTGAAATATTAGAGTGAGTTTGGGCAATTCTCTGAATAACCCTGACAGTTTCTTTATCGATTCAGACACTCAGAAAAGGTAAAGTATGAATGAGTGATTTCTAATACTAGAGCTAGGTTTTGAGCTACAGAATCATGATTAAACATTATGGTTTGAGATCTGAATTTAGGGCAATTACAGAGTACAGACAATATTTAAGCATGGTTTGGTTGGTACCGAAAGAAATATAAAATTAGATGAATAGAGATATAAATGTTTAAAATGCGTGATACAAAAAAACGTTTTAAAAGGAAATTTTCCAAAAAGATTGTAGTAGTTTGAAATAGCATTTGAGAGCCGGTAACTTTTTGTTAGAGGACGAGAACATCCCGTTGAAGTATGAATAGGATTTATAACTTAGGGCTAGAATTAATGTTATGATTAGGTTGTAGATTTCAGGATTGAGGGTTGGAATAAAAAAGTAGTTTAAGATTTATAGTTGAATTTACGACTTAAGGTACATATGAACCAACCTAAAACCTGATCCCTTTTGTGACAATCCTAAATTAACTTAGGATAGTTTTGTCATTCAAATACTGATATTCTTTCTGATTCAAATTATTTACTACATAATCAGTGAGGGAAAATTCCTCAGGACGATTCTCCGACTCATTATTGGTAGACGATATGCTGTTTTGACATATACCTTGTGACCTTAAGTGATTTGCATGTTCATTATTGGCTCACTCTTGTATTTCAGCTTTACTATGAAATTAATTAAAAGTAAATATGTATCATCATAGTGAGGAAAAGATTTAAAGAAAGTTAATAAGGATGAAAAAATGTTAAAAACAAATACAACGGCAATAGAATTGTAACTTAACATTATAGCACTAAGAAAACTAGTTGGTTACACAATGAAGCTGCAGAATATAGGTTGATAATCATTGAGAATATCATGAGTTGAGATAAGTTGGTTAAAAATAAAATTCTAGATTTGAAGCAATTGGAAATGATTCAATCAAAATAAGGGGAAGGGGTTGAATAAAAAACGATATAATCAAATAAAGGTAATATTTCTATGATAAAGAAAGATTTATCCCTGTTTCCCTTTGAATACGGAAATCCGTTTTGAATTATTTATTTGCTGTGGCTTCAGGAAATTTTGGAACACTAGAGTTTGGTTGTCTGTTAATGAACTTGAAATGTTTCAATATATCAAGCCACTCCCCGGTAATGATATTAGATTCGATATGAAGTTGAAAAGTTCTTAAACTTTTCCTGGATATCTTTTCAATAAATCTCAACAATGAATTTAGATTTATTTTGTTGGTCTACTTTCTAATCTAAATTGCACGATGTTGTATTAACTTGGAATAATATACTATTATACATATTTCTATATTTTGTTAAAATTACAAACCGATCTGTGCTATACTACCATCAAGACCTGAAAATAATTAGATGGCTGTTTCGTCCTTGTTTTGGACTGCTCAATTATCCTCATACGCAACCTCCACGCAGGACTCAAACCCAGGACCTTCATTCTAGCGCGCGGACGTTTAACCTCTAAACCATTAAGACTGTCCAACGGTGTTAATGGCTAGCATCGATCGATCTATGATTAATTCACTTAGAAATGTTATTAATATTCATTCATTATGAAATTATTTTCCTTAATTAGTGTAATATGAATATTTCTTAAGATATTTCGATAGAAAGTTCTTATCAATAAACACAGCCCTTTCTTGTTAAATAAAATAACTTGAACAATAATATTTACTTTAAAGATAGATAACTTTTGATTAAGGTTGAACATTTGAATGTGTGGTAAGTAGCTATTAGAAATTTTCATTTCAAATATTTCACTAATTTTATTAAATGTTTGATTGATAAATCGCTTATATTGTTTACCAATAAATAGGTGTGTACGAATGCTATTCAAGTTACTTCAACTGAAAAAACGAAAGTTCTTGGTCATTCAGTTATTTTGAATGACGTTTATTATGCTTCAGAGATCGAAGAAGTAAGCAATGAGTTCATATGTTATTAATATTATTATTATAACTGACATTTGTGGTAGTAAGTAATTCTGAAAATTAAAAATTTTAAATGTAGAGACTTACAGTTCTGTTCTCGTTAAGTACAATATAGATTAGCTCTCCTAACCGTTGGACTACTGAGTAGATGTTAAATGGTTTCGATGTCTAACCTCAATCAATCCTGCATATAAACTGTGAAATCCGACAGCTTCCATAAATATTCCATGCTAAAACTATGGTGTTATTTTATTTAATGTTAACATGTGAAACTAAGTGATAGATATGCGTTATTAAAGGTGTTTGAAGGTTCATGTTAACTGACTGGTTCATCATACACAATTAGCAGATCATCTAAATATTCACAATAATCAAGTTTTTCTAGGTTGTTCTTACCGCTGTGATTAAGATGGAATATGTATTTTGTACCAGTAATGTTTTTAGAATAAGATTTTAATTTGTTGACTAGAACACATCATTTTGGAACAATTTTCTTTCAGACATTTCGTATTTGATCATTCAACTTTTCTCTGTTTTTACTATTTGACAGATGACCAGAGTAAAATCTATCATTTCCAATTTATAACGTCTAATTTAATTATAACTTTAATATGTATTCTCCGCATATATTATTTAATGTATCACAATAGTTATAGATTTATAATTGTTTAGTCTTACGAAGTTATTGGGTGATATATTCTTTGTTTTTGAACATGTACTCCTGAATAAGCTAGAGTGTAACTGTCGCTATTCATGTGCGACAAAAATATCAATAAAGAAGAACTGTGAATAGTTTCGGTACTGATCACAGGGTAATTAAATTCACCAGCGAAGAGAAGCATGACAACACTATAGTTTTCCTTGATAACATTCTTTCCAAAAGGATAGATGGTTCCATAAAATAGGAATTTACTTATGAAAAATACATGGACTAGTAAGTACAAAATAAACCTGAGTAGATATCTCAACCGTAGAATCAGACTATTATTCTTTGAAGATATTGTTGATGGTAAGATAAATAAACCAAAGAATGCAAAACGAAATAATGGTTATGCAGTTAATGTCGTCAAAAAATACTTATTTGAACGGAAAAATAGGGCAAACTCTCTTAGTCAACAAAAAACCCTTTATCTAAAACTCGGTTTTAAAGGGGACGTAGCGGGTGATATTTTAACATTTCGACTTAAAAGATTCATTTATAGGACATTTAATGCTTCCGAATTACATGTAATCTCAACTAAACCAATATTTTAACAACAAACCAAGGATAGGTTACCGATGATAGGCTCCTCAATTTATGTACATCGATTCAACTGCTCCTGTGGAGCTAGTTACACAGGCCGTACTCAGAGAAATTTATCTTTACTTTCTTGAAACACGTACAGACATGATTGAGAAAAAGTGTCACAAAACCTATCAACAGCTCCATCTTTTCTCATTTGATAGAAAGTGAACATCATGTTAAAACAGATGGAACTTTTTCCGATTTGTATCAAGCTTCAAGTAATCTAACTAAAATGAAATTATGACCCCTCCACGTATCTCAAGTCTTCGGGCTTAACTGCAGAAGACCTGACATTTGTATCCAAACGAGACATGTTCAGCCTCTATATTTTTCCTTGACCCACGACTGGATCACCTAAACTAGATGTTATAAACCCCTCACCCCCCCCAATCCTCTTTTTGTTCATATCTGCCCTACCCCATTTTTGAATTTATACATTCATCTTTTCCGATTCACTTGAATTTCTTATCATAACTGCTTTTACAATAACTTGCTTACTATATGCCACATTTATACGACGTTACTATTATTATCACCACTGTTATTGTTGTTACGATTATTATTATTGTTATCATTATTATCTCCACTAACCAAATAAAATTCTCCTACTGTACATTTTATTTACATGATTCTACTATTACATTGATTATATCTTGAAACTTTACAAAGAATTATTCTGACCTTACGTAAATGACCTTTCGAATTGACAAACGGCACATTTCTAGAGTATTTGTGCTGTAACATGCAAAAGTTCACCATCATCTGACGCATTGTTTCGTTGATTAGAATGACTTATTTTGGCCTTTGTAACACAATAAAGTAATTATGGGCTGTATAGCCTGATAACGAGGATGCTGAAAACAATTATTTGCTCCGACATCCTTTTTTGTTAAATATTCTTTCTGGACTTTAAAATTTTTATCTTCGTCAACTAGTTAAATAAATACTATACATACACTATACAGATAATTGGTTATATTTGTCAAGTAATCGATGTCTTAGTTTTAAAACAGTAGAAAAGTAATTCTGAACATTACGGGCAATGATTGTAGTGGTGTGAATATGATCACGCGCAAATGAACGAAATCTAAACTATTCCACATACAATTACTGAATTTCTAAATCAAGTCATGTCCCATTATTCTTTATTTTGGTTATTGTACTTTCAAATAAGTTGAAGCGATCACAACAGTGCACATGCTTGATTTTTATCACAATGTTATTATTTCATTAACACCATAATATCAGCGTCATTGTTAATTTATTCTCAAGTTTTAACTATCCTGATTTTGTAAAACACTGGAAATTTCATATCTGAGCATTTTCGATAATGTTTCATCACTTAAAATGATAATTAGAACCTTCGAAAAATGTTTTAACGTCGGCTAAGAGCAATCATGATTTTTAAGTGAGATAAAAGATACTGTTTCCTTCAAATAGATAACTAGTGACTAGGTGTAAATGTTCTAGATATATTAAGTAATTGTTCGTAATTTATCCATTCAAAGTGTGAGTTACATGAAGTTATTTGTCACGAACTAAACCGAACTGTATAATCACTGTATCAGTATATTTTCTCCATTTTTTCTCATATATATACATATATATGCTGCGTGAATCTTAAAATAAACAATCTGGTTCAAGCCATTTCTATTCTCTTTTATGCTTGTTCATTCAGGCTACAATATTTGAAATATATTCTTCCAGTATATCTCATGGTTAACTTTTTGTACCACCTTTTCACAATGCAGTTAACTGAGATACTGTATATGAGATTAAATGGGGTGGCGTTGTATTCAGTTGGAGTCAGTAAAGAGCTACAGATATCATATAACGACTAAATTACCACCAGATCTCTACGTTCAAATCAAATGATTAGAATTTTTTAAAAACTCCTATTAGTCAGCCAAAAATAACGTATGATCTAGCGTAAATGTATATTATCCTATACTATATCAACCAAATAAAAGAAAATTACCAGAATGCATAGTGAAGAAATAAAATTTAATGGTTTCAATGATAATAATGTGGGATATACTACATATGTCTGCCGACATAAGTAGTATGTAGTACCAATCATAAGTGGAAACCCTGGCAGCAGAAGGACTAGAAGATCAAGTTGAGGAGAATAGGAAGGGAAACAGAAAGGAATTGCGAATAGAAAAAATCATACAGAATATGAAGAACAAATGATGGAAATTTTCAGATGAAGTATTCAATGTACGGTTATCATAGTTTACCAAGAGATTGTAATTCCATATTCAAATACACCCGTGTTCTTGTTCATTGCGGTAGCACTTCTGTTATGTGGTAATATGTTACGGTTAAATTCTAAATTTATCTGTGAATATTCATTTTCATGTAAATGATAATTCACTTAAAATTAGAGGTTAAAAATCTGTAAAACTAGTCACTTAGTTATGTGTTTAACAATTGCATGACATTATCTCAGCTAAAAGTTCAAGTATCAACTTTGGTTTTTTTTCATACAAGGAATTGGTGTTATGCTTCACTTTGAAAATAATTTGTTGAATGATCTAACAATCATATATATATACCCTAAAAAATAAACATATTTTGCACTTTTTTATCTTGATTTTCGACTTGTTTTTAGGTTTGTTTAGTTGATAACAACCAGTTCACACTAACTATTTTAAATGATAATGGTCCATTATCTTTTATACATGATGCATGTGATTCCATTGTTCAAGCTATTATACACATACGTACAAGATGGGCATTATCTCAACCGGATACACCAGCAATTCATGCCAAGATCAAGCCACGTGATGTTCCTGGAACTTTGCTAAATATAGTAAATTCTTATTTTTACGTTTATTCATTTAGTCCTAATACTGTCATTCTTACATGTTCCGTATGTAAATGAAATAATATGAAATTGTCCATGCAACATTCCATCAGTGACTAAACACCAAATGGAATTAGTTTTGTATAATGTTATATTGATGGAACCGGATTGATCATTAAGTCATATCTGACATTAATTAGTGTTACATAAATATTACAATAATAAATTTACAGAACATGTATTCATAACTGTTGAATAATAAAAGAACTGATTACTTATAAAACTGCCAACATCTACTGATTGATCAATTTTCCGTGGTATTTCATAATCTACTAAATACTACTAAACTTCCTTCCAAATAAATTTTAGAATACAAGATGACTAGATATTTGTCAAAGAATAAAAATGTAAACCATGAATTTATATTCGTTACCAAATAACCAATCAAAATTCTTTCTCAGGCACAAAACTTCAGTTCTGAATTCCCTATAACTCATGTTCTAAGAAAGTAGCATGAAACAGAATTACAGCATTTCAAGCGCCAAAGGAAATTAAGTAAATAACTTAGCTATCATCTCTGACTTCGAAACAGAATATATATATATATAGTTTGTTTCTAAAGGCAAATTATAATGCTTATAATTTTTTGTCAAATGTAGACAGCGTAATAATGCAGTCTTTACCCAGATCCCTAACATTTAATCTGCTTTCTAAGTCAACGAAACAAAATTTCAACTTCCAGATGTCTTGTTATCATGTGATGTGCGCTACTTATGTTTTTATATATAAGTAGTATATGACACTAATAGAAAATGGAATGCCTGGCAGCAGATTGTCGAGAAAATCGAATAGAAGAAAACGTGAACTCAATAGATTTTAATTAAAGTGATAAATGGTTTAATTCTGTTTGCTAAAACTCAAGGTTCGAAGTACTGTTGAGCGTAATGGTACTTCCTTGACATTTCCTTTTCATAGTCAAACTTACTATATCAAGAGTCACTTCAAGAAAATAGAATACTTTGATTTGTTTTAACGGAAACAAGTTTCCAGGAGTGCAGTTGCATTAGTATTTTACTATGCATTGAAATTCAAAAGAGAACTGGCAGTAATCACAGTTACAGAAAACCTTTTGTTCGATCATATATATATATATATATATATATATATATATATATATATATATATATATATATATATATATATATTATAATATGAATGATTTGATCCACCATTTAGTTTTTCTATTATCCTATTTTTAATGTAGGCATTACTTAATTTAGGCAGTTCCGATCCAAATCTGCGATCAGCTGCCTACAACTTACTTTGTGCTTTAACACAAACATTTAATTTGAAAATCGAAGGACAATTACTAGAAACTAAAGGATTATGTATTCCTGGGAATAATACACTATTTATTACAGAGATAAGTAATCGTCTAGCACAATTAGAACCACATTTAACATTAGAATTTCTTGAAGAATGTATACAAGGATTTAGTCGTTCAAGTATCGAAATGAAACACTTGTGTTTAGAATATATTACACCTTGGTTACCTAATTTAACACGTTTCTGTCGTTCGGATGATGCTAAACGACAAAAAGTAAGTTCCTTTGTGTTATCAGTTACAGTCTATTGTGAAATAATTCTAATTACTTACTATTAAAGCTTAAAACAGGATTGTTTTCTATCTTTGAACCGAATTATTTTTATTAAATATGTATCTGAAGAACTAATGAGAATTAGAGCAGCTTATGTAGCTGATTCTAGTTTGACATTACTTGACATTGTACAGTGCTTATCTCATAATGGATCTAATTTGTGATATTCATGTCTTTCTGTCACTCAAAGTGACTGAAGTTATAAAGGTCGGTTATGTGTTCACCATGAAATGAGAAGATTTATATCAATATTCAATGCTTATTTTTTTAACAACCAATTTACGTTATTATATAAACTATCTGGAAATCCGTGAATTTTTCCAGATCACCCAGATTATTAAATTTCAAACTTTTCACATCCATATCTAGTGAGTGGTACATCAAAATTTACCAACATTTTACTACAAAACGGATAAATAAGTCAAACAATACTTTTTTCTTTGGTGTTAAGTGTGTCCTATACAGCAATTATTCCATAGTTTTGAGTTTCATAGAAAGCATGTGAATCTGTCCTTTATGCAGAGGTTAGTTTATTTAAAATAAGTGACAAATTCTTATTACACATAATTACTGCAATAATTTAAACTTAATAATGACAGATTGTCGTATATTTCATTGCATTAAATTTTTCAGGTAAATGTTATAATTGACAAGTTGATTACTTTAACAATTGAAGAAGAACAAATGTATCCGTCTATTCAAATAAAAATTTGGGGAAAATTAGGTCAAGTTCCACAACTTTTGGGACTTGTTCTAGACAATTTTATACAACGTTCTGTTAGTTGTGGATTAGGCAGTTTACAAGCAGAGATAATGGCTGATACATCAGTTGCGCTGGCAGCTGTAAACAAACAACTTGTATCGAAGAAAGTATTATCTAAACTGTGTCGTGTAAGTTTGATATTTTGTTTGTAAGCTAACTTTACTTTTAACTAAGGTACATGAACATCGATTATGGTTAACAATGTTCAATGATGATTTAATTCTATCGATCAAGTTGTAATGTAATCACTAGTCTAAGGGGATGGAAATTACATACAGTTTTGACGTAAAGTGATCGGGATTGGTCGTCAGGAAACTTTAGACCTGAACCTATTCCTTATTCGCGCTCTTCAGGAAAGTATGTTTTCAATCCTCAGGAAAGTCGTGCTGTCCATGAGATTCGAATCTACATCACCCAGTTCCACAGTCCGAATTACTTGAACCTAACACCATTTCCCCGAATATTGTAGATACTTGATAACAACCAACCAAGTTACTACTTTTCACTAAAACCTTATAAACCATAAGGTTGCTCTTTCTATGGAGTAGTTTAAGGTAGCTTTTTAATGGGTTTTACTTGAAGTGTCATAGTAATTTTCTATCTCAACATAAACTATTTGAACAACAATTATCTATTAGCGAACAAATAAAATTAACCAAAGTGGATCATACACCATCCTATATGTTTGTTAGTTGGTATGTGAAGGTATAAGACAAGCAAAGCTTACTATTATTTGAACATAGCTATCCTTAAAGTATTGGAAACGTATGTTAGAGCCATCATATAGGTAATACTGAGGTTGGCCGTAAATTATTTGGTTGGTAAGCCAGTTAATAGGGTTGTGTAGCTTCAGTAAATCAGGTGATCGGAATTTATTTTACTCATATTCAGACTTAGACTACCTTGATTTGTAATCCTAGGTATCGTAAGAGAAGACTATTTATACACGACACTAGTTCATCGAGTCATTTACACTTAGTGTGAGTATGCGTACTTATCAACCTTTTTCATGTTTACATTAATCTATCTAATTATTGTAGTTATTCCTTCTTCTAAAGAAATTAGATTTTTTTGTCGAATTTTTCATATAGTTTATTGAAAAGACATGTTCTGCTCCAACAACCCTATTGGAACAACATCCATTGTGGCCAGAAACTGCGCCATTGCTACGGTATTTATTAATGTTATCATTCAATAATTGTTTAGATAGTAAGTGTCCAAAATAATAATAAAAATATGTATTTTTTCAATAAGTTTATTTTTATGAATATGATTGTGGTTGGTCCCCAATCAGAAGAGAAGGATCAGTGAGGAACCACGAATAATTAATTGTCCAGTGCTTCTCGATCTATTCCGATTATCCGGCTTATATCAATGCGTGATAGAAAAACTTTGGATTGCCGAAAATGCTAATTGTTTAGCTGTGTCAGATATTGCCACATGGTAATACAGTTGATTATCTTTTCTTCGAAATACTAAAAATAATAATGTTATTCAGTATTAAAATAGTAGTAACTGTATGTGCTAAACAGAACCCATTATTATTACATACACATATAAGAACTTAAATTGGAAATTTCACTTCGATATGTAACTTTGGTCAAGATAATTTACATCTACAATAGGTTATGTTATAAAAGCAAGACGCTCGCTAATTTTCTCCAAATACGTACCTTTAATATCATCATTGGTAAGTGTCTAGATCTGGGATAAAATGTATTTAAGTTCAACTTGTTTATTTTTGTACACCCCTAACTTTCTGAGTAAGGTTCTACCAGTAGTGTAACTCCATACCATGTTTAAGCAGTCGGGACTTTGAAGAGCTTGTATAGGTTGGCGGCTGTTTAATGTATTTATATACACGTCTTTTATTTACATGTATATGACTCGGATCTCAGGAAATCGGTTTCATATTTTTTAATATTCATTATTTATAACCATAGCTGAAATTTAAATTCTAGCAAATGATGGAAATAAAAATTGTTGAAAATTCCGTTTCCAAAATTTTTTATTATGCAACTTGCAAATCGTGTCTATATATGTATTTTTATTCCAGTATGTACACATTTGCCTCGGTTATTTCATATTGCTACTTTATTGGTGTGTACTGGTCCACTATCTCTGAGAGCATCTGTACATGGATTTGTGATCAATGTTATACATTCATTGTGTACTTCATCTTTAGCTAAACAAATTTCTGGTGAGTTAAATCATTTGATTGGAATATTATATTAATATCTCTGATTTTGTCCTACTGATGTGAAATAAAAGATTTTTACGAATCCATATTATTAAACTGAATATCTAGTTTCATCATACTCATTCTGTTTATGACGGGCCGTTGATTAACTAAGGTTAAGATAGTAAGCACATAACATATTTCTCAAAATTTTTCTAACTATTTTCATTACCATTAACATAAATCACATCTAATTTCAACAGTACTACTATATTCTAATGTAAAGCATAACATAAATTTTTCTGTTTATTCTATACAACGTTGGCACACAAGTTTAGTAATGCACTTTATGTAATACAAACAATTCTCTCTCAAATTAAAAATTATCGATACATATACATGATATATATAAAAATAGTTTACGAGGTCTTTGTTTAGTGATCTAAAAATTTTTTATTCTATACGGTGCCGGCATACAGTTTTAGAGATTTGTTTTGTTGTACATCATACTAATGATTCTCTTAATTTATAAATTATTGATAAATTTACATAATAAATAAGAATAATTTACGAAGTCTTTGATTAGTGATATATATTTAAAATTTTAAGCAGGACATAGATTTCTCAGAGAGATTTTCTTCCAGATTTCTGTCGAATAATAAACATCACCTTCATCATTATGTACTTTAACAGTAGAATTAAGACTTTTCATTACTGCCTAATCAATAACGATTGATGACTTCACTTAGCGGTCGTGTAGTGAATAAAATCACGGCTGAGGACGACCGTATGTATCTGACACAAAATTACAGAGTATTTCAATAAAATCTGAGAACTATATATCAAATCGTTAATTTGCAAAATGTCCACCAATTGTCTCAAAATGCCTCAGACTTCGTTGTTCTTACATTTTCATACAAATTGTATTCTATTCCCGCTTTTGCTTTCTTGATCTTCCCTCATCTTCTGCTGCCAGACATTACATTCCTGACTCGCATAATGTACTACTTGTATCAATATAAGTAGCACGCACCACAGTCGTACATAAAACCCGTTCATAAATGATTTATATCAGTAAACTAAAGCAGAGATGATGTGGTAATTTGAAAATTTTTCAGAATTAGATTGAATGTAGGCCGGTTTATTAATTGTGAGCTGGATATTAAAGGAACTACTTGGAAAAAGGAAGCAATGAAAAAATTGTACGAACTATGTCAAGACTGTAACACTAATAGTTTGTGTATTTAATTTATTTAGAATTGAAATTCTATCCATTACATCGATAACTGTTCTCATTTTCACATAACGTAAATAAATTACGTCATTTTTTCTTCTAAATTTCATTATTTTGTCTACAGAAAAAACAGTTCATCAGCTTCGTCAACTTCTTGCAGAATTTACTCTGCCCAAATTCTATGAAGTGTTTGGCATACAACATGTTAAATGTGCACCTATTAGCGCATTTCCACATTTTCGTCCAGGTGAACGATCTGGTTTAATAATTGGATCAGCTGGACCTAATAATTCATCTCATACAGGCTCTGTGGCGTTAAATATTCCACCGCTTACCGGTCATATTGGAGTTATATCAAACCTACATCATAGTCAAGGGAGTAGTAGCAGTATTAGTAGTAATTGTAGCGGTGGTACATGTACATCAATGTCAGTTGATGGTGTAGATTTAATCAGTGCTAAAAAAGATACAAGTTTACAAAGTTCTGAATTGAAAAAACCAGAATTCACTCGAAATACTCATCCAGTTTTAGTAAGGATTAGTGATAATTGTGAAGAGACAAACCTTTATCAACGAATGATACCAACATCTATTGAAACATCTCAACGTACCAGACAAATTAATGATTCCTTAGACAATTATGAACGAAATCCATATAATCATCCTCACCAAAAACAACATTCATTTTCAACTGACATGTTCAATTTAAATCCAGGAAATAAAGCTAATTCCACTTTCTCTGATAATTATTCATTAAGATTAAATCAAACAGGTCAATTTATTGTACCGCATTTATTTAATCCTTGTACAAGCGTACCATCATCATCATATTTACCAAATCACGCGATATCACAACCTTTAGATAGTTTAGATAACAAACCTGAACGTTTATCATTGAGTTCATTGGAATTTCTTACTGATACATTATTAGAAATTATGAGTTTAGTTATTAAAGAAGTGCCGAAATTTACTCATTGGCTTGATCAATGGACACAATTAGCACGAAAGTAATTAGTTCTTTGTTGTTGCTTTTTTTTTTAAAAAAAGAAGTGTATTTAAATATTTCTATCATTTAATTATTTTTAACCATTTTTTGTATGCATTTACATGGATGAGAAGTTATCAAAGATCATGTATGCTTATATATTAACCAGAACACCTAAAATAATCTTTCAGATTCATTTGTTGAGAATTAATAAAACTATCAAAGTAATTAGCGTGAAATGAGAGTATATTTATCCCCTATCGATAAAACCATTTATGACAATGAGATAAAGTAAAGATTATGAACGGAAATGGATTGAAGAGATCTCAGGGGTTACATTATCTAAGATTACTGCCTCTGTCAAGCATTGTGGCTTAAGAGATTTATAATATTTACGTCCAAATATTCCAAAGTGATCTATGAATATTTTAGTTAACTGTTCTGTTCTAACAATCAACAGTACCACTGTACTGTATTCCCTCATCAATATACTTCCTGACGTCTAATGCATTGATGTATTTCACTAATAATATTTCAAACCTTACCTAATTCCTATTATTCTTTAGGCACTTATCAATGTCTACATGATTAATTCTAGCTTAATAAATTGATAAATACGAAAGAATTTACATGACTATCGATTTTCACATAAGCTCTAACCACTACTTTCTTATTAAATTAAACATTATAAAACTATATATGTCGTTATTAATCTAGTTTAGCAAGTACTTTTCTCACAATTGTTTTGTACCATAGATTCGCTTTTCAACATAATCCAGCCTTACAACCTCGTGCTATCATTGTTCTCGGATGTATTTGTAAACGTTTTACTGATACGGACATTAAACAATTATTACGTATAATGTCTAGAGCATTAGCGTCATATGCAAATGAATTGAACATGGAAAAAGATCTACGACATAAAACTGTAAATACTGGACAAGCAGGTTTGTTTGTTTGTAATATATTCCCATCTAAATTGTTCACTACATTCTTTTTATGCATTACCTATAAGCTTATCTTCTTATGTATGATTAAAAGCATTTAGTAATTACATTTTATGCTTATTGGATTCGGTTTATTTACTAACAATCGATTTCAATTAAAAACCACTGAACAACAGATTTTCAGTCGTTTTCTAGCTGCCTTCAGTCACTTATGAAAACATTCTCTGCAATGAAACAAATTTCCACAAAACTTAATTCGGGAAAACCTGTTGATAGGTTCCAGAAAGTCACAAAACTAAACATTTTTGATCTAAGCTACAACATTTTCGCTTGCTAAATTAGATACTGGCCAATTTTTTAAAAGTTTTATTCTGTGCTCAACTCCCCTAACATCAACTAGTATTTTATAATAGGTAATTTCTGAATACTGTATAAATATAGTGTGCTTTGCCTCTTTTTATAATTTTTAACAGAACTCTACCTCATTGAAGCAATAATTATTTGTTTAACAAGGCTGTTACCGCTACTGCCATCAGATTCGGAAACACATCAGCCATTATTTTGGATTGCATTGGGTATTCTACAATTAGATGAAGTTTCTTTGTATGCGGCTGGACTAGCTTTACTTGAACAAAACTTATTAACATTAGATCAGAATGGAACATTTGAACGTGATGTAAGTGATATTTCTATCATATATATATAATTAATTTTCGAACCATTGAAGTTACAAATTTAAAAAATATCAGTTCTGACAAATAATGTAGTGTTTGGAGTAATTTGTAGAACAGCGTCATAAAACATGACATTTTCTTCATGGTTATCAGAAATTTATTTATTTACATGTGGTAGGTCGTACTTAGGGATACATTTAAAACATGCTTGTCTTCATTCTTATTAACTTGTAAATATTCTTTTTGATATTCCTGCGTTTATATTCCGAAATCTTGTAAAATGGTCGAAGGTAGTTAGAATTAAACCTGAACCTAGCTTTCGCGCTATTTGGCAGTAGTCAGCATGGTCTCTGCAATCTTGAAGGAACTAGAGCTTCCTGAAGTATGTAGTCCCACCTGACTGGTCTTTACAGTTTGTGACACTACCACTAGGCAATTGTGGTGGAGTTTTGTTCTATGAGCTAGATGCTTTGGTCGTGGAGTTTTCATCGTTCTTCTGAACGACATAATCAGCACAAACTTTAGGTAAAAGTGAAGTATTCGAATTTATCCACTTATGGCTCACAGCTTGTCCTGTAGACCTCGATCTCACTAAGCGATTGGTTTGTATTTTACAACCGCTTATGTGAATTATCATTTAGGACCAAATGTCATAGTTAAACTCATTGAAATGAAAAATCCGATATTTTAGTTTATTCAAATTCAAACTTAGTCAGACGATCAAACAGCATAGTTTTCTTGTTTTGACTTCTTTAAAATTTTGTCACTCAGAAAGTAATATACATGTGATATTAAGCTACATGCTGTAGACATTAACAATTTCAAGATATTGTTTAACTATTACATTTGAGTTAACTAATGATACTACATGAAAAGAGTGCGTAATATCTGATAATATGCGAAAATTTTCATTCAACTCTAGTTTATGAGGTATCTCAGTTAAATAAACTAACTAATGTTGTTAGATTAGAAATAGACAGTGGTTATTGCAAATCACTAGTAACCTGCTAAATAGTGAAATTGTCTATGAACTTATACACAATGTATTAAAGTCTCGATTGGAATATTGATCTAAGAAATAGATTATAAAAATACCTTTAATACGAATATGTCTAATATCATTACCGAACACATCGCCATTTAAATATGTTAAGATATACCCATATTTAAACATTTGACGATTAATTATGTTAAAAATTTCGTTATAACCCTATGAAATTTGCTGTTTGTCTTTTCTTTGTTGTCGTTATCTATGTGTTAGTCATTAAGCAGTATTATGATGCGATGTCGAGAACAATTTATTCTACAATATAAACAAATGGATCATGCTGTTGGTCTTAGTTTCCGCGATAGCTTTCATTTCGCATTAGTCGGTCATCTATTGAAAGGGTTTCGTCATCCTGATGTAAAAACTGTTGCTAGAACTATACGTGTGTTGAATCTACTATTGGGTATTACTGCAAAACCAATTAATCGGTAAGTCATGAATAATAACTATTGAATTAAAATAATTACTTAGAAGATAAACCATGCAATTACATTGTTATATTCACATGTTGACTTTATAATTAGTAAGTAAAACTTTCTTAAGAAACTAATGAACTAAATATAACGTTTAGATAGCGTATTTCATGAAAACACAGGCTTCGAAAACTGTAAAACTATAAGAAGTCGTGACTCTATAAAAATATAAGTAATACGTCTTTTTATCAGAAGGGGCTTGTGGAGATCTGGGAATTTTCACAGATTGAAATCATGAGTCAACTGAAGCTAGACCGCCATCGATCGTGGATGAGCACTGCTGAGGAGTCCCATACTAAGATGAAACGGCCGTCCAGTGCTTCTAGGTTTTTCACGGTGGTCTAGCTTCAATTGAATCATGATTTCAATACGTCTTTTTGACTAATCAGTCATGTAGAGCTACAAAAAGAATCTAGCATATTTAATACGTAGCGTTTAGTCCATTTCTGTACGTAGTTATTACCGAGCGAGCGTAATAATGAAATTATATCCCTATAGTAATATTCAATAAGTGACTTCATACACAACTGCATTTATCAACTAAACAGAATAACAAAACTCGTACCTATACTTGATTGTTCATGTAACTAACCAAATAGTAATATTCGCTCCTTGTATTTTTAGACATGGGTTAACACACTATATGTATGAAGCATCTCTTAAACAAACTGGATTCTTGATTGGTCACTTTGTTTCTTTATAGCCGTAAAACAACAGATTTCTTAGTTTACGCAAAATGTAGATATATATTGGTAAAGTGAATAATTAATTGATTGACATTTCAAAGAGTGAACTTATGATTAAATACGTAATTTTAATGATAAACAGTTTTTAGAACGTCACAGTACTTATTAACTTTATAATTTAGTATCCTAGTGCATAAACAAAGAAAACAACCATTTTTTTGGTATATTTTTAACGTGACTAAACATTATAAATATAGTTTTCAACAAAATAAACTAAAATTAGTTTTGAATACCGTAAAAATCAAATTTACTTGCTTATGTGGAGCAAGTGAGTAAAAATATTATTATCAGATGGAACTAAGTTGTATAAAATAGTAGAGTTCCATCCTAATCTCTTATTCAGACTCCATTTTTTCTCAAATCTATGAGCGTACGAAAGTAGAAGTAAATCTGTAATTGATCAATAACAGAAAACTTTTTTATTGCAAATTATTAACGATTCTCTACATAACAGTGATTCCATGTATCATTTTTAACAGCTCCCTAATGTTCAAGTGATGTGCATATAGTTCACGTCTGTAAGTAAACATCAGTATTAAGATACAGATAATCTATTCCAAATTCAGTCTTATATTTCACTAAAGCAAAGCGTTGGATTTACTTAAAATTCATTCGCTGAGATTTTACAAATATATTCTTTTTTTTAATGTCTCAAATTAACTCGGCGCCCAAATATTGTGAAACTATTCGTTCAAATTTAGACGAAAGTTCTTATTTATTAAGCAAAGCGTTTGTTTAAGGAGTTCTATACTCCAACAGGAACTGCTGAAATACACTCCTAAATATTGATAACAGTAAAAATGTAGATGTTTGCAAATGGTGAAGTATTCTTAATATCATATTAGATGAGTCTGCTCCAATAATTTTGTTCTTTTACTTTTGACACTGGAGTAACTCTAATATTTCAGTTGTTTGAGGTAAGCCCCGAGCTTTGATTAGCCGGTTGATCAGTTCTCTTTACGAAACTTCCTTGCTCACCCAATACCATCGTCATATATTTATATCCAAGTAAATTATTTGATAACATCTGAATATATGTGTATTTTGTTTTCATCATAAAACTATTTAATTACTGATTTATCAAATTTACAGTGATAAATATCAAGTTAGTCACGAAAGTATAGCTTATCTAACAGCCCTGTTACCAGTATCCGAAGAAGTACGTAAGCGATGTCGATTGAAATTTCGTATACCTGGTACACTTGTTGGTACAAATGAACAAGAATTAAATAAAAATTGTAATAACAATAATAACAACAATAATACCACAATGATAACAAAGAATTCTTCCTCTTTCACAAATGCAACAATATACTCAACTAATCATACTGATTGGGGTGGATCTAATGAAAGCTTACTTGATACTTTATCATCACCTCAACAGTCGAATTCACGTGGTCATAATTCAGTTAGTCTCATCAAATCATTATTGCCAAATAATTTTATTCAATCGAATTTTAATCAGAAAATTAATCGCCCACGATTTGAGTCAAATTATACAAGTAACTTATTGTCATCAGACAATAATACAACACAACAACTGATTCGTTTATCAAACGATCGTCAGATAACAACTAATACGATATCAGAGATGGTAAGATTCCTTTTTCATTAAATTATGAATTTCTGATAACTCAGTTTGTATTCTTTCTCTTTGTTTCTCATGAATAAGTTTGATTACTGCTTTGTGTAATTTCTCTTCATGAAAATTATGCAATTGAAAATAAGAAATAAAAGAAATGAAATTAATTTAGTGTTTGGAATGCACTAAAGTATATTTTATATATCTGAATCTGTATAGATGTGTTTGTAATGTGAAATTTATAAAATGCACTTACTCAAATCACGTTAGTATCTATACTTATATTATAAGCAAAGATGAATTATGGCCAGTAATGGAATCTAGGACGTGCCTTTCGTCCTATCTGGGACTCGTCAGCCGGACGTACCTGTGTTCCAGAGTTCATGTCCGCCGCGAGACTCGAACCCAGTACCATTTGCTTCAAACGCCATTGCGTTGTTTACTTAGCTGCTGAGTCCAGAGAGCTGCTCGTGATTTAAGGAAATATCGAGGCAAGTACATATGCCAATAAAAGGCTGATCAATTGCACTCCTAAACATCAACAGGAAGATTCAAACAAACTCATTAAACTATATTATTCGTTCAATCTTCCGAAATTCTTAACAGATATAAGTTTATCTAAAAGCCATCATTGGTTGTTCGTATTGGTGGTTCAAGAAATTGTTTTTTTTATTTCATGTATTATTTCATACTTTAATTTAAAAAGTGTTTAATATATATATATATATATATATATATATATATATATATATATATATACCGTTTGCTTTTTTCACTAGAATCAAGTCCAACAATCATGTCACCAGTTTCCTAAACGTCATACAATTTTAAGTGCAACAGACAGTTTGCGTTCACGTTCTATTGATGAATGCATGCCAAGTGGTAGTATTAATTCGAACACTGAACAACGATCAGGTAATGTTTTGAGTCAAATTAGAGATGAAACAGTCGATAGTCAGAATATGAATGGAAGCGAATTTGATGATGTCAGTGAAGATAGAAATCAAATTAATCAACGGGAGCAGTTGTTACCTAACCCCATTCAAACTGAACACAAGACATCGACTGGAGTTCTTCTTGATCCAAGTATTCTTACAGACGAAGCAACTCAAGCTTTAACTATTGCTGTACTGGTAAATTTACATGAAATAATTTAATTAATGCATTTTATATTATTCTATCTGAAATGTTTTATAAATTTTTGAAATATTCATATAGTTACAATTGAAGCTTAGTCTACTAATTGAGCATTGATGAAAAAACCAAAGTAATCTCGTTTTAAGCATAAAATATATTTTGTAGAAAAGGCGGTTAAACTGTTTGTAAGTGTCATATGTGACGATCTTCATACATCACTTAATTTTATCAATCATGATGTACTTGCATTTCATGCTCTTCGATACTTATATACAAATTGTAAATGATAATAGATCTGCACTTCATCTTATTTTGAGATTATTCAGAATATTACAACAAATATAACATTTATTCTCAGTACCCATTAGTTTTTGCTCTACGGATGATTGTTTCGCGTTCCAGGTATCGAGTTAATGAATTTTAAGAATTAGTTAAATGCTCTTAAATTTCAGAGTAACTATTGACGGTAATTAGCTGTTTCTTAGCTCTGGTTGTTTTATGAAATATAATTATCCCCGAATTCTCTCTCTACAGAACTTATATAAACTATTCTATAGGTGAAGTACCACAGCAGGGACACAATGCCTACATTTGATATTATTTCAATTTAAAGTAATGTCAAACTGTGAGTAAAAACTACCTAAATTATCAGAATTATTCGCAAAACTTTAATGAAGTTTTCCGGGAGCCATTTTTTAAGAAAATGGATACTAATGAATACCATTCTTCAATTCAACTTACAGTGACCGTATTTAATTATAAAGAATAATAACACGATTAGTAGTAATGTCTCTTAGTGCAATTGCGGCGATGTAGAAGTGGATTTGAGTTTGTGAGTTAGCTCAAGAGAAAATCAAGGGTCTTTGCATGGATATGATACATTATTTACTTACTTAAGCCCGTTACTCCTTGTGGAGGAGAATAGGGTGCTCAACAGCATTCTACATCCAACTATGTCCTGGGCAATCCTTTCAAGTTGTTTCCAGATGCTACTCATCCTTTTCATGTCTGCTTCCAATTCCCGGCTCAGTGTTTTTTCTGGCCTTCCTCTTTCCGTTTCCGTTCAGGATTCCAAGTTTTTACTCGTCTCGTAATGCAGTTAGATGAGTTCCGCGATGTATATCCTATCCACTTCCGTCTTTTCCGAATTTCCTCTTCATCTGGAAGCTGGTTTGTCCTCTCCCACGGAATGGTGTGGCTGATGGTATCCGACCAATGAACATTGAGTATCTTGCGTAGACAATTGTATATCAATACTCGTACTTTTTGATGATGGTTGTAGTAGTTCTCCATTTTTAAGCTCCTTACAGTGGGACTATCTTGACGTTCCTATTGGAGACCTTGACTTTATGTTGGTTGACAGTATATGATTTTAGAATCATTTAAATATTGCCGTTTATATATTGAGTCTTGACAAAATTAACTTGTTTGGTCTTTTTATATTGATATGAATTAATTGTTAACCTTCATCTACTTTATTGAACATGGTATTGGCGTTTTTCAATCATTCAGGCATGAATTTCCGTTAATTGTGAAAATTAACGGGTGACATTCGTACAAACAGCTGCCTATGATTTATGTATAAGGGTAGGGAAAAGCGTCTCAATTCCTACCAAATTGAATATTTCTACTTCCAAAAAATATTAGTGGTAGAGAAAGGATTAGTAAATCATCAGATATATGAATCTTTTACTCCATAGTTTATTGTCGCATCTGGCTGTTTGCCTTAATATCTAAGCTACCTGTTCATTTCATCTAGATATTTCAAAAAGTTATCTGATTTTTGTTTGTTTTAACACATCATTATGTTTATTTATCGCATAACCCATTCCGTCGCCTCTATGAAAATTTTACGACCATTCACTAAACAACTTACAAAAAAGTACAATTAGAAACATCGTGGTAGCCGGCATTATGCATTGAAAATAATGAACACCAATCAGATCGATTCCTGAACTACTAACAGCTAACCGATGATCACTAATTGGCAAGGTGGACTGTCTTCAGTTCCTACTAAGTCTAAACATGTATCGTAATTGTGGTGTGACCACAATTCAAGAATCCTGATTAAAGGATTTAAATAACGATTGTTTAATATCACAACAAGATTCCAATATTAATCGTCAGGATTGATCAAGTAATAAAAAAAGGAAACTTGTTGAAATACTTTTTGCTGAGAATTCTATATTGTACCAATAATATAATATTGAATAAAGCGATTAATAATAATAGTCATAATTAGTTCCAAAAGATTTTCGAGTTATTGATTGTTTGAACTATATCTCTCAATGAGTCAATAAAACTGATAAACTAATTGCCATAAAATTTATTTTAAAAATTATTAAAGGGATATAATATGAACAAGAGTCAAAGTGACTAGTGTTGCGTATCAATAACAGTCTGAATTACTGTACACACTCACACACACCATAGTGAAATTCATTTTATTTTAACTTGTAACCAACAGTTTATAAATGCAAACAGATTTTGACAATGATAAAACATAGAAACCATGGAAATTAACATTGTTTTTCATGATTTTGTTATGGCTATTTATATTAAATGACTTGAATGAATTGAGTTAATATTAATCAACTGTCACGATTTTTTTCTGTTTTCAACTATAAGACGACTTTGGTACGTTATACCACTGATGAGAATGAGTCAAGAGTACTGTATGAATTTTTAGCAGACGCTTCTATGGTTTTTCCTCGAGTATTTCCTGTCATGTAAGTAGAACCATCTTACTAAAATAGTGTAATGCTCTTTAAAATCTAATAACAAACCCAGCTGTTTGCAAATTTTCTTTAAATAAAACTGAATGTTTTTACCATATTCATATGCAATGCTGCATGCAATCGGAAACCATATACGTGTCAGTTAACAAATCAACAATACCCAAAAATAATCGGTTGAGAATACTTTTAACTGAATTTCTAGCCACATTTTCTAGAGATAATGCATAATGTTTGCACTATAGATACAAATGCAATTTATACAATGTGTTGATAATTTTGACTATGTTCTTTTCTACAAGGAAATTCACTGAATGTAATCCAAAACAGTTTAAGAGAATCGACAGGTAAACATTGACAGCTAAATCATGCGAGCTAGAGAAAAACCTTCTATCAGTTATCACTCGATCATTCAAATGAATAAGACTCATATTTACCCAAATCATTTATGAAGAACCACATAATCCAGTCAGAGGTCAGTTTACAAACAGCCGTAAAACTAAAGCTTAAATATAATGTTAGTCTCTCATTAGGACTAAAAAGACCACAATATCATTCTCCCATAGTTTACCTATGCTAGTTGGTCTGTCGGTTATTATTTGTAATCATTTGGCTCAATTGGTTACGCATAATTCTCAAAATTTAATAAAGTGGTAGTTTTTGAAGAAATGCATTTTACATTGAAACAGTCAAAATTGTTTTTATTCCTTTCAGTAATACATTCTATTAATTACATCACGATACGAAATAGTATTACAACGTGGTCAATGCATTTGATTGCAAGCTATATTGTGATGATGACTCAAACGATTGCTATTTATATTCCTTAGGATTTCATCCAGATAGCTTAAAAATTCTAGTCAAATACAAGTGATCTTCATTTTGCAGAGCTCGGTCATAAACTGACTACCTCTCTTTGTTTCTGTCGCATCAAATGATATTTAATACAAGGTATTCGGAATATGATGCACGTACTTGTTCACGAGATAGAAGAAAGCTATTTAAGGTCACGTTCTTTGTCGATTAATGTGTAAATACAAAACGAAATATACCCTATTATATATATATATATATATATATATATATATATATATATATATATATCCCAAATGCTTATTATTGTATCTGTGAATACATGTATTTCAGTAGATCAACATTTTGATTTATACTCCAAATTTTTTAAGGTATACATGAAGATGTATAACAATGAAAGATTGGTAGATTTTTTTCATATTTTGAAACAGTTATATTGGCCCTACTTCTACCGAAAGTGATCTAAGAACTCTAGATTAATATACTTGATGGGCAATAATAATTTCGACAAGATCCTTAGTGTTCCTTGTATTCAGCAATCATATGGTTATTAAAACAACCATACTTTAGTTTTGAAGCATAGTCAAATTTCAATGACAGATATATGAGCTGGTCATTTTACAGAGTAATATACTAGTTTGTCTGTAATCAATTGAATCATATAGATTGTTACTCGGTGATGCAATCTAAATCCACGTGCCTATAAAGTCATTTTTTCTATTTCCATAGCCTATGTATCATATGGATTAAGTTTACTAAAATAGATTTATGCACAGTATAGAGAAAAGTAAATAAGCGTTCGTGCACAACGCTTCCTAGCACAACATATAGTCATACCCGCGTGAAAATCCTATACTTGAGATATTTTATGATATCAACCTCACTAATTCTGATACAATTTATAAAATAATGAAAACAAAATTCTATAGATGATAAATTTCTTCCAATTACATACTAATTACCCATTTGAAAGTAAATCATTATTCCTATTTCTACAAAACTAAAACACTTTATATTCATCTCTTTTTTTTCGGTTTACTTAAATAAAATATTTAATGTAGACATAGTTTGTTGGATTCAAAGATTAATTATGTTCTAACACATTGTCATGATCAAAAAATTTTAAGTGCTGTTCAAAGTATCATACAGAATATGATTGGTAATGGTGAAACATCTGTACAACAATTACACTATTTACAAAGTAAGCTATCTTCATTATGTGTTTTTATTTTATTCTATATAAATATGTTTGTTATGAAAGCTGTTGGGATATTCAGAAGAATATCCCAAAAATTATTCTGTTAAGTTTAACGCTATCCTTGGACTTAAGATGGTATCATTTTCTTATTGGTCAATATTTATTTCACGTGTCATTTTCCTACCGGTCAATATTGTACAATGTTATTTTCTATTTTATGGTACAATGTGGTCTGCTTGATTGTTATATAAACAGAGTATGTTTGAAATATAATGATTCATATCGCTGGGACTGAGACTGGCGTTCTGGACTCAACTGGCTTGGCTAGACAGGGAAGCGGGACCAATCAGAACTCTAGGTAGTTCTTACGTGTTTACGCGTTTTCGAGTCGATCGATAAATCGCTAACCTCCAATCTGCAGCATTTCACGTTACAACAAAAACATATTTTCAGAATGGGTTTTGTGGAGATTTTTAGAAATTTCACAGATTGAAATCATGAGTGGTTACTAATGCCGTATTCTCCATCCTTAGTACTAGCTGAATTCTACCGGTCATGTTGTAATATGGTTACTAGTTCAAGTAAGTTGACATTATGGTGCATTGTATTTAAGTATTAGGTAATGGAAGGCAATTAACTAAAAACCTTGGAATTAGGTTTCTAAGGGTTGTACATATCACTAAGGTGTATCTGAAATCTCTAAAATGACGGAATCAAAATCACTCATTGTCACTGCCAGAGGCGTGATCACTAAGTTATTCAGTTTGCCAACACGTGCTATTTAGTATGAAGTTCAAATCCAGAACAAATTTATATACATCATTAATACTTTACGAACCACTTGTTATCGACAATTGAATAAATATATGTAGATAATGATATGTCTTTGTAAAGATTTTATATGGAATGAAAATAGTCTTCGCTGCAAACTAATATCATTTGAAGAACTATTGAAAAAAGAACTAGCCAACCTAAGCAAGAGATTGAGGGTATAATCTTTGGGTCTTCTACTGAATAAGATCCAGTTCAACCACTAATATCAACGATACTCATTATCTGTTTCAGTCAACTTTAAATACACTACATTCTTCATTCATTGTAATCAATAAAGTAATGTCTTCCTCTCCACTGAATTGAACACGCAGATCATGACATCCTGTTAGAGTTCCTGAAAATTCATATGAAATCTGGTCAGTAGTTAACACATGATTATTAATCACTGAACTGGTTGCGTGAAGATTTTATGGAAATGGGATATAGTTTCCATCACGGAATTGGACAAAACAGTTTTCTACTAATTCTTGATTCCTAAGTATTATGTATATATGTATTCATACTGGATATAATGACTCAGAGTAAATTAACGAAGTATTTCATGGTGTATTTTCTTTTGAATTAGTGTTACGATTTCAAACAGGCCATTCAAAGTTATTACTTTCTAAACTCATATTCCATTCTATTTATCCCACTTGAGGATTTTCTAGACTTTTTCACACAGCAATTTAATTATGTTACATTTAAATATATATATCAGGCCTGACTTATGCATTCCAAAACGATTTTATTCGATGCTTCATTTAATTTCGGTCAAAAAATAATCAATTCATCCCTATTAATTTTGTAAATTAGTATGTTCATTTTTTCCCTTATTGACCTTTTCTTAACATTTTCGACAGAACAATTTTCATTCATCTATCATCCATTTTTCTCTAACTGTTTCGTATCATCCTTTAGACAGTTGTGTAACTTGTTTAAATACTTGAAAACACAGTTTATCTTACTTTTATCTCTTAGATTACAGACTTAAGTGTGCTAGATAACTATAAATACCATTGTATAGTGAGAATTTTCTTTACTTATTAGCCGTATTGCTGTTTCAAATTGCTTTATTTTTTACCTCAAGTTTTATATTTTCACTTTGCATTCCAAGGTATCGGTTTTGGAGGTCTATGGAGATTTTCCGGGCACTTTTCTAAGGTGTGTTTATTAATTATTTCATCTGATATTTATTCATAGATAATTAAGTTATCTTTCATTTTTAAACTTGTTTCCCACTTCAAAAATAAAAAGATTTGTTCATGGTACTTTAAATCTTTTTTTATTTCGGAGCGCATAGTGAATAAACAGAAAAAGGCAATTATTGTTTTTCTATCATCACTATTGGTAAATTAATTGAGTTACAATTTAAATGGTTTATACTGTTAAAAAGACGTAGTAAAAGATTTATTATAACAGTAGTTTTCAATCTAACCCCATTCACATCAAAGCACTGAATTAAACTATAATAACTGCTAAATATATTCTATGTTGTAACTAGGATTGTTATTCACTCGATATTTCTTAGATTGACAGAGATTAATCATTTTAAAAGCACAAATGAAATGCCTTAACATTGATCATGATAACTCTATAGTTTGTTGCAAAAGATGGTCACATTCACATTGTTTGACTTCGAATAACTGATTATAATAGTGATATGATGGATGGTTCAAAATATTTCTCTCTCTCGCGCGCGCGAGTATACTACCATGATACGTTAATACTATAATAAGACTAGTCACATTATGTCAGATTCAGGATTCACGACCCAGAATAGACTAGAAAATACTTTATTGAATACATTAACAAGCAATCAGTCTCAGTTAATCCGGAGCAGAAATCAATGAGAGAAAAGGAAATCACATATTAAGCACTCATTGGGCTATCTCTCTCGATCCACACTCAGTGATAGACCCCATTTTACATCCACTTTCACATACCAATTAGTTTTGACAACAATAACCATTAGTATCATTATACAACTATTACTTGCTTCTGAGTTACTTCGAAGTGTGAAAATGTATACTAATTCTCTATTGTATAAGAATTTCACGTCAATTTAATCAGTCACTTGATAAATCTGATATTGATTGATTTTGGGATTACATATTAACGTCACTAATTCCATGACAAACTAAATTTCAAGCAGAATTGATCAAAGTTGTTTACTAGCTGTATTTCTTTTCTAATTTCATTTCAGGCGAATCAGAACGCTGATACTGCTCAGTTATTTGTGAACTTTCTTGAAGTTCTGATTGATTCACATTTACCAGGAGAAGATTTAAGGACTTCGTATACACCAGTTTTAGGCTTAGGAAATACAGGTCGAGCCAGTAATCTCTCAAGTGATTCCTCCTTAAGTTTATCTAGTGTGCACGGCCCTATAAATGAAGTATCAACTGTTTCTGTCACTTCTTCCATTACATCTGCTGTAACTACTGCAGCTACTAATGTAGACCCATCCGTAAACAGTGAAGACAGAGATGGACCTAGTTCAATATCACCCATTACTTTGGTCAACGTTCCATGTGTTCTATCAAATAATGATTCTGAAGAACTGAAAACAAATTTCTCTACTATTGGCTCAACACCAAAAGATCAACAAGATTTAGATTCTGAATATTTCTCTTCTAGAGGAAGATCTGGGTCAAATGTCAGTGGTTTTGAGCATATAATAAAGGTAAGCATATTTTCTAGCACGATTCACTCTTTATCTTCTGAACCTTGAATATAGTCTATAAATTAATACAAATATATTAGAGTTGGTATAATAGGACTTTTTGTCTCACCTTGATTTATGCAATTAAATCAATCAGTCTATCTTGAAAATATTAACTCTGGCACAATACGTCATCGATCAGTTTTCAACAGTACATGGTGGCTGTTAAAAAGTAGGTTTATGGTAAGAAATTCAGATGAAATTAACTAGGAAAATTCCAAAAGAGACATTTTCTGTATTTCACTACTAGTAACGAATAAATACTACCGTAAATTGTAACTGTTTACAAATATTTATTTCAATATTTTATAGAAATGAGTAAGTAAAATTAAAATCATACTCATCATTCACAAATGTATTTTGTGGCTATGTCGAATGATCTTTTCCCTTGACCCTTTTAAATTATGTGGATCGAACTATATCGTATTGAAAATGATGATTAATGATTGAAAAATATTTCAAGGTATTTGCTTCTATCAACTGCTTGAACATTGCTGTTTTTTCGTTTAGAAGGAAGAATCTAAGAAATTTCAGCCTAATCGTTCGTCTATTTAATCAATTAGAAATAACTATAGAAGTTTTGGTATTTCCAGTGTTTTTCTGAAGACGATATTTATATTTAAAAGTTATCGTCTACGTGTATAAAATAAGCTTTTATCTAAATTGGCATGAATTACTGATGACAAGTGTTAAACGTCAACAAAAATACTCCATACTGCTCAATAGATGCAGCAAAATTAAAAGGTTTCCATAGTATATGTAAATATTAGATACTGATGTATTAATTAACAGTAATTCGATGACTGAATAGTCTCTGATTTTATATTGTTCAATCCTTAGTGTTGAATGAATTTAATCAGTGCAGTTTTCAATGTAGTCATTGGTCTACATGACTAGAAACCATAGTGCATTCTGTCCTAACATTAAATGTTTGGAGAGAGTTAGAATGAAGTTCTAATTTAAATTTTAATGTTTTTATTGGACATCACTTTTTCGAAAGTTGAAAATGATCGAGAGCAGATATTCACTAATATATTTTGGGCGATTATATCATCTACTGGAGCTGATAACTTTTTCACACTGAAACTTTTTCTCTTACATTTATTCACATAGCAATAATATTATTAGTTGTAAATAGTAATTTTTAACATTTATCATGCGCAAACGTGTACCTTGAATCATAACATGAAATATTTATCGCTCATACTTTTGAGCTGTTGTCATAAACTAAAGAGATATTAACTGTTTGATGAAATATCCAATCAAAAGATTTCGATTTTCGATTTTAAAGAAGCAATTAACACCTAACTGATCCGGGAATACTAGTGAGAATATATGAGTTATCATGTGAATGTTCATTTGGTATTGATAGTTATGAATTCTTGCATAATTACTTAAACATTTCCGAATAATCAAAACGTAAGCCTAGAAAACGATATAACCTCAATGCATAGGACGTTTCTTTAAAACTATCTATTTATTACGGTTAATTTGAAAAATTTAATTGGACCAAATATGATTTTCCTTTACAGCGTAAGGGATTTATATATATATTCAAATAGTTTATATATATATATATATATATATATATATGATTTGTTTGTTAAATATCCATAGGGTATTATAAGGTTTTATTATTTTTGTTCATCAATAAATTGATAAACTCTACTTGTATTTATATAATTCTCTTTTTAGTGAACATTCTGGATAGATAATAAACATATTCCCACAATTAATTGAAATGTAATACATACTTTGTACACACGGCATATTCATTTAATTGACTTTAATTACTCAATCACTTATAATTACTGATATTAAATACAAGACAAATGAACACAAATCATTTTTTCATGATGCTAAATGTTGATTAAAAACCAAAAGAAGATTTGTTTACAAAAGAAAAAAAAGTATTCATTCCTTTTTTCTTTCTCTTCTATACTCTCTCTCTCCCTCTTTATCTGTTTACTTTCACTACTTTTGAATAAGTAGTTAACCATTTTATCTACTGTATGTATAACTGAATAGATTTCAACATAGAACTAGATACTTTCCTGATCAAATTACATTTATTTGTTCTTCAGAGTTTATCTATTAAGATGGAAAGTTTTGTTCATTGATTATTTTTTTTTTAATTCATTATTTCCAAAGAAGAAATTCCTAACCATGTATTACATACTTGTCAACATAATTCTAAATAATATTTAATTTAACACATCCGAGTGAATTTCAAATTCATTTGTTTGAATCTATGACAATTTATTTAATATTACCGGAAATTACATTTTTAAACTTCATTATCATCAAATCTTTTGAGGATAAATTCATTAACAATAAAGCCAATTTATGCATTTAACTAATTTACGTGTATATTGTATTAAAATATAAAAATCTAAGTGTTTACATTTCTATACATTTTTTTTCATGAAAAAGAATTAACCTAAACTTCTATCTTATTTTTCTTAATAACAAACAATCATTGAAGAAATATTTCAATCACTCTATTCCTGACAACAACAAAATGTTTTTGTGTAATAGAACATTACCATTGTGCTTTCGTTCGTTGTCATCATTTTTATTTTTATTTTCTGAACATTTACACTCATCAATCAAATTATAGTGTATTTTGTTTTCTGTGCTTTTTTTGTGTGGTCTAACTTGTTGTTGTTTCTTCTCTTAGCTTCAACTTTATTTGCTTCTTTTCATTGGTCAAATAAAAAATAATCAACAAATTATCTGGTTTTATTTTCTATCACTATGTGACGACAGTTATAATGACTATTATTATGATTATTCAACTATATACGCATCGACCCAAACATGAGTAAGAGTAAAGTTTCAATGACCTATTTTTAATCTTTCTTGTCCAGATTTGCTTATTATTTAATTTCATATAACTGAAAAATTCTGCATTTCTATATTGATGTCCTTGTGAGTGTTTGTGTATATTTATAATTGTCTATTTGAATTTCAGAAAGTAATCATCAAAAAAAAGACAAAGTAAAGATGATTTCATTCAATATTTTTCAATGTTTTCATTTTATAAATTATTATAACTTGTTCTATATCATTCTGCTTTTCATTGTCTTTAACATTTGATGTTATTTTCCAGTGCATGTGTACTGTTTCACTTCTATTATATTATGGGATATCTGTGTGAACCCATGATGAGAATTATAGTGATAATCAAACAACTTTCCATAAATAAAACATTCAATTGATGGCTGCTCTTCAGTTTATTAAGTGTTATAGTTTAGTGAAAAGTTATCTTTATAGATTTGTTTTTTATTAGAGATAATTGAACAACTTAGTTGAATTGATGGTTTGGTACATTGTAAAAATCCACATAGAACTTCAGGCTCCTAATAAAGTATTCCTATCCAATAAGATTTAGTTGACTGTGTACTTGAAGCCTATATAAACAGATTCACTTGAGAGGATAAATTTGAATTAAATGTAAACAGATTGATGATTACCTCAATACGTTTGTGCCAGTACCTAATTGAAATCGTAAAACTATAATTTAGGATGACCTTCAGGTTACGGCAGAGTGGTGAGACTTTAATTTATGGACGTACCAATCAGATCTAGGATAACAGGTCTTGAGTTTCGGAGCGAAATTCATTCATCTACATAGTTAAATATGATTTTGGCATTATAGCTGATTTCGTTTCGTGATAGAAACCCTAAGTCTAATTCCTTACCCTAACCATCAACATTAAATCATAATCCTAATTCCTCATACTGGTTTATAACCCTCGATAAGAAATGAGTGTTAATTTTATCAGATTTTTTAGTAACCCATGACATTAGGCTCTTTGCTACTTCAATTTATATCAGTTACTTTATCGGTAAATAACAAACCAAATCTTTTTAACTAACAATCTGAATAATAAATCTTTTCAATAAAATATTTTCCAAACTTTATAAAAACAATCGCATTAAGCAGCAAAAATAAGATAAATTCCAATATCACTAATATTTTTTAAGATGTTCATAAACTGTTTCGTAGACAGCGAATGTACATGCATTAACTACAAATGCTCTAGTGATAACAACGTTAAATCCACGGAAAAATATTTTGTAGCTTTTTTCTTTTAATAGTGTATTTAGAACATTTGTAATTGTGATTCCATTACCAACTTGTTGTCTTGTTTTTATTACGTCCTAAAATTGTAAATCAATAATAATGGATTAATAATTAAGATCTATGGAGTACTTTCGGTGAGGATTTGTCGAATAAAAAGTAGGGACTTGTACGATAATAAGATTTTTTCTAAATAATTGATATCTACGTAGTTCAAAGATATCTATAACAACTTAAACAAGCTTATCCATAATAATTTAACGGATTAATTGATTTAGAAGCGGGTTTTAATCAACGATTGAAATTGCTTAGGGAATCATTAAAAACCATAGAGCACTGTAAAGTTATTTATTCCTTGTAACTTAGAACTACTTATTCTTGACTCCATACAGGATCAGATGTGAAGCTTTTACAGCACTGGATTACCAAGATCAGTCAGCAGAACCTCGTTTAGAAGAGTGTTGTAGTTGATATCATCCCGTGATGAAAGCTAACTTTGGATTGTACAATCTTCATAAATGGCTTCTAATAGATATTGTTTCACTTTACAACAAAACATTGAATTCGAATATATAATAAGTCAAATACTATATCATTTGTTGATCAAGATGCCTAAAACATGCTTTGTTTAAACAATACTAACACCTACCTTGAAGTACACTGCTAACCAGTATAAGACTATGTTGGAAGAAAACTAGGGGGATCCAAAACAAGGACTTAGGATCAGTTCATCTAAACACTGACCGTTGAAGTAAGCTCTGGAGGTAGGTGCAGACTATCTAGATAAGAGCTAAAGTTAGAGGCATCTAGAAATCACTCTTGGGGGCCTAGATATATTTAATTTCTGTCTATCTAAAATAAATTATTTTATACATTATATTCATCCTTTCAGACCATGTCTTCTATGTGTAGTCAGTATCATGAATCATTAAAAATTCATTAATTATAAACATTCAAGTTGATCAAACTATCATAAAATGATTCCTATTTTAAAAGTGATATCTGGAAAATGTCAACTATTTGGCACTGATCCAATGGTCACGACAAAAAAGAAATAAATAAATAAACATCTAAAGTTCAGTTTTGTATAGGTTTTTTTAATGTCTACTTTATGAGGAATTTTTACTGCTCTTTGATTTTCAGCAGTCTACCAGACGTTTTGAGTTTCTGTTTAAAAACACTTCTTAATATTTTATTATATTTTATCAACAACTACATGGCCTAGAATAAACCATACTAAAACAATTAGAATTTGATATTTATAGTTTCTTCCTTCTTTTTCTTCTCCTCCTAATCACTACAAAAAGTCGAAATATTGTTTTCTATTTGTTTTTATTTTTTTAAAAGCCAATTATTTTTGTTTTTGATTGAGATCATGAACCGATTGATGTTAGACCACCATTGAAAACCTGATGGTCTAACATCAATCGGTTCATGATCTCAATCAAAAACTTAACAATCTTCACAACCCCTATACTGATATTTTTGTTTTGTTTTATTTAAAAAAGACTATCTGTACTATAAAAGTCCATTTAATATTGAATTATTTTCTTTCTATTTTTCCCCATAAATTTTATTTTAAACATTTCACCTATCAAATCAATTCAATTATCAATGAATAATTTTCAAATTATATTCAATAATAGGACGAAACGCGCGTCCTGGATTCCACTACTAGCCACTATCCATCATTGTTTACAAAACGCTTGTGAATTAAGGCAATATGCACAGTATGCACATATGCCAATAACACACTGATCAATTGCAATCTTAAACCTCAATGGGAAGATACAAGCCAAATAATACCAAGTGAATTTATATTCAATAATGTGTTGTTTTTTTAAATTTTTTATATCACTTTAATGTAAACTATTTTAAATTTTCTAATCGGGTAAAACAACAATGATGTACGTTTTTTATGTAGCCGGAAGTAGTAAAAAAAATATTTTCCATGTTCCAATTATTTTATTAGACCTAGTTTCATTGATACGTTTATTCTTTATTCAGTCTAAAAATATTTATCGACCACAGATTTATTTTATATAAATTTCATTTCGTTTTTTTCAACAACAAAAAAACATACGTATTCATCCTTAGTGAAATCGGATTGTGGCTAGTAGTGAGATAGGAAACGTACGTTTCATTCTATTTAAGATCCGTACATAGATAACCCCATAACTATTGAACAAACTAGTAGCTATATGGATTAAGGGGCTTAATATATAACTAAAGGGGGCTTGAAATGATAGTTACAGTGTGAATATCAAGACGGGAGTACAAGTACAAACTAGTAACGAGTCATGTAGTAAGCCCATTTAACTATTGTATTGCTCACTAGTGACTGGCTTCAAGGGGTATTTCCTGTAGTTCTAGTGAGAAACAGTGACCAGTGGAGTTCAATCGAATCTGTTGTGAGGTAGTAACTCAATTTCGCTCAATTTCGTGGATTAGTTGAAGTTAGACATTAATTCCTTTGAATACAGGCTCAATGTTCTAAAGGTTAAGCGTTCGGGTGAGAGATTGATAGGTCCTGGGTTCGAATCCTGCGAGGCATGGTCATGGATGTGCACTGCTGAGGAGTCCAACAATAGGACAAAATGGCCGTCTAGTGCTTCCAAGTTTTCTATGGTGGTCTAGCTTCAACTGACTCGTGATCTCAACTATTAAAATTTCTATAATATCCACAAAAAACCCTCCTGGTAATGTATTATTTGTCTGCTCATTGTAATTTAGGCATTTAATCCACTATGTAAATTTATGTGTGGGTCTGATTGATCGCATGTCTGCACATCAATCTTTAATCTATTCTCTCATTGGTTGTAACACACATACAATCGATAATTTATCCACAATCAATTAACACCTATAAGTATCTACAGGGATTTTTATCATTCACTCGTTTCTCTTTGTGCTTGTTTTCTGCACGCTTGCGGATTTCACTGATCTTTAACAATGAACTATCTCTACAATTGGTGTTCAAGCTTTTGCATAATTTCGAGTAAATCCATAATACTATAGTGAACAGAGCATGGGTTGGGACAATCGACTATTATTGAAATCTAACAATCAAATAGTAAATACGTAATTTGCAAAGTGTCCATCAATTGTCTCATAATGACTCAGACTACATTGTTCTTGCATTTTCCCACAAGTTGCATTCTGTTTCCATTCTTTACTGTTCGATCCTCTTGTCTCTCTGCTGCCAGACATTCTGTTTACGACTAACATCATCTACTACTTATGTCAATATAAGTAGCACACACCACAATACTACTAGGAGATTTAGCATGCGTTAAATACTCAGTTAACGGGATACTATTTATTGGAGTCAGATATAGAGGAATTTAATATCTACAGTCTTAAATAGAACGAAACTCATATCCTGAATACCACTGTTGAGGATAATACAATTTTACCAAAACTTAGGAGAAAATAGCGATATCTAAACGATCCACTCAAGATAAACGTATACCAATAGGGAATGATTAATTACTATCCCTAATATCAGCAATAGGAAATTAAAACTCCTTATAGATACGTAACCACTTTTATTAACTTACAAATGGCATTGAAACACACCAAGATAATGCTCCACTTATTGCACCACCAATAAAAGCAGACCAAAATGTTGACAAACCAATATGTTTTCCTATTTTTATTGATTCAGAATAAGCATAAAAATAAGCAGTCAGTCCTGGAATATCACGAAATGCTTGAATAATTGTTCCTGAGTAAAACCCAGTAAATCCTTGCATACGTAAAATGGTATGAATACATTTTCTAGCAGTCAGTTGTTTTTCACCTGTTAAGCAAATAAACAAACACAATATGTACAAATTTATTATTAACTAATTACTGATCAGTTACTTAGTTCATTCTCATTCATAGTGTATTTATGCACACAATTTTATGTTTATTTTGTTGTGCTATCAAGAATTTATTCCGTATCATTGTATTAGTTGGGACTGTAGAAATGCTTGCTGACTTGTCCTCTACTTTGACACTGGGTTGGAAGTGGATCAAGGAACAATAGGTACTAAGATCTCGGTCATTGTTCATCGGTCACTGGGTCATTGGTAAATCAGGTCATCTGTTCTAAAGGTATCTAGCGAATTATTCAGTAATCGAACCAGACAATATCACTGCTCCCATAATAACAGCCACATCAAACGAATCCCAATACACTACAAGTATTTGTTCTTTTTCAAATATAAAAAGGTTAAGAGCTGACCAGAAGACGTTGTGGTCTTACTTTAATCCCTGGTGGGGTTATGGATGTTCATTACAGAGGACTATCGTACCAGGATAAGACATCAACCCAGAGCCTCTTCATTTTCAGTGGTTATCTGACTAAGATCAGTCAGTGATATAAAACTTCAAACTATTCACAACCTACTATGCTACGAAATAACAGTCAGTCAGTCAGCTACAACGTAGAACCAGGCACACATACGAAATAACTATGTTTGATAATTAAGAATGACGTGAAAATTTTAAATATATATTTTTGAATATAAAGCATTAGTATAAATACATCAATCTACCTGGATGACTTGCTATGGATTGTTGTCGTATTTTAATAACTTCAACTGGAACAGCTGGTATCAATTGTACAGCTCCTGATATAGCACCGGCCATAGCATTTGCAAATGGGGACTGACCAGTTGCATCAAATATACTTAGTGACTCTTTGTATGCAGTAAATACTACGGCATTGATAAATCCATATGAATAAAACGGAATTGCAAGCCCAGTAAAAAATCGTCTCTAATGTTAAAAAAAATAGAAAAAGACAGTATATACAATTTAAAATAATTAATCCCTTTAAATGTTGTATTGACTAGACTAAATTTCGATACATGAAGATATTTATTTAGCTGATTAAAGTTCGTGTATTATTCTCTATCATATTAGAACATTGTAAACAATAAGAAAACTACTTCACAACTTGTTAGATTGTCCACTACTTAAAAGAAATTAGGCATTTTATACATTCAGCATCACTTTAGTTAAATGAAAGTAATACATACAACTCCATGGTGTTCTAACTTCAATGGACTCACGAACTCAACTACTAAAATACAATTGTTTACTTGTTATTACATTAACAGACAACTAATTAATACTGACCTTAAAGCAAACTCATCAAAATTAGATAACTTTGAACTGATCAACTGATATAAACAGCCATCAATAGTTAATTATTATCATTAAATTATACCATCGTATTTAGTTGTCAAACATATGATCAATAATCAAGAGATCGTTTATTCACCATCAAATACACAATCTTTCGACTCAGTCATGAAACACTAAATTCTTACGTAGTAATGATTTTTTTAAAAAGACTGCTCGTTAAACTCGTTTTCAAACTTACTAGTCCGGTTTCAAGAATCGAATCAGTTGCTTCTTTAAATGTTAAATTTCTCGACGAACTTTGCATAACAACTTTGACAGTATCCATTGGATGACCAACCGTTAAGCCAGCTAATCCTTTTTGAGAAATAAAAAAGAAACATTATACAGTTCTATTACACTTTTTTATGATTAAATGTAAATTCCTTGTGAAATTACACATAGTTTTACTCCATCCTCATTCTAATACCAATGAGAGATAATGAAAAACATATTATTATATAGTGAAAATTCCCATTTTGCCATTTGGTAAATAAAGAAGGAACGAATTGAGCGAAGAAATTTCTTTTTAATTAGTTGTTCATCATGGCTCTACACTAATATATATATATATATGATTTACAATAATGATATAATACTCATCGAGTGGATACGTTACGTAATAATTACATAATGTGCAGAGAGTCCTCTTTTAAGAAATTTAAAACAATTAGTCCCTTTGATAAATTTCGATAATGATATTAGAGGAAGAAGATTATCAGAACTATGTGATCAATAAAACCTATTGCGCAGCAAAGGTCATCATCAAAGAAAGAACAAGGTGCATGCTTCATTCAAAACCTAAAGTACATGGAGACGATTGCGTCACATCTCACTGTATTACCAATTTAAATGTGTGTGTGGTCACACATACATAGGGAGGAGTAATCGTGATCTCAACATTAGGGTGAGTGAACATGTATCCAAATGGCTTCAGAAACAAATACAATCAAGTGGACTTAATGTCAACCGTAATTTTGGGTTGAAAAAAGATTTCTAAAAAGGGTGGGGGGGTTTAAAAAAAATTGCCGTGGGGATAATGAATTACATCATCTTCTATTTCTAAACATATAATTGAAACAGGTCACAAGATTTATCTAAATTCAGCTTTTGTAGTGTTGTATAAAAGTGTAAAAGGGCGTATACTAAGGTTTATTGAAGCCTTAGCCATACGAAAATTCAAACCCCCTTTGTGTGTTCAAAAACAGTTTGTTCTAACCTTAAACCTACCCTGGTAATATTGACTTATTATCCAGAGTGATAAGGTTTCGCTTTGTGTTCACATTATTATTATTATTACTCTTATTATTATCCTTATCTCCTCTTACCCCGTTTCCTGTCTAGTTGACCTTTTATTTTTTATATATAAATGCTCTTAACAAGTATATGTGTGACCAGATTGTTCGAAATGTACTGTGCTAATATATCACATAGTTCTGATAATCTTCGTCTTCTAACATACTTATCGAAATTACATTGAGTATTTGGAAGAAAGGGGATTATTAATATTCAAAGTAATTATTAAATCAAGAAGTTGCTACGTTGCGTAATATATGAAAAAGAGAAGGAACAGAATTTTATAATGGATGGTCAATAGAATAGTAGTTACCTAAGAATCGAGAGATGAATATCGAGAAGTTATAAAGTTCAAAAATCACAAAAACAAAATTACAAAAATTTTTAAAGAAAAAAACCAAGTGGAAGAAGTATGAAAAATAGTTATGTTGAAGGAAATCTTATATCAATGGCCAAGACAGCGAAAGTGGTTGTATCAATCTCTTTTGAATGCAAAAGTTAGGTTTGTGAACATGGATTGGGATGGCTTCCACAATATGCAAAAGGCGCACCTGTAAACCATGTGGCAAATTTGATGGGATATTGTAGATAACCTTAAAAGCTTTATTCAATTCAACTTGATGACTTGTGTCAACCAAGTGAGGGAGAATAGAACTTTTAACCACGACGGATGATGTTCTGTAATACTATGACATCGTTTGTCATATTATATATATATATATATTTTACAGTTTCCTATCTTAATCTCTTCATCTGTTTTATCTGTAAAAAGTCAACTTTATAGATTATACTTAAAATTTCTTCTAGATTGTTTACACTTTTTGCCAAACTAATCCAACGTTATCTATAACTTTGATCCAGGTATTTCTGTAAATACAATATAAAGTATCGCCTTCTTGGATAATTCTTATTATCCATTCTACGTTGTAAAGAATTTATGAAATAGATAAATTTACATTATTCAGCTATGATTGTTGTTTATACCCTATAGATATAATTTAATTTTTAATATACCCATGAGATCATAGAATAAATCGTTTTATTATTTGAAATAAATTAAGTTTGTGTTTTTACTTAAAGCATTTACTAATTAACCATTGTGAAAAACATACTGTACATTTAATTTGAACTAAAGAATTATTTTTCATAAAGGCAAATTACATACAGAAAAGATTGACAATATTCAATTAAATAAATAAATAATTAATTAATTAATGAGAATCAGTGTTACATTGTTCTATATCATAAACTATTAGTAATGTTCCTATGCACGAGATTGTGGGATTACTACTGTTATGATTTTATGTCCTGCTTTTTATCACGTGATTTGTCCACCAATCAAAATACGACTTATACAATCTTAGCACTATGCCAAACCAATGACGTTCGAGCGGTATAAGCAGCCTAGCATCCTTATTGGTCCTATGTCCTCTTAGCCCGTCCGCTTGAGTTCAGAACACAATACCAGCTTCTGTAATATGAATCGAATCGAATCGAATCCTTTATTTCAGACATACTTGGTTTATCTATCAATCAGACAGACCACAACGTACCATAAAATAGAAAATAACATGTGTACACAATAAACCCAAAAAGTGGCTGTGAATGTGGGAGGCAGTAGTTAATAAACTGAACATAGCTTAACAACCGTAATTCGTACAATAATAAATTATGAGTCAAAATAAAGCTTATAATAAAGGGAATATAAATATACATAATCTAACTATTGAATAGTTATACAATAAGAATATTTATAGAATATTAGTCCATTAATAGTCCTCGGAAGTTACCCGTAATTTAATCTTCGCTCGAGTATAACAACTACATTATCTGAATTTTTTCGCTAATAAAAAAGACCTGCTTAATTGTAATCAGTAAATAGTTGCTCATAAGTAGTGTTAAATAATTTGTCTTTATATATAATATAATTTTTCTTCTTAAAGACCATAATTTGTCAGAAGGGAGATTTTAGAATTTCACAGATTGAAATCATGAGTCAATTGAAGCTAGACCACCATGGAAAACCTGGAAGCACTGGACGGCCGTTTCGTCCTAGTATGGGATCCCGCGTGGTGCGGGGTCGTGGATGCGCACTGCTGAGGAGTCCCATACTAGGACGAAACGGCCTTCCAGTGCTTCCAGGTTTTCCATGGTGGTCTAGCTTTAATTGACTCATGATTTCAATCTGTGAAACCATAATTTGTATTTTTAATTCTTTGAAGAATAAGTATACAACATATAGCTGATAAAGCGAATTAATTTTTTGGAGGTTACAGACAATATGTAATGGCAGAAGGGGTTTTTGTAGATATTATAGTAATTTTAGTAGTTGAGATCATGAGTCAATTGAAGGTAGACCACCATGGAAAGCCTGGAATCACTGGACGGACATTTCGTTCTATTGTTGGACTCTTCAGCAGTGCACATTCACGACCACGCCTCTCGAGATTCGAACCCGGGACCTGTCAATCTCTCACCCGAACGCTTAACCTCTAGACCACTGAGCCAGTATCCAACGGTGTTAATGTCTAACTTCAACTAATCAACGAAATATGTAATGCATGTAATTAATCAGTCACTACATTTATCCTAATCACAGATGATACTACTAATGAGTTTAAGAATTTTATTTGTTTATTTTTCATATTTTAACTGATGGTCATTGGTTAGATCAATGAACTAATTTTTATGATTATACTGTGGATTGTTGAATGCTGAATGAATAGCAAAATAATACAGAGAATTCATCAGCCATATTACCATTTCTTAATAGAAAATACGTTTATTTACTAGAAAGAAAACTAAAATTAACAAATTACTTTTGAATTTGTAATCAAATTGTGTTCATGATCAGTAGTAATTACAATAACTAATGTGTTATATCCTAGTGAAGATTAAATTACGGGTAACTTCTGAGAACTATTAATGGACTAATATTATATGTATATTCCTAGATTATATACATCTCTATTCCTCCTATTATATGCTTCATTTTGACCTATAGATTATTATTATTATTATACGGTTTACTGTTTTTTTTAAATGTTCGGTTTATTGATTATAGTCTCCCACGTTCACAGCACTTTTTGACTTGATCTTGTATAAATGTTATTTCCTATTTTATGGTGTGATGTGATCTGTTTGGCTTATATATTATTCAAGTATGTTTGAAATAAATGATTCGCATAGTAGAAGCTGTTATTAGCGTTCTGCACTCAACTGGATAGGTTAGGCGAACAAAGGACTCTAGGCTGCTCATACCGGGTCGAACGTCGATGGTTTAGCACAATACTAAAACTGAATGAGTCATATTTCGATAAGTCACGTGACAACTAGCCAGGCTTAAGGTCACGACATAATCACTGATAAATAATATGATCATGTGTTTAAAAAAATGTGAATCATTAGACAAATTATTATTATTATTATTATTATTAGCACAGATCCATGAGATTATCGAATACATTTTTATCTTTTTTTCAAAAAACAAAACAATTTAATGAAGAGTTTCACTGGGTAATTGAAAATTTAATAATAAACTTTCTTCATTTCTATTGATTTTTGATGGTTATCGATTTTTAAATAGAATCAATTTCTAAGTTACATGAAAATTATCAATCGTACATTGAATTATTGATTGATTGTTTCGTGTAACTAATCAAAACTTTTAAATAAATTTGTATAAAAAGTATGTATAAACGGAATATTTATATATGAGAAGATGGTATTATATATATGAATAATAAATCATTTTGAAATGAACATTACATTTTAATATCATCTATAGTGATTCTCATAGAAAATTTGTGGTTCTATGATATTGAAATAGTCAATGAATTTTAATTTCATACACATAGTTCCCTTTATCATTTTGAAAAGAGCAAGAACAAACATTTCAGCAGATTAGCATGAATTCATTTCTTTATTTCGTTGGTTCTCGTCAACTGCTTACACAACCTGTGATATTTAAAATCATAATTACATGATGTGTTGAAATTACTTACATAAAAGAGATTGATTGGAAGTTATATTGAAGACATATTCGTATAGTATAGCAAGGTTTGTAAATAAATGTAGTCGACTGAATATTTTAAATATATACCTTATGTGATGAAAGAACATTGTGTGAACAGTTCAAACGGTTAGAAATAAGTAAACATTGATAGGAATAAAATGAGTAGAATTCAGTTTATAAAATAAGATTAATAATTTCGAAGATAATTAGAATAAAACGCAATGATGTGATAAGTGCAAGAAAGTGTTTAAAGAAAAAGAAAAAATATTAAGATACAGCGAAGGAATATTAATCACCAAGGCCCTGCACTTTTATCACATTATTGAGTTTTATTCCAACTACGAAATTATTAGTCTTATTTTATCAACTGAAATCTACTCATTTTATTCTTATCAGTGTTTACACCTTATGTGATCACTTGTTTCTGGTCGTTTGAACCTTTGCCACAATCAATGTTGTAGAACGTTCTTTCGCATAAGGTATATATTTACAATATTCAGTCTATTACATTTATTTACAAACCTTGCTATACTATATGAATATGTCTTTAATATAACTTCCAATCAAACTCTTTTATGTAAGTAATTTAAACCCATTAATTATGATTTTAAATATCACAGGTTGTGTAAGCAGTTGACGAGAACCAACGAAATAAAGAAATGAATTCATGCTATTCTGCTGAAATGTTTGTTCTTGCTCTTTTCAGAATTTCAATTTATCTGATTAAAGTTAACCATATCTAATGATGTAATGGATAATCACTGAGAAATAATTCATTTGATCTTTTTTTAATCCTAATTCATATTTGATTGAAATAACTCATTGTATAACTATTACTTATTACATTTTATCAAATGTCTTAACGAGCAATTTTTATATTTGTTATATTTTCATTAAGAAAATCAGTAAACATATTCAAATACATAGACAATAAGTAAACTTATTACATAAGTTAATACAAAAATACTGTCCGACTAAACAAATCAAAACTGATTAAATATGGTTATGATTTACAATTTAATGGTGAAAAAATTGATTCATAACCCCATTGGATCGAAGATCTCTTATGATTAGCATAACAATTCATTTTATTCTAACACAGTTTTCATTTTAATGTTAACTGTGAAACTATATGACATGGATACCGCTTAAATAAATTTTTTTTTAAAGTTACAATCAAATACATTACGAAATCAAAAAATTTCTGTTAAATTACACCATTTCAGAATAAAATTATCAATAATATTCATCTATTAAATATACTTACCTCCAATAGCACCAGCTAAAAATTCATTGAATGTTTGTCTTGACATTGATGATAAACTAATTAACATATAAGAAGGGTGAAAAACGATTTGACCATATCATTCTCATATATAATAATAATAATAATTTATATATCCTGAAAATAATAATTACGGAATTCATGCCAGTTTACAGGCATGATCAATTTGATATAAATAGTAACATTAGATGTACAGAACAAACATCTGACAGAAGAAAGTTTTAAGTATACTAGTTCAGTAATTGTTTAGGTAGTACATGTATTACAGCGATCCAATGCATCAGCCGGGAACTTTTAATATTTCTTAAATGGACAGCCTGTTGATTTATGAACGGAGTAATTATGGTCATTTCGTGTGCCAGATAGAATAAATGATAATTATTTACAACTAGAGAAATTAAAACGAAAACAGAAAGCACGGAACAACAAAGCAGTAATTACCAAAATATGTCAATCAGGTCTACTAAAATGCGTGTGTCATGTGACACAGTGATATACTGTTGATGTTATTCAAATTAGTTAAACTTGCTAGAGACGGTGTTAACATAAAGTGACAGCAAGTAAGTGGTTTTACTTAGAGAATGCATTAATAAAAAATGGCTAAACATCTAAAGTTCCTATAATATCACTTGTGGAATGAGATACACTTACAGGTGCTAGAACATTCAATGCATTTTCGGAGGAGCAGTATGCATCGATGCAGCGAACAAATATATTACCTGTTAATAAACGACTTTGTAATTATAAGCAAATGAACATCAAACATTATTATTATTATTATCATAACGCGTTATCAAAACAAACTTACATGGTTTGTTATTGATATTGTTCAAGAATCAATTTGAAATAGGAATTAGTTAATTTGTTTAAATATGAATTTTTTTAAAATTGATATGATTTGAATAAAATAGATTTTAGTAAAACATTAGTCTATTCATGAGGAAGATAATCACAGTTGTCAAAACAAAAAAAACACAAAAATATTGGACAATGATTACATACTTAAAACAATTTTCTAGATATATGGATGTCGTTTGTTGTTTTATCAGTACTATCCATAGTATGAAAATCTTGGCTTATTAGGAATAGTTGATGTATATATATATATATATATATATATATATATATATATATATATATTCATTTTAATAGAGAATTAAATGATGAACAAATGAATGAATCCAGACATAAAAATTTAATCAAGAGCATTTGTTTTAATGTATTAACCAATTATATTTATAATAATGGCAAACATTTAAAGAGTTAATAATGATAATCCAGAAGTTGATTTTCCGATCAATGGTAGATTATCAATCAAACATGTAACATTTCAATTGTTGACACGATTACATTTTTGTATATTAAATATGTTATGCACGTTTTAGGAATTCCTAATAAACATTATTCTTTTTTTTTACAATTAGTACAATATATGAATGTTGAAGTAGGAGACATACCTGAGCCTCAACTGCTTTGATTTGTCAGACAGATGTTCACATTGTCTACTTTATTTAAAGACAAGAAAACATAAGATTTAAGATAAACTTGATAGCATTCCTCAAGGCCAAAGGAAAAGAGGAACACCAAAGAACACATTACGCCGGGAAATGGGGATTAACATGAGAAAAATGAACAAGAACTGGCTGAAACTAGAAAAAAAGGCCCAGGACAGAGTGGGTTGGAGAATGCTGGTCGGCGGCCTTATGCTCCATTGGGAGTAACAGGCGTAAGTAAGTGAGTGATAGCATTAACATAAAGAAGTCAGATATGGTTCAAATTCAAGCCATGAAAATGTATGTTTTAAAATATTAATATTTCTAAATAAATAAATATATATATATATATATTTGTAATATCCCAATGAGTAGAAAAATTAGATTTTTTGACGTTTCGTGACTTAATGTAAGCCACTTTTTCAGAGAATAAAAAAAGTGGCTTACACTGAGTCACTGAGTCAGAAAATCTAATTTTTCTACTCATTGGGATATTACAAATATATCAATTAATTACTTTATTTATAACAATTTACCCTATGCTAAGTTATCAAGTCAAACCTTGATAACGATACCTATAAAATCAATATTTCTGTTATGTTACGTATAATAAGTTCAGTGACTAGTTCCAAATAAATTATGCATCTTGGAGGTGGAATAGTAGATGAAAAGAATACATTCCATCTTTAACCTTGACATAAGAATCATGGTACTTTCAAGTTAGATAAATTGATTTACTTATCACTATTTATTGATCACTTCGCATAATTTAAAATAAACATTGCAATATTTTTTACAATCACTAGCTAAGAAAGAATTGTTTTAGCTTAGTGAAAATACATCTGTATCGCTATTATTTTATGTTGTCAGGGTGACTTACACATGATATTGTTGTTAATTTATTACAAATCACCAAGAGTCCCTTGAACATATGATTGTTGACAAATTTAGTGAAATACAATTTTAATTGAATTATGCCAAATTTTTCTATTATTTTTGTCATTATTATCGAATATTTTTATAGTTTACACCACGAACTGACCTTATATGTCTAATTAAGCTCAGTTTGTAATGTATACTATAAAAAAGTCCATCAGTCTTTATAAACGTATAACACTAGTAACTATCAAGTGAATTACGATACTCTGGTACTTAAAATATAAAAATCGTCATTGTGTAGATTAGAGTAACACATGTAATAGGACAATATATTGCTTTGAATTGTACTCTTGTGATATTTGTTATCTCACAATAGTTGAAATAATGTTTAGCTGAGCATAATGTAATTTCAAAACCTTTTAGCAAATCACTATACTATATTGGCTACTTGTGTTGAGTAGTAATATTGAATTCAATGTACACACTAGCGACTCTCAGATTAGTTCAAAACGTACTCTAGTATATATGAATGGACCATTACTCTAGTAAGAAATAAAACAGTGACAGATATGAAAGTATTGTAATGTAATTAAAACTAAGCATTTTTTAAAATGTATACAACACTTATCATTTAGTACAAACATTGGATAACTATGAAACTACTTCTCTTGTAAGTACTTTGATATAAAAATATCACAGAAGAGATAAATTAAATATATTACTCTGAAGAAAATTCTTTAGAACAATAATAAATATTTTTACATCTAAAATGTAACCGATTTTGAATCTTAGCTATTTTCTGAGTGCTTCGCAAATCAGTTTAATCACGGCTAACATATCTAGACGTTTTTCATTTAAAAAATTAAGCTCTATTATTTCATTTATCTAGAAATTACTTACGCCTGTTACTCCTCGTGAAGGAGCATAGGCCGCTCACCAACGTTCTCCATCCAACCCTATCCTGGACAATTCTTTCCAGCTCCTCTCAGTTGTTATTCATCCTTTTCATATCTGTTTCTATTTCCCGACGTAATCTGTTCTTTGGCCTTCCTCTTTTCTGCTTCCCTTCAAGATTCCAAGTTAGGGCCTGCTTATTTATCTAGAAATACATTAAACTAAATAAAGATCTATAAATGGCTATTTTTTGTAGTTTAAGATATCTCAAGAGCACACGTCTCCTACTTTCATATGAAATAAAACACAGGAAATATAGGCTTCGTTATTCTTATTTCCTAACTACCAGTATGATTCGGTTGACCTATAAATAAGAAATAGTTTATCACTACTTTAAACAATGGCTCATTTAACAAAAGCTTACAGATCGAATAACTGTAATTATTGTCTTCTCTTTGAATTTCAAGATTGAAGTATACAACAGAATTAATGAACAGATCCAAACTTATTTTTCTTCAGTAAATTATGTCTGCAAAATGATGAACAAAGAATCATGTTCAATCAGTGTATGATGTGAAATGAACTACAAATATGATATAGTATACTAATTTATAAATTACTCATTTCAATATTTCATTGTACAATGAAACAATATTGATTAAAAATAATTTTGAAAATTGAGTAACATATGTATTGAGAAGTGACATGCATACAATTTTCCTTGGTTTCTAATTACTTTGTAGCTGAAATCAAACAGTGAGAAGAACTACTTCAGTGAATTTAAACAGCCTTAATAATCAACTAAATAACTTAGCGAATAGTTTTCTTCAAATGATTGTTGTTTGAGAAAAACAGTCTGTTAAGTCAGTAATTGATTGATTTCCTAAAACTCATATCATATTTTATATCTGATTAACTGTTATTACTAATTTTAGTCCATCGTCTTCACTTGTGATTATGGACAAAGTGAATTTACACCAAAGTGAATTTAGCAGTCTGATAATTACGTCCAAAGATGTGGAACACAATGACTGCTAATGGATTATCTGAACAATATGATACCATGAGAGTTGAGAATGAAATTCAAACTGTTACAGTTAAAACAATGAATGGTACTAAAGATACACCCTTCTCTGAATATACAATATTGGTTCAACTGTTAGCACTGTGATAGAATATTTGATTTCTAAATAAATCAGTGATTCGGGAGGAGTTTTGTTCTATTACAGTACAACAGAAATAAATGAAAAACGTAGTTCACTAGATGGAATTATTTCTTTATTTCGTTGTCTTTCTTAGTTTCGCAATAGCATTTTTATACGAGTTTGTTTCAGGCATCTCTTAGTGTCTATAAAGAGACTATATCTAAGCTTGAATAATAGCAATATTGGTTCTTGTTAAAAGTATTTTTGACAACCAAATAATTTTAAATTACTTCATCTACGTGAAGCTTCATTCCCTCTTCATTAACTTCTATAAACTCGTCATTGACATGCACATTACTAATACAATTAGTCCTTTTGGTTAAATCTTTCTTCTAATTCTTCAGACTATAATCTGACCATGTATAAATTAGAAATGGTTTTATTTAATTTTGAACGATTCCACGTTTCATGTATTTTCGATCAGTCGAATTGCAATTAATTCGGTCGTTTAGTCCAGTCGTTTATTTACCCCCCCCCCTCAAATGTCCAGGTATGGTCGAAGATAGATGGGACTGGGCTTCTTATTTGAAATGCTTTTGTGCAGTTACGAGTTTATAGTCTCTGCCACAGAAGTCCTACTCACTGCCCTCACGCAGTGTATTGTTTATGAATGTCAAAGGATCAAAAGCGAAACTTCGGAATTTGAGAGGGGTTAGTGGATACGGATGGTTCAACTAAAGCAACTGGAAAAGCTTGATTCCAAACCGATAGTACACATGGGCTAGAGGATCCCGAGGGGAGGAACAGCGCATGAACCTACTTAAGGTCACCCACTACCATAGGAAAGTATCATCTGGTGTCGTCTCTATGTCGAAAGCTAGGGAGTGGGCCCCCAAGAAACCACCTTCCTTGCTCTAGGCACCTAGGATGTGTCGCAGCCCTCACACAAATAATACGATATTGTATGGCATATACGACCTCGAGAGCCCGGTTGTGCTAGTTCTTATGCGGATGAGTAGCTGCCTTAGCAACCACATTATGGAGGAGACAAAATAAAATGAATATATTTCACTCTACCAAGTTTATTTTTCCTGTTCCGCTAAAAAAATACTCATTGTACTGAAGTGTTACTTTACAGAATCTATAATGTAGGGATTCGCTAAAAAGCACAATGTAACATCTAAACCTAGTGTCATTGCTGATTTATGTTAACCACAGTGAACATATTTTGTGATTATTCGATCTATTACCGTTGAAGCTCAGCAATTTGTTAGACTATGTGAAGAATCATACCGAATTGCAGTTTTCCTTATATGCTCGTGGCTGTAACGCTAGGTCGATCGTAGATCAGACAAAAACAATCAACATGTTGCTTCTATTAACCAATTACTAAGTTGTTCGGGAATATTACTAGTGGAATACGCCCAACACTTTATTGGAGTGAATAAAAAACCAAAGCGAATATTTCGGAAACCATAAATCACTACTGCGACTATTTCTTTCCTAAGAAATATGTACAGATTCCCATCGGTTTCACTGAAAACGAAATTTCGTCACCATAATCAAGAGTACTGTAATATTGTCCTATATTAGGTATAATTCATATCTAAAGATTCACTTTATTCCACATTCTTGATAACTTAGTATGTACAGCGATTCAAA